TTAATTTGCAAACAATATCGGAATTTTGTGCTTCAGCCAAAAATTTTGAAAAACCCCCTAAATTTGAACCCTTATCATCTTCGGTGTTATTATTACTAATTATTAAAGGGATACTTAACTTATTAATAATTACAGTTTTTAAAGCAGCTATAAATTGAAAACAAGAGGGATTTGTATTAAAAAAACCATGTTGGCGTATTTGGCAAAATAAATTTTCAATTGGATCTTGATTTAAAAACCGCGTTGACAATGAATTAAATCCCTCCAACTTTAATTCACCCCACAAAGCCATTACAGATCTTATAGTTACATCCCACCCTTTTAAAAAATTATATTGATTAGTTACATCCCTTGAACTATTAATTTCAATTAGTTTAAATTTTTGTAACCTTATTAAAAAATCGGACCAAAATTCCAAATGTCCTAATTCTTCAGTGAGGGCAAACTTCAAACTCAAATTTCTGGTATCAGGTAACGGCTCATTTTGGTAATTACTTAAATCATGAATATCAGGTATCTCAATGTCTTCTTCATCAAAATCAACAGAATTACTTAAAAGAACGGGTTTAACACTTTTTGAGCTATCTAAACCCGTGCCATTTAATGAATCAAATAGAGAGTTTATTAAATGCACAAATTCAGCAGTATGGGTTGCATCAGAAGGCAAATGTTCCCCCCCACTCACTAAACTTAAAATCGCGCTCGATACCGTGTAGCTTAAAGTTTGAGCAGCATATGAAACTTTCATTTTCGTAAACGAATTTTTAAAATCGAAATGACGGTCTGATAGTTTAGGGCACATGCGATACAAATTTGTACTGCGGTCAAAAACAAAGGTCTTAATGATATGCTCAAACTTCGCAAATTTATGGTCATCAAATTGTACATTACAACGTAGTAAGGCGTTTCTAGTGCTTTTTAACAAATGCGGGACGTCGTAAGCAAAGTAAACGCGTTTATTATTGACTTCAAAATAAAAAGGCCCGGGCTTATTAGTATTTTCTCTGGAAAGCATATTTAACGCGCCTCTATTAGTGCTTCCCTGATCGCAAACAGTTAATCGAACGTTTAAACCGATGGATTGAAGTTTGGAAATTATCTCTACTATAAGCAACTTTAAATTTAGACTCGAGATGGTACTTTTGGTAAAATAATAGGCGACGATTTCTTTCCAATTGCTACTAATTCCACGAATCATAAAAACTAACGCGTGGTCCGCCCGTTCTGCAGTACGCCCGAGATGACCTAAATCCATTTATTCCCGTACTTAACTGAATTTTACCCAAAAGATTTTTTAAAGTCGGAATGGACGGTAAGGAAAAATGCGTGGATAAATAACGATAAAGTTTTCCACTTCGTTTATACATCGAAAGTGCAAATGCCTTATCATCATCGGTCCAGCACCTTCCCCTGGGTTTACGCGAAGCGTTTCGTATCTGTGCTCGAATAAAATCTAAAGTGACTTGATTTAAATCCGTGCAAACGTTTTCCAAGTCCCCGGTCTTATACAAATCGCGAAGGTTCGTTAAATCGGTTTTTTGTTTATTACAACGCGCCTTTAATTTCGAAACTCTGGACATTGCATTCCTATGCAACCTATAAAGCTTCTTTTCAGTTTCAGTTTTATTGGATTTACTGGGTTGGGGATTTTTGGGGGATTCAGAATCAGAGGAAGAAGATTCAATTAAAATGGGAAGACTTTGTGAGGTTAGAGAGTTATCCTCAGAATCAGACAAATTATATACTGCGGCTAAATTTGGAGATGGGGGCTTAGAATCGGAAACCTCCATGGGAATGTTAAATGATGGGCAAGCAACAAAAGATATTGGGGGACATGTCAAATTGGAGGAATTGGGGTCAATAGGTACTGAGGTTAAGGAGTTATCCTCAGAATCAGAGAAATTATATACTGGGGCTAAATTTGATGAGGGCTTAGAATCAGAAACCTCCATAGGAATGTCAAATGATGGGCAAGCAACAGAAGATATTGGGGGACATGTCAAATTGGAGGAATTGGGGTCAATAGGTACTGAACCATAAATTAATCTTTTATTAGAATTAAATTGGCTAGGCAGAAAATGATCCTCACAAACATAAAACATTTTTTTGGAATTGGGACCTATTTGGCAAATGGAATGCCATTTTAGGTTAACATCGGGAGGGTTAGAAGGGCATGAAAAAAAGGATTTATTTGAAAAGTTGGGGTTGGGATGTTGAAAAACATAGGAATTTGGGCAACCAGGATAATGGCAATATTTACTATTAATTAATCTAGACATTTTTCCTACACCTAATAAAATTAACTTAAATTTTCAAATTAAAAAAAAGATTTTTACTCTTACCACAACTACCAAATTATTCTGCACCTAAAAAAACCCAATTTTAGATCAAAGTTTATTAAAATTATTACCAATTTTTGAATTTCTTCTCTTCAGTTCTTAGTAGACCAGGACCTAAAATACAATTTAAAAATATATAACAAATATTATAAATATTTTAACTACTAAACTAAGTATAGTATAAAAGAATAGTAGGAATTATACATTTATACTACAAAATATACAATGCATTCAATGGAACAAAACACAAAATATTTAATTCATAGGTAGATAATAAATATGTCTCAGTGTCACTGAGATCCAGCAAATTTGGACACTGGTCCAATGCATTCTGCCGTGCTTAATGAAAACGCCGTAACCAACAATTTTGCGATTTTTGTTTTACGGCATTTTCTACTAGAACAATTCATCCTGCGTCTATCCCCGGTACTCAAAAAACCGTATATATATAGATACGGTGTTTTGAGTACCGGGGATAGACGCAGGATGAATTGTTCTAGTAGAAAATGCCGTAAAACAAAAATCGCAAAATTGTTGGTTACGGCGTTTTCATTAAGCACGGCAGCATTGTACATACAAACATTTAACAACTATAATGCAATCTAGGTCCTGCATATGTTTAAGGGACAAATACCTACATCTTAACACAGGCCCAGTTGTACAATTCAAGTTCGGCTTTTACTTACATTTAAATTAAGCTTAAACTATTGTTATAACAATTGTAACTAAGCAACATAACCTCAATTAAAGTAAAATTGCAACTAAACTCGACCTGTACAACTAGGTAAAACAGTGTTGACTCAACACACATGTATATTGCAATTGCACCACACTTGATAAATTTCAGATGGATACAGAATTATTATTATAATTATTGTAGTGCAATAATAATTGTGTGTACATTTGTGTCGACACTGATTATCCAGATGTATGGGTACCTCAAGACTTGTACTATAGTACAATTTTTATAAGATTAACAGTTAATAGTTACTATGTTAGAAATTGAGAAATATTGTTAAATGTGTTTTTTATTTAAACACTTTGTATAAAGTAGGTACCTATTGTAACAAGTTAAAATAATTAACACATATACAAATAATTTTAACAAAAACATACCTTTTGACAAAGATTATAGGTATATTTAATATTTTGTATAACTTGCTTTAGTTAAACAACCCATAGTCTTTACTCTTTGCCATAGGTTTCATTACATAAAAAGAATTTTATTTGTTTTATTGAAACTTTTTTACATCATGTGTTTTCGGTAAACATAGAGAAAAAAACCGATACGGTTTATCACACGTATTTTCTTATTTTAAACGCGGTAATGATGCTACAACTAACTTAAACTTGACTAAAAACACCTAATAAAATGTTAAATCCGAAATTAACAAGTTTACTTACCTAAAACAAAGAAAATTTGGATTATAAAACTTCGTACACAACACTTCAACAACACTGTCGGCCATTTGTAATTTCTCAAACCGCGAACATCAACGAACAAGTTGGAAAAGACCAATCACAACAAAGTAAGAATCACGTGGTTAATAACTGGGGTTTGTCAAAAACAACTTGGGTTTCAACGCATGCTAGATTTATTTTACTGTTGCCTGTTGTCAAATTCCCCTTATACCCCCCTGGTCACAACGGAATCTCCCAGGCTCCGCATTTTAAAATGTTTGTAAGTCAATGGTCGCCATTTTGAACATTTATTAAAATAGTATTTCGGTTGTTATTTTTTCCATCACGTTTTTTATAATTTTTAATAATTAAATTTTTAAAACTTTGTTTAATTGTTATTTTCCATTATTTTTAAAATATCTTCCTTAACAAATGTATCAACTGTCAATCAATGACAGGCATTTGTTGTGACATTTCATCGGTATCTGAGATAAATATGTGAAAATATTGGATTTTTACAGAAATTTGCTTGTATTTCCGAAACCTTACTATTTAGGTATAGCCTATATACCGTATAGGGAATGATTATAACAATCAAAATGTAATTCATTTTCCTATTTGATTATGTAAAAACATGCATACCGTTCCATTGAAAATAAACAAGTTATTAATGTTTGAAGTTAACTAAATTTAACACGATTTTTCTCTGGTTTTTGATCATAAATATGAAAGTTTCAGACATGGAATCTTTAAAACAATGTTTTAAGATTCCAAAAATCCTTACAGCATACCAGCAAACCGAAAATCAAAAAAGTTATAAGCAATTTTTAATGAAGGTGCAACTGTCAAAATTTTACGAAAAAAATTATTAACTCGAAAACTATTAAGTTTAGGTATAGGGAATGGTACAGCAATTTCATTAAGAATTTCATGAGGAATTTAAAAATAAAAAAATTTACAGGGTGTTCCATTGGAAATAACAAAGTTGATGTCGCTTCCGGTTAAACCGGAAGAGGAATTTTATTTAAAATAATTTTAAAAGGTAGATTAAATTGTACAATAATTGCTATAAAAATTTCAAATTTATATCCTCATCCGTTCTCCGTAAACTTCTAAGGTACCATCACTAGTGAGATTAATTAATTTTAATGTTGTTAATTATTAACATTGTTTTGATGGGCTTTATTGCTTAAATGTTTAGAGTATAGAATTTTTATATACAATCTGTGTCTCAAATTAATTGTTATTTTTTAATTTCAGAATAACAAACTGGTTGAACACCAACTGTTCCGCTTGTATCACAACGAGTGCGAAATGTCCAACTTGGAAGCCGATATGAAATCCAAGCAAAAAGAGGTTGAAAAAATCGAGAAAAAGAAGGAAAAATCCGAGGAAGTGCTGAAAAACATCAAAAAAGAACAGGGAAAGTTCAACCGCGAGCTCGCCAAAATCGAGCAGGACATTCGCGAGGTCGAAGTGGAAATCACCAAGAAGCGCCCGCAGTTCATCAAAGCCAAGGAGCGCGTCACGCACATGCAGAAAAAACTGGACGGCGCCATAAAAACGTTGGAGCAAGCGCGCAAAGCGCACGACGCGCACATGAACGACATCAGAAAGCTTGAGGACGAGCTGGAGGAGGTGGAGAAAACGAAGCGTGAGTACGAGCAGCAGATAGCCGGCGAGTCGCAGAGCCAGGGCAGGGACGTGCACCTGGAGGACGCGCAGGTCAAAGAGTATCACCGGTTGAAGGAGGAGGCCGCCAAAAGGTCCGCCCGCTACATGCAGGAGCTGGACTCGGTGAATCGCGAGCAAAAGTCCGATCAGGATCGATTGGACAACGTTTCGCAGAAGAGGACCGACGCCGAGAACAAGCATCGACAAAAGTGCCACGAGAAGGAGGAGATGGAGAAAAGAATCGAGAAGTTGGCCGAGCATATCAGGCAAGTACACAGTTTTAATAATCTAGTGCTTTATGTCCATCAAACTCACGGTGTCCCTGAATAACTTTTAATTGAAAGGTTCAGACGTATCCGATTTTTTTTCATATTTTAATAAAAAATCACTTACAAGACAATTTTCTTTCAGGATAAACTCAATTCGCTTGGCACTTTTTTAGAAAAATCAATTTTTATAAATACATTAATGATTTTTAATGAATTTTTTGAGATTTTTAACTAGTGAACTATTGACATATGTCACTTGTCACATTTATAAATCGCGAGAGAATTTGTTTGTTTTGTCTTAAAAAAAAGAAAAAAGAAACAATGTCTAAAATATGTGGAAAGAAAAAATTGAAAACGATATTAGTGAAACTTTAAGTCCGAAACATCAGCAGCAGTTACTATCGCTCTTTTAAAAAAAGAAAGAGCGATAGTAACTGCTGCTGATGTTTCGGACTTAAAGTTTCACTAATATCGTTTTCAATTTTTTCTTCTTTTACTTTATGTTTTAACTGCGGTCACCAACAATACTTGACAAATATTTGAAAGATTTTCTCACCACACGCTTTTTTTTTAATGGGTTTATTTTTAGCACTTTTTATAAAATTATACCCAATTATTTCCAATTAAAAAAATCAGGCAAATTTAACGTGTTTCTATAAATTTTTTGTTTAGCTGCTTTATATAATAAAATTTCACAACCTTTGCATACAACTTTTGGTAATCGTTCATCTTCTACGAGCCCTAACCACAAAATGTTCGGACACTTTATAATTTATACAGAAATATTTTTCGTGAATACTATCTCAAAATTATTAGAGGTTATGAAAAATTCAGCTCATTTTGGCATATACCCCTCGAAGCGATTTTTATTTTTAAAAAGTTTACCTTTTATTTTTAGCTTTTAAAAAAAGGCTAACTTTTAAACTTTTTTTTGTATGAGTAAAAAAAGTTATAAATGGGCCCATTAAAAGAGCATAAAATATTATACAAACCCTGAAAATTTGGTAAAAAATAAATAAGTTATAAAAAAGTATAAGTAATTTAAAAATGCTATTTTTAAAGAGTTTTTGCAATTTTCTTAGGAAACGGGAGATTTTGCAGATATATATATCGTTATAACTTTCTTATTATTTATACAATTTTTACCAAATTTTCAGGGTTTGTATAATATTTTATGTTCTTTTTAATGGGCCCATTTATAACTTTTTTTACTCATACAAAAAAAAGTTTAAAAGTTGGCCTTTTTTTAAAAGCTAAAAATAAAAGGTAAACTTTTTAAAAATAAAAATCGCTTCGAGGGGTATATGCCAAAATAAGCTGAATTTTTCATAACTTCTAATAATTTTGAGATAGTATTCACGAAAAATATTTCTGTATAAATTATGAAGTGTCCGAACATTTTGTTGTTAGGGCTCGTACATCATATACTACTATGCTTTGAACTTTTTCCAGAATCTTTCCACATAGACATTTTTTATTTTATTTTTTAAGACAAAACAAACAAATTCTCTCGCGATTATCTGAGTGAGTTTTTTATTAGCTTCATTGCACTATATACTATAATCAATGCAAATATAATTATTTATATCTAATTTATAAATAATTCTGCGACAAATTGAAAAAAAACGGTATAATAACGCAACGGTATTTTCAATCACGATTTTCGACATGTGACATGTGACAAGTGACATATGTCAATAGTTCACTAGTCTAATGAATTGCACATTTTATGTAACAAATACATTAAAAGCTGTTAGTCATTATTTGGAGTTCACTAATTAAAAATCTCAAAAAATTGATTAAAAATCATTAGTGTTTTTGTAAAAATTGATTTTTCTAAAAAAGTGCCAAGCGAATTGAGTTTTTCCTGAAAAAAAATCGGATAGGTCTGAATCTTTTTATTAAAAGTTATTCACGGACACCGTGAACTTTCCACCAAATATTTAGACCGTCAGAGACACAATACTAAAATATAGTCACTATTTTACTATTGCTCATATCCATTTGACAGTCAAAATGCTTAAGAAGTGCAGGTGTAGACAAATAAACATTGCCCAGAAAAATTTATGAACTGCTTCATAAGTGAAACTTCTTTAGAGAGGTATAAGTAAAAAAATTAAATGAAAATATAAGACGCTTTGGCTACATTTCAAGCACGCGGACGCCTCAAATCACAAAATTGTTTTTATAAAAAAAAAATGTAACTAAATTGTGGAGTGATCAGACAGTGGCAGATAAATCCGTTTTAAGCAGTTTCGAGTTCATCAACATTTACACAAAGAACAACCCATGTATTCTAAAGAGTGTAGTGTTATAATACCTGAAAACTTATTTTTTGTACACCTGCATCATGTGTTATATAAAAAAACAAAATGGATTTATCTGTTGCTTGAATTAACAGGATTTATCTACATTTTTATCCATTGACTTATACAGGGTGGTCCAGGATTAATCAAAAAAATGTTAATGCCATTTAAGTTAATTTAAAATAACTATGTGCATTTATGTTGTTTTCATTGAAACCTCAATTGAAACAAAAATTTAAATTGTAGTAATTTGGATTTATCTGCTTTTGCTTGATTTGTTAGGTTTCCAAACTGGTATTCTATATCAAATACTTGGTTTGGCTCAATTCTGAGTTCACCAATGGATCTTACCTCATTTACTGTTAATTAAGTATACTTAAAAAATGTCTTGCGTTTCTTTTATTTAATGTAAAGCCTAAAAATAGGAATATTTTTGACAATTTTGATCCCAAAATAATATATAATAAATAACCTACAATCTGTTTGTCCCGACCGCCCTTTGGTCACATGATAGTGACGTCAGAAAATCAATATAGTTGAGTGTTTGTGGCGTAAAGAATGAGTGGTTGTGAATAAGTAGGAGAGAGGAGGGCGTCGTATTATTTATTAATTTTTGTATTATTTGACATCTTTTAATCATTTTTGATATTTGAGGAGGTGCATTCCAAAACTTGGCTTATCCATATTACTTAGTTGTTTTCGAGCAAAATGTCAAAAACCTTACACGTGAGTACTAACGCATATCAGGCAAACACAATACTTTAAACGAAATATAAAGGCATAAGTAAAACATTTAAATACCTTGATTAAAAAGGTATAGCTCCAGTTTAAAATAATTTAAAAGTACATACGTATATGCCGAGTTCTGCATGATATAACCAATAGATAAGGCAAGTTTTGGAACAATAGTCAATTTGTAAATGAATTTTAAATGGAATAAGGTTAGTTTTAGAATATTATGAACTTTTCAGGGTATAGGGGGATACTTGTTAAATGTACAGACAAAACTAACTCATTTTTATTAAAAAGTGGATAAACCGAGTTTTAGAATGGACCTCCTCATTTGCTATGGCTCATTTTTGACATCTTTCATAGCCCATTTTTGACATCTCTCATTTTTAACATAAACTAAAGAAAAGTAACTTATCTGTAACTAAAATGTAACCAAACAGTAGCTAATCAGTAACTAGTCAATAATTATTATTAAATAGTTAACATCTGAAGCAATTCAAAATTCTTTTTGATTTTATTTTAATATCCTTTCTTCTCTTCAAGAAATTTTTAAAGAGAAAGTGTACCAAAGATATCTTTGAAGTGTACTTTTAGATGGCACCAGTGAAAAAAAATTGGAGATGGCGTTTACGTAAATGCTCGAGCATTTTAAATGCTTGTGAACAAGTTATGTTATTATCTGTCTCTAAAAAAATTATTTTGTTATGAGCAAAACGTATTTTTTCAACTTTTTCTCGAAAATCTGACGCGTCAGATTTAAATTCAAAGCATCAAAAACCTTTAGAAAGTTATGAAGTTAATTTAACAAATTTTGTAGTATTATGAAATATAATTTTTGCTTTTTTTGTTTAGGTCTAGCGAGCAAGCATTGCAAGACCAAAATCAGATGTTGAACGATTTGCAGTCCGATGTGGGTTCTTCAAAAGACAGAGTGACCGAAATACAAAAGCAACTCGATGATGTCCTTGAGCAGCTGGGTGATGCCCGTACGGATAAGCACGAGGATGCTCGCAGGAAGAAGAAGCAGGAAATCGTGGAACGATTCAAGACTTATTATCCAGGAGTGGTAAGAAAAAACAATATATTCTCTTATTTTACCTTCCTAAATAATCAATTTTTTTTTAATTACTAGGCGCGTTTTTTTGCACAATTTGGCTAAATTTACAAACATCAAATTTTCCAAAATAAATTTCTTCAAATTAAACTACAAGAAAATCGATAATAAACAAATAATATTTAATAAATATGATTTATGCAATAAAACTTATAATTCATCTTTCATAAATCACAATATTTTTTATTAAAACATTAACAAAAAATTGTGAAAATGCATTTTTTGTGAACTTGAGCTTGTTTTTATAGTTTTTGCTGTTTTGCTAAATTTTCCATACTTCCAAAAAGTTACTTCTCAAGTTTTTTATTATTATTTTCATTTGATAAAACTAAGAAACTTGATGACAAATAAATAGTGTTCAGGTTCTGAACTGAAAATTTATACTAAAAAATGTTTGAATGATAAACTATAAACAATAAACTTATCTTTCATGCATTTTTAGCATACATTTTTAGTTTAGAGCATTCTTTGTTAAATCATAAACAAAAAATAATAAAATGCATTTTTTTGCGAATTTAGGCGCGTTACTACAGTTTTTGCAGTTTCGCTAAATTTTACAACCTTATTATTTGCCTCATAACTTACAAATTTCTCAAAATAATTTTTATCTAAAGAAACTACTTAAAATTGGGGCGTTATGTAGAAAGTTACAAACCCACCAAAACAATTGTTTTTTGTTAATTTAGATCACAGTTTTAGTGGAATTATATTAAATAGCAATAAATAATAATAAATAGTTGTTAAATGTAGATGAACTTTAATGTAGGTACTAAATATTAATGTTTATATGAAATCTTGATAAAATGGATGAAATGAGTATAAATCCATGTAAATTAAGTAACTAAATTTTATCATGGTGATTTTTTAAACCATTTGTTAGAATAGGGTTTAAAGATTTTTTCTGAATAAAATTAAATTTTCTGATACTAGGTATACTATTACTATATATCTCAATTTTTCCTAAATTTTGGGTTGGGTGCTTTGGTATACATTTTTGGTTCAGAACAATATTTTTTGTTAAAACAACAACAAAAAATAATGAAAATGCTTTTTTGTGACTTTATTCGCGTTTTTACATTTTTTGCAGTTTCGTTAATTTTTCAATCCTGCCAAATTTCTTGTTAAAACTACAAGAAAAATCAAAACATACATTTAATAATCTTTCATATATTTTTTAGTACAAATTTCAGTTCAGTTTTTGTTAAAACATCAACAAAAAAATTAAATCCTTTTTTCCGAGTTTTTGTAAAGTTTTTTCGTTAAATTTTCCATTCTTCAAAAAAGTTATACTTGTCAAATTTTTAAACTTTCAAATAAACTATAAGGAACTCGATTTTTTAGTATGAATTTTTAGTTCTAAACAACATTTTTCATTAAAACATTGACAAAAAATATGTAATGAAAAAGCATTTTTTTTTTAATTTAGGAGCATTTTTTGCACAATATTGCTAAATTTTTCACCCTTCCAAAAAGTTACTTGCCAAGTTTTTAAAAATAATTTTCATTTGGTAAAACTATATGAAAGTAAAAAAAATAAATAGCTTTAGGTCATAAAACTTTAAATTTATCTTTTATGAAGTTTTTAGTATGAATTTTTAGTTCATAACAAATTTTTTGTTAAAACATCAACAAAAAATAGTGAAAATGTATTTTTTTGTGAACTGATAAAACTTTATGAAACTGAGTTTATATCTCAGTTATTAGACATGGGACCCACATCAAATTTATATGTGTTTATAATGACATTATATAGACAAGTTCTGCGCAAGCAGAATTTAAATTGAAATTTGCGAAAAAAAGTTAGTTTTTAAGTGTGCCCCCTAGCCTCCTGTCCCCCCAAATTAAGATAATTCAAATTAAAGTGGTACAATATTTAATTAACTGAAGTTTATTAAAAAAATTTACACCATTTTAAATTTTTATTATTTCTTTTACTAAATTTAAAAAAAAATAGAAATGGTATAAAATCTGTAATACTTGGAATATTTAAATACAATTTGAAATTTGTTGATAAACTATAGAGAATTATAAATTGCACCACTTTAATTTGAATTATCTTAAATTGGGGGTGCAGAAGGCTGGGGGCACACTAAAAAACTAACTTTTTTCGCAAACTTCAACTTAAATTCTGCTTGCGCAGAACTTGTCTATATAATGTCATTATAAACTCATACAAATTTGATGTGGGTCTAATAACTGAGATATGGGTGTGCCCAAAATCCACCAGCCGCCACTGTGAAACTCAATAATAAATAAATATTGTTTAGGCAATAAAAGTTATAATTCATCTTTCATACATTTTTTAGTGTGAATTTTTGCTTCAGAACAACATTTTTAACATCATTAAAACATCAACAAAAAATAATGAAATAGCTATTTGTGTATTAAGAGCGCAAAGTGATACATTGTCGCTCTGAGCGAGAGCGGCAATGTCACTTTGCGCTCGAATTACACACAGGATTTTTTGTATAACAGGTGTTTTTATAAGAATGTTTGGTAAAAAAAATATAATTATTAACCTCAAATTTGCAAATACACTAAACGTTTCTTTATTATGATTTCCATGGTAACTAAGCGAGCGACAAAGTAACTTTGTCGCTTGGCGAGCGACAAAGTAAAAACTGCCCAATTTTGTACTTTTCGCTTGGTTGTAGAAAAATGCTTTTTTGGGAATTTAGCCGCGTTTTTGCAGTTTAGCTAAATTTTCAATTCTTCAAAAAGTTACTTGCCAAAGTTTTCAAAATAATTTGTATTTGATAAAACAACAAGAAACTCGATAACAAATAAATGATGTACATGCAATAAAACTTATAATTCATCTGTCAATTTTTTTTCTATGACTGAATGATAAACATGTGTCAACCATTCCTTGCCAACTTGCCAAATTTTTCAAAATAATTTTCATCTAATAACTATATAAAACTTAATAACAAATGAATAGTGTTCAGGCAATAAAAGTTATAATTCATTGTTCATACATTTTGTAGTGTGAATTTTCATAACAACATTTTAAACAAAATCGTTAAAACATCAACAAAAAAATAATGAAAACGCCTTTTTTGTGAACTTATCCGCGTTTTTACAGTTTTTGCAGTTTAGCTAAGTTTTCCATTCTTCAAAAGTTACTTACCAAATATATCTAAATCATTTTCATCCGATAAAACTATAAGAACCGCAATAAAAAATAATGTTCATGCAATAAAACTTATATTTCATCTGCCATAAATTTTTTAGTATGACAGAATGATAAACATGTGTCAACCGATCCACAAGCGTTACAACGTTGCCATCACCAAGAACCTGGGCAAGTACATGGAGGCCATCGTGGTGGACACCGAGCACACCGGTCGCCAGTGCATCAAGTACCTGAAGGAGCAGCGCTTGGAACCGGAAACCTTTCTTCCGCTCGATTATCTGCAAACCAAGCCCGTAAAGGAACGTCTGAGGACGATTACGGAGCCGAAAGGCGTCAAATTAATTTACGACGTCTTGCAGTTCGAACCGCAGGCCATCGCGAAAGCGGTCATGTTCGCTACCAACAACGCGTTGGTTTGTGAATCCCCTGAAGATGCCATGAAGGTTGCCTACGAGTTGGGGGGAAGATATGATGTAAGGAAAAATGGTGTGCGATTTTTCTGAAAATTAAATTGTTTTTTTAGGCTGTTGCTCTTGATGGTACATACTATCAAAAATCTGGTATTATTTCTGGTGGTAGTTTGGATTTGGCTCGTAAAGCTAAGAGGTGGGATGAAAAACATATGGCGCAGTTGAAAAGTCAAAAGGTAGGATTCCAAATTTTTTTTAATATCGCATAAAAAATTTAACACAATTTTACTTTTTTCCTATAGCTGCTACTAAAAAATCATAGATAAAATAGTACTTTAAGAGATGCGACTTGAAAAAAAACCGGTCCGTTTTATTTGTTTTTTTTTCAGTTTTTTTTATTGTTTTTTTTTCAAATGGTTTTTTTTCAAGATTAGTCCCATTTGCCTAATTTTTTAGGTTTCATGGACTAAAATTAGCCACTAAATGACAATTAATAAATGTAAATAGTCTCCACCACCGAATTGACCAATAAGGGCCGCGCTTGTTTTGATTTGGTCCTAAAAAAGTAACCACATATAATATTTTTGATTCAGCGCTTAATTTTTCAAAAAGCTTCCAAAAGAACTTTTTTCATGATTTTTCAAATTCATGTAGAGTATGGATTTTTTTTTTCAAAAAACAATAGCAAATTCACACACACAACATTTATTCATTGGCGGTTAAGTAAGAACATTCTGTGGACCAGAAAGCCAAAAAAAATCGATTTTTTTTATTACGGTAATTGTTAGGATTGAGCGTTGCACATTTTTCATCTAAAAATCTCAAAACTAGAAACTTCAACCTTCAAATTGCTTTTTTTACGGCTCCAATACGACCATTTTTACAAAGATACAGCTATCCGAAGAATCGCAAAACAATTTTTTTTATCCTTTAATTTCTTGTATTGGTGTAGGAGTTTTCATTGCTACTGGTTTCTCACTAGTCTCAGTCAAAATTTTCAATAATGAAAAATTTAATATATTCTACATTTCACTTTATTATTAATATATATTTTAATAAAAATTTCATTTAAAAAAAAACAAAAAAAACGGTTTTTTTTCATGGTTTTTTTTTCACATCTGAAAAAAAACCGTTTTTTTACATCTCTACGCAAGGGTAGAAAAAATTATACAAGAAGGATAGATTAAGAATTTTCATTTACTAAAAATCGTAAGTGGGTGAGAATTCTTCCCGAAAATTTAGAAAACAATTGTTGGTTTTTGTAGTTACAGAAGTTATTAAAAAAATGCTGTTTTTGACGATTTTTTAAAATAAATTCTATCATGGAAATAAAGCTTTTTGGTGAAATTTTACTCTAAATGAAAATTGTTTAAAATATTGATTTGATTTTAAATAATTTTCTCAATGTTTTCTTGAACATTTTTTTACTCCATATATTCATCAGTCAAAAACACTCTTTTGTTAATAACTTTGTTAATGTTTTTATATATTTTTTTAAATATGTACAGTAGGGTGAGCCAAAAAAACTAACCTATCGGATTTATGGGTTAAAATGAACCTACATACCGAGAAAAAAATTTCCCTGCAAGGCAAAATTTTTTGCTCAATTTTAAAAGGTGTCGGTGAGCATTTTAAGTTTTCCATTGAAATAACACGTAAAAAAATCTTTTTTCATTAAAAAGACTATAACTTTTGAACCGTTTGAGATAAAATTTTTTACGTCGCGGATTCTTGTAGAGCATAAAATTTCCCAAAGAATCTATACCAGGATTATTTTTTTTAATTCAAAAATTCGTATGTTTGAAAGCTTTGAAAAGTGTAAAAAAACACTAAAACTGCAGTTATTTTTAATTTTTTAATTAAAAAAAATAATCCTGGTATAGATTCTTTGGGAAATTTTATGCTCTACAAGAATCCGCGACGTAAAAAATTTTATCTCAAACAGTTCAAAAGTTATGATATTTTTAATGAAAAAAGATTTTTTTACGTGTTATTTCAATGGAAAACTTAAAATGCTCACCGACACCTTTTAAAATTGAGCAAAAAATTCACCCTAATGTACAGAGTGATCCCCTATAATGTCGCCCCCTTTAACTTTTTATTTTAAGTGTACCAAAAAATTTAAAAGTGTGGTTATGTAGGTACTAAAAAATACTTTTTTTCTATGTATAAAAAAAAGGCCGTTGCTAGTCGTCCGTATAATCGGACGAATAAAATATATTAATCGTCCGATTATCGGATGAATAAAATATATTAATCGTCCGGTAATAACATAAATAAATAATAAAAAGATTATCGGACTCAAACTCAACAACACAACCCAACCGACCCCGCCCCATTGCCCCCCCCCGCCCCATTGAACAAAAAACCCAACTAAAATTGGCAAATTTATGTTACGATAAAAATAAAACACTTTTTAACAAAGCAACAACAAATTTATGAAATAAAAAAAGTTCGACAACTTCTAGTAGATTTTATGTTACGATAAAACTAAAACAAACCAACCAACCCAACCCAACCGAACACTGTTTAACAAAGAAACAACAAATTTATGAAATAAAAAAATAAAAAAAAATTCGACAGCTTCTTAGTATTGAACCCGGGACCTCTCGCATGCCAAGCGAACGCCCTACCATATAAGCTATCTAGCTTGTTGTCAAATATTAAACGGTCGGTGAACAAAAGCGGATTATAATTATGACGTAACTAACGTTATTACCGGACGATTAATATATTTTATTCATCCGATGATCGGACGATTAGACAAGTCGTAAAAAAAATGGAAAATTTATCAATATACAGGGAAAAACAAAAAGTTTATTTTTTTAATGGATCACCATATATTTGAATTTATTTTTCGGTTCCTTGTAAAATTCTGAGCATAATTCATATAACAAACCATATACCTAAACTTAACCGTTTCTGAAATATTATCATTAACTGTTAGAAATCAAGAAGCCTCAGTTTACCAAAATTTTTATTGAAAATAAATTACTATAGTGACATTATTTCAATATGTCTTGTTAAATAAGTAAAAATGGCGTACTCAGACAGAGAAAGACAAAATATTTCAACTTATTATCTTAAAAATAATTTTAATATTTCAGAAACGGTTGAATTTATGTATAAGGTATGTTATATGAAATATGCTTAGAATTTTAAAAGGAATCGAAAAATAAATACATATATAGGGTGATCCATTGAAAAAAAAAAAATTTTGTTTTTCCCTGTATACTGATAAATTTTCCAATTTTCTTTATATGTAGAAAAAAAGTATTTTTTAGTACCTACATAACCACACTTTTAAATTTATTGGGACACTTAAAATAAAAAAGGTAAAGGGGGGCGACATTATAGGGGATCACCCTGTACATATATTGGAAATATTTTAGTATTATTATGTACTACAAAAACCAATTATAGTTTTATGAACTCCATAAAGTCAGGAAAAGTGATCTGTTTTACCCAAGGGTAGATAAAGGCAGTTGTTATGACAATGGTCGGAAAATATAGACGATGATTGTTGTTTATATAGTTTAGGTTTGTTGACATCAGTGTCATGTATAAATTGACAAGTTATGAATAGTTATTTGTACTATTATTTCCATTTGTCAAAATTTTAATAAAAATACGAATTTTGGAGCAATCAGACAAAAGCAGATAAATCCGTTTCAAGCAGTTTGGAGTTATTAGCGAAAAAATAATATTTTTTGTACTGGAACATTTACACAAAAAACACCTTAAAACTTATTTTTTATTTTTTTGTACGCAGAATATAAATTGTATTAATTTTAGGGGTGTGCGAATAATTCGAACTTACGAATTATTTGTTCCGAATCGAATATTAATATTCGATTCGGAACTCGAATCGAATTATTCGAAAGTTCTCGAATAATTCGAAAAATTTAGAATAATTAGAATGTTTTTTGAGTAATTCGAAATTTTTTCGAATTATTCTTAAACTATTATATTATTAGCGAATTTTCGAGTATTTTGAATTCAGGGTTTGTTATGTTCAATATTCAAATATGAATTTAACAGTCAATATATTCAAACATTTATTCAAACCATGAAGTATAGTTACACAAATAGAACAATAAGTATAGTTTTTTTTAAGAGAATGAAATAACAGAAATTATATCATAGCAAATACAGTATTATGAAAAATACAACATTTGAAAATTTTCTACAAATTTTTGTGCAAAAATAATAAATACGATACTGAAACATTACATGAGTAACCTTTTTCTTATAGATTTTTTCTCTGTGTAATTGATTTTTTAACGAAAAGTATATTATTCGTAAGTACAATATTTCGATACACGATTTAAAGGAATTTAAATGGAAGCATTTGAAAAACCAGATATTTCATTATTTCGCGAATTATTTGAAAAATTTTGAGTTATTCGAAATTTTTCGAATTATTCGAAATTTTTCGAATAATTCGAAAATTCAAATTATTCGCTTCGATTCGAACGATATTCGCACACCCCTAATTAATTTGTATTTATCTGCCTTTGCTTGATTTGCTAGGTTTCTAGACCGCTATTCTATATCAATTACTTGGTTTGGCTTAATTCTGAGTTTACCAATGGATTAATCTTACTTCATTTACTGTTAGTTTATACCTAATTTATCTGCTTTTGTCTTATTGCTTCACAAATATAAATTATATTTGCGTATCGTACTGTGCTTATTATGGCATACAAATAGAAGAATTATATTTGCGTATCGCACTTTGCCTTAGAGAATATGAAACGCAAATGCGCTTATTAGGGTATACAAAAGGAAAAATACTGTGTCATAATAGTTATTATTTAAATCTGACAATGTAAACGTCAATCACACTGTAGGGTCGGCAATGTAGCGAGAAAAAATGACGTATTCCTTACCAGATAACATCTAGGAAAGGAATGATTTACATGGGGAGTAATTTATTTTATTATCAACAATCGCGAATACAATCCACAAAAAATTATAAATTTTAATCTCGATTTTAAGTCAATATTTTTTTATTTTTTTTTATAATACAAATATAAACATAGAAAGTAATAATGTGACAAAAAAATCCAATTTTTAAAAAGCTGGAACAACAACAACTTATTGCGTTTAAAACATTTGTTGTTTAGGACAATTTATTTTATTAGTTTTAATTTTAAGCTTTAATTTAATAACTAGAAAGATGGTTGTCAAATTTTTTTAATAATGTTTCGTACCCACCATTTTCTATTTTGATTTTTAGGAAAAATTGACAGAAGAACTTCGCGATTCCATGAAAAAATCCAGGAAAGAGTCCGAGTTGAATACAGTGTTGTCGCAAATTCGAGGTTTGGATACCAGGTTGCGTTACGCTAAAACCGACATGGAAAGCACTGTATGTTATATTTTGTTTTGTAAATCTTTCAAACTTGATTTTTCATATTTTTTTCCTTCAGAAAAAGCAAATCAAGCAAGTGGACAATGAACTGCTCAAGCTGTCCAATGAAATGACTAAATATGGGGTAAGAATCCTAAAACAAGAAAACAACTCTTGTTTTTGCTTTTAAATTGTAAAACCAACCAGAACTACTGAAACACGTTTTCAGCCTCAAATAGAGGAAATCGAGAAAACCATGTCGACCCGCGAGCAGCAGATCGAGGAAATCAAGGTGAAAATGAACAGCCTCGAGGACGTGGTGTTCTCGAAGTTCTGCCAGGAAATCGGGGTGCGCAACATCAGGCAGTACGAGGACAGGGAGCTGAGAGCGCAGGAGGAACGCAAACAAAAACGTCTCGAGTTCCAGAAACAAATCAACAGGATCACCAGCAATCTGGAGTTCGAAAGAAGCAGAGACACCCAGAGTGAGTAGTTTTTAATGTCAAACATCTGCCAACACTTTTTATACTGTCAATTCACGTACGGTAGTGAGGAAAACAACACAAATGTTCATTATAACACTGGGTTCCAAATTAATAAAAAAAACATTTACTTGGTGGCAATATTTTTTTCCAATGTATTTTGGGTTTGTAAACTTAAAAATCACAAATATTTGTTGTTTTAAGGTAGCTTTACAATTTGGATCATATCTTGAGTAAGAAACGGCCAATCTGGTTTAAAAAAGTGTCAAATTAAACATTATCTAATCACCGAAAAATATCACTATCTATCAATAACTCGTGAAGATCAGTGTAAAGCAATGCAGCCATATTTTTTTTTTATTATTGAAAAGTAATATCCAAATAGCCGAAAGGGCTTTGACAGATATTTAATTTACAAATAAATTTAAAATTAACATTTAGCAATAAATAATTAAATTATATTAAATTATACATGGGTCATTTGTAAATTATTTGAAGTACAGTAATCCTTGTCCTTGGTCGAATAAATTAAATCTTTATAAATAATTAATTAACAAGTATCTACCTATGTACACTAGTTTTCTTGTCTTTGGTCCACTAAATATTGCTTGACACTCTTAACAAACTCTATTTCATTTTGCTGTTTGATCTCGTTTGGTAATTTGTAGTATATTTTGATGCCTTCTGTAAGTATTCGTTTTTCGCCTATTTTGGTTTTATGTGTGACAAAATTTAGTTCTTGATTTCCTCTGGTGCTGTATTGATGTACGTCGGCTCTTGTTGTAATTTCTAACGTACCTTCATTTGCAAGCTATACATAGGGAAAATACATTGTAGGTGGACCAGACAAGTTAAAGTCAGCGCAAAGCGAAAAAGTTCTTAGAAATTATTTGGACGTAATAAAATTTTAATCGCCAGTAAACAAGGTCACCTGTTACGTCGCATGTTAGTCTACTCATCCACTCGTCAAAATAATTTCTGGGGACATTTTCGTTTCGTGCTGACCGCGCCGACTTCGACTTGTCTGGTCCACCTACAATGTATTTTCCCTATGTATAGCTTGCAAATGAAGGTACGGTAGGGTCAAGAGGGGTAAATGTAAACGAATCTGCCAAATTAAAAATTTTTTTGTTTTTAAATGTGTGGCAAAATTTTTCTATATTAAATATATTACCAAGAACTTATTTACTATTTTGTATGGGCCTTTTATTTTTGAAAATACCAAAAAAAATATTTAAAATATCAATCAAAAAACAAAAAAAAGTCAATTAAAAAAAAGTTGTCACTGTTTACTTTTACCCCTATTGTATTGGGGTAATTGTAAACGGCAACTATGAAAACCACGTGAACAAATGAGAAAATTTGTGGGGGAATAGTAAACATTTAAATTACTGAATTATAAAATGCGCTCCTATGCATTTTAGGCGGATGTTTACATTTACCCCTAAAAATAAAAGACGTTATTTTATTATTGCTTTTTATTTAGCTATTCATTAAAACTGCAATTGGGATACAAAAAAAAATATTTTTACTTTAAAAAAATAAACTAAAACATTTAGATGTATTTTAAAACTTAAAAACCTAGGTAAAAACATCGGTAACTTTTTATTATGGGTAAAGGAAAAAACAGGTTGATCTATTGCAAAAAAGTATTTTCTAAAACTGGGATATGTTTTTCAAATTGATAATAGATCCTTTCTCCTTTCATTTTTATTGTGGGAAAAGGCAAAACACCTAAAATTTGATCATGATTGACAAAACTTATATCGCTTGAATTGACGGCAAAATTTTTTTTAGTTTCATCTATAGGTGTTAAGCCTACGACTTCAACATCATTATCTATAATATTTTCGACAGAACAAACATATTTATATACCGTTGTGTTCCTTTTTCCACCTTTAAATTGAACCAGAACAAAACTTCCAGTTTTTAAGTCTTGAAGAGATGTCTCCTTTATATTAATTGGGTCTTCATCAATTTTCTCGTCTTCCCAATCGCAAGGGCTTTCGCTGTCATTCAAACAGTCGTCTAAATTATTATTATCTTCGTCACTTGAACTGTCCTCACCTTTCTTTTTTTTTTGACGTCTTTATTTTTTTTGTTGGAATTTTCTTGGTTTCCAGTGTTTTCCTTTTTAACTTTTCGGGTTTCGGTTTCTTTATCTTCTTTTCATGTGCTTGTTTTAGTCTATCAAGGACTTCTTTATTTGTTAAAATTTCGCCATAGGTTTGTTGTCTTAATCTTGGTATTACTTGTTTTACTATTGTAGTAACGTTTTCATTTTTTTCTGGGGACTTAAAAAACAACTTGGTAAGTTTATGTGGTGCGTCTAGTATATTAGTCGCCATACAACTAGATGTACAAGTTTCAGTGGTATGGTGTTTACAAGATTGGTTTCTTTGTTCATCTGTTGGAGTGACCACTCTCACCTCTTGAGACCTGATTGATTCGGCGTGGAGATCATCGGGAATATCTTCAGGGGTATCGTTTTCTGTTTCTTGTAAATCATTAGACTCTTTAGATAAACTGCTTTGATTCTGCAGACATTTTTCAAATTGTGGAATATTTTCAGAAGTATCCTTAGAGTTTTCTGTATTTTGTAAAGTATTATTATTTTCTTTAGATGAAGAGTTCTGATTCTGCAGATATTCCTCTAACTCACGTTGTTTAAAGCAATCTGTGGGAAATTTTGTTTTGTCGATGGGAAAAATCCCGCAACTACTAAAACCAGATATAATATTTGTTGGTTTTATTGCATGAGTCCAAACTTCACCCAGAAGCTCAACAAATTCTGTTTTAGACAATCTTCCGGTTCCCTTCCCCATTTGTTTCTTTCCATGCGCGATAAGTTTTTTCTCCCAAAAAGTCTTGACAGGACCAAATACGCATTTGTCAAGAGGTTGTAGCATGTCCGTCAAATGGCTTGGCAACTTAATTAGAATAATATTGTTAGACATAGCTTCTTCAACTATACGAACACTAATATGGCTAGCATGCCCATCATATATTAGAACCGCTGTTTGGTTTGGAAGATCCTTTAATAGTCTTATATTTTTTATATGAGTTATAAAACTCTTTGTAAACCAGGTGAAGAATTGGGGTTCTTCCATCCAACCATTTTTTGATACTGCATACAGGGTTCCAGGATATGCTTTATCAGACACCCAGCGGGCTTGCACACCAGCGCCCTTAAATACAATGAGAGGAGGAAGCACTGACCCATCTGCTCCCACACATGCGAGGACCGTAGTGGATTCTCGACCCGATCCCCCAGAAACGCGGCTTAAAGGCTTTCCCTTCTGCCCAATAGCTCTTAATCGACTTGGGTCGTTTTTAAAGCCTGTTTCATCTGCATTAAAAACAAAACATGCTTGTTCCAGAGACGTTATTCCCAATCGATCAAATGTGCTGCTTAAATCTTCATAGAATTTGTAAATTACATCGGGCCTTCTGGCGTCTTTGCGACATTTTTGTAGGTGTTCGGGTTTTTTTAAAGATAAAAGATTTTTATGCCGTTTTAAAAACGAGTAATACCAATCCACACCTGGGCGGTCATTAACAAACTGGGTTGACATGTTATTAGATTTTACATACTCCTGAATGAGGTCCAAAAGTTCGTCCTTATCACACGGAAATCCAGATTTTGCGCGAGCCAACAAACAATCGACGATTTTCTTTTCTGTGTCATAAGTAAATGCTGTTTTACGACCTCTCCCTGAAGAATCCATGGCAGTTTTTCTTCCATTCAGCCGTTGGGAAATAACGGCAATTGGTACATTGTAGTGGTCTTGTGCCTGCCGGTAAGACATATTTCTGTTCTGCACATCTCGAACGGCATTTTCAAGGTCTTCTTTGGAATAATTTGGCCCATTAGTTTTGGGAATATACTTTCTAGGCATCTAAAACAAATTTATTGACTAAACCTTACGTTTACATTTACCCCAAAAGTCGGTTTACATTTACCCCAACCACGCGTTTACATTTACCCCCTATACACTTTTATTAGGGGTAAAAGTAAACACTCTTTAAAAATTATTAAAGTAAGATATCCAGTTTATAAGCATTATTTGGCACAATAGTTAAGGTATTTGCAACCCTTCCAAAGATATTTTATAGTACTTACCTTTAGAATTAAATTTTCACCTGAATATTTACACAGTAGCCACAAATGAAAAAAGAGGATTATTGTTATGGTGACAATAAGAACACAAAACAAACTGAAGACGCTTGCGTAAACACCTGTTTTTTTGAATAGTATGAGAGGAGGGGATGTTTAACAACTGCCAGAAGTAATAAGGTTCTGGCGGCAAATTTAAAAAGAAAATTTGTGGTGTTTACAATTACCCCTGTTTACCTCTTGACCCTATATCTTCGTCTTGGATTTCTTTGTTTAAAATTTTCCTTACCAATTGTATGGTCTCCAGCTTTCTAAGTTCTTCTTTTGTTAAGGTTTTTGTTTTATGGTATACTTCAGTTGTTGCAGTATGCCTTGGTAGTTTCTTATACTCCTACTCACTCATAGACAAAAACGTTTTCCTTGCATTGGATTGTAAATTCATTGCATAAAACTACAGTATATAAATAATATAAAACTCCTAATATAAACAAAAAGTTGAATTTTGCTACTTGTAGTACTATGCTCCACACCTCAAAGTCCCACCACGTGACCACGTACGGAACGCAGTCTTTTGAAATTTTGGCATTTAAGGCTTTTCAGGTTATGTATCTGTCAAAGTATAGTCAATGAAAGAATAGTACATTCTGTAACAAGTTTGGAATACAGCATATTCCGCTCGAGGAAAAATTTGACACACGAGCCGAAGGCGAGTATGACGGTTTTACGAGAGTGGAATATGCTATTCCAAACGTGTTTCAGACATTATTTTCTCTACGACTACTTAAGAATAGTAACATTCTAGTGTAATTTTTGATCATAGAAAGGATGTTTTTCTGCAATACTGTGCGAGAATATTCCTACTCTTGTTTAAGAATGGTCACAAGTAACGACATCTCCTGGCTGTTTACTAAACGTAAAAAATTTAAAAATATTTAAATATTACTGTATTATTTATTAATTAAAACATAATAGCATTTGTATAATTAAGGTTTAGGCACAAAAAATTAGTTATATTTATTGTTTTTCAAATATACAAATCAAAATTATAATAAATTTGATATTAAAAAACAAAATGGTTTGACAATACAAAAAACTTAAATGTCAAAAACTGCTTGGTTTCTTTTCTCTGTTTAAAATTATATAAGCGTTACTATTCTTACGTAGTCGTAGAGAAAATAATGTCTGAAACACGATTGGAATAGCATATTCCACTCTCGTAAAAACCGTCACACTCGCCTTCGGCTCGTGTGTCAAATTTTTCCTCGAGCGGAATATGCTGTATTCCAAACTTGTTGCAGAATGTACTATTTTCTACTCCTATTACGGAATTTGACCGTTCTAATATAACTTTTATCTATGGAATGACATATATTCCGTAAAGTGTTACAGAATAAAATATTCTCAGATCATCATCAGATGACAGAATGAACACTAGTGGCGACATCTCTGTTTTTAATATCTAACAAATTTTAGACCGATCCAACCTCACTTTCTTCCAATTAAATTATTTTTCTATGGTATTTTTTGGAAACGTAGAAAAAGTATAGACTTAAACACGTTTGAAATTGCATATTCCGCTATCGTGAAACCGTCAAACTCGCCTTCGGCTCGTGTGACAAACTCTTCACTTGAGCGGAATATGCTGTATTCCAAACTTGTTACAGAATATACTATTATAAAGTTAATAAATCTTTATAGTATCACAATAACAATGGTTGGTTTAAGAATTTAGGAACATAAAAACTACATTTAATGAAATTCCAAAGTGTAAGGTGCAATATAAGTGATATTTTTGTGCATTGGGTCTACATTTCTCAATAAAATAGTTTTAACTAAACAGCATTTATTAAAAAAATCTAACTTCTCTATTATGAAATAAGAATATCTGTATCAAAGTTAGGTTAATGTATTAGAAAAAAAAATATCATCTAATTCTGTATTTTAAGGTTAGAAAAATCTATTTTGACCAAAATAAATGAGTGGATTATAAATAAATATAGGTATACTAAATAATTGTTGAATATGGTTCAAATTAAATTGAAGCTTTTATACTTCTAATGACAAAACTTGTGCATACCTACTTTAAGTTAGATTATAAGAAAACAAACAATTCTTAGAGAAACTTGCAATTTGAAAATATTTAATACTCCCATGACATGTGATTTATTAAAATTTTTAAAGTTATAATGATTTTTCGATGTAGATCAAATTCACTCGAAGCTTTTTAACTATTTGTATTGACAAAACTTTATGTAGGTTCACTTTAAGCTGGATAAGAAAAACCACCACATTATTAAATACCATATTATACAGTCTTTTAAATAATCCAAAATTCTTATTTATTTTGGTCAAAATAATTTTTTCTAACCTTAAAATTACAAAATTAGATGATATTTTTGTTATAATATATTAACCTACCTTTAAAACAGATATTCTTATTCCATAATAGACATAATATTATTTCTTTCGTTGACTATACTTTGACAGATACATAACCTGAAAAGCCTTAAATGCCAAATTTTCAAAAAACTGCGTTCCGTACGTGGTCACGTGGTGGGACTTTGAGGTGTGGACACAGACCTGTGGGTGTGGAGCATAGTACATAAACGGTCATAACTTTTTTTCCTAAATACCTTGTTTTTTCACAAAAGTGTGGATTCAAGTGTTTGACACTTTTTGCAACCAGGTTTGCTGTTTCCAACTCGAGATATGTCCCAAATTGTAAAGCTGCATTCTAATTTCCACAAAAATGCATTTTTGAACTACAAAACGGATTTAAGAATAAAATCGCGTTAAAAATGCTTTTGACGATGACGATGACGATAAAGTCTAATAAATATTCCTTTTTGATGTTATTTAGATAATGTGTCTCGTTGGGAGCGCTCCGTGAACGACGAGGAAGAAAAACTGGAGACGGGCAGAAAGCAGGAGGCGAAACAGCGCGAAGAGATCGAAAAGGATCAGCAACAGGTGGAGCGTCTGAAAGCGCAACGTCTCAACAAGAAACAAGAGGTCGACGGTATGGAGGACGACGTCGGAAAAGCCCGAAGGGAGGTCGGATCGATCGCGAAGGATCTGCAGGTCTGCCAGAAGGCAATCGTCAATCTGGAGTCCAAGATTGAGAGCAAACGGAGCGATAGGCATACAATTCTCATGCAGTGCAAGGTTAGTTCAGTTCTTTCCAAATATAAACATTTATTCTTCTTCTTTGCTTTGTTTGGCTTTTCCCTTCCGGGATTGGCCAGCTGAGTCTTCTATCTTTTCAAAGGTACTGTAGCAAGCAGATCTAGGATAAGGTGACCAACTTTCAAAAATTAAAAACCTGGACACAACATGCCCCTCCTCGCCCTTCCAAAAAATAAACAAAATTTATTTTATTTAATGTTTATTATTTGGAAAAAATGATGTGCTAATAACGTCAATAATAAAAAAATTATCCTGAAGGTACCTACTCACAAAAATTCAGATTTTTAAATTAATTTTTAACCTGAGCCCTGACCACTTTTAATAAAAAAACTAGAACAAATACTAAAAAAGTGGGAAAAACTCATAATTTAAAAAAAAATTTAAACGAGGTTTTTTCTTACTTTTTTTACTATCCTAAAGGTCATCCCAAAAATTCAGATTTGTAAATTAATTTTTAACCTGAGCCCCAACCATTTTTATTACAAAAATTAAAACCAAATCCTAAATATGTGGGAAAAACTCATAATTTTTTAACATGGGTACTACCATAAATTCAGATTTGTTAATTAATTTTTAAGCTAAGCCCTGACACTTGGAAAATTGGAACAAATCCTAAAAAAGTGGAAAAACTATTTTCAAAACAAATAAATGTGTTTAACAAGACTGGTTAAACTGATTTAAATAATTGTACAAATGCTACAAAAAACATGATCAGTCTACTAATCACTTAAATTGTGCACTTGCTTTGTAGTTTTGGTAAAACTCGCATAGAAACTAGTCTTTCACGTCAATTTCGGGAAGAGATTGAAAGGCATAATGCAAAGGTAGATAGAAATCAAGACACTCATTCTAGGCACTCATTTAATTAAGCACTCGCTCGCAAGCTCGCTCGTGCCTAAATTAAATTCGTGACGAAAATGGCGTTAATCAAACTTGATACATATACTATTTTGCGTTTTCATTTAATTTTTTATACACTTTATATGGCGTGCATAATCAGCGGCAGCGAACATCATTTGTAATTGAAACGTATCAAAATTTCCACAAAATTACATGTGTTGCCATGGTGACCTGTCAAAAAACCATTTTGATTGGTTAAAAAGTACTGGTGTGGAATTTTCAATTTCAAGATGTTTACACATCCTTTGCGAGTACAATGGCACTCAACTGTGTTTTTTGTAGAGATGGGAATCGGAAAGTTTTCATTTTAAGGAAACTTTCCGTTTTGGAAAGTTTCCAATTGGGAATTTATTAGAGATGGGAAAATTCCCATTTGACGAAAATTCCCGGAAACTTTCCATCGAAAATTCCCGAAATTTTCCGAAAGTTTCAAAAAAAAATTTTTGATTGCGAAAATATTTTTTTTATGCCAGGGATTTGCAAAACACATAACACATTAACTTTTTGTTAAATTTTATTAAGAAAAAAAATGTTTATAAGAATGTAACTGCAATACTATTTTTAGTATCTTTTACTTTGGAATATTTCTATTGTATACTGAAACCTACAAAATAAAAATAAAAAATTTATTATAAAATGTTTACTATTAGAAATTCACTGCTAGTAAATCCTAGATATTTTGTAAAAATACTAATATACTAATATACTAATACAGGGTTTCCTCTCACCTGGAAATCCTTGAAAACCTGGAATAGTCAGGGAATCCGTTTAAGTCCAATAAAATCAGGGAAAAGTCAGGGAATTTCGAAAGTCAGCGCAAAAGTCAGGGAATTTGTTAATATTATGGTAAAAGTCAGGGAAATTTATAAAACGGCTTGTTTTCTGACCCTTTTTCGTTGAAAGTCGCCGTATTGGCAACACTGTTATCGTAAACAATTGTTTTCGTACGGCGCCGCCGTAACGGCGGTAATTATCAAGGATTTTACACAAAAAAATTTTACACATCGCAAAGCAATGCACCTGATAAACAAACAAACAATTAACAATAATTAAAACAATTGTCATAATTAATTTTAAATTGTGAAAGTTTGTTGTGCATTGCTTTGATGAATATGGTATATTTGTATAAATGTATACCAAAGAATGTTTTTTATGTTTGTACCAAAGAATCTATTTTATGTTAAACTGTTTTTATTAAAATTTTATTTTAATTTTTATTATAATATTTAATTTTTAAATAAATATTAACAAAAATAAACGCTATTTTTGACTTAACATAATTCTGATGGGACACTATTTTGGGAGATAATTGTCTTTATGTCTTTCTTTTATTTATCTGGAATTATAGGGACTTTGGTCAGGGAAAACCTGGAAAAGTCAGGGAATTTTAAATGGTTTTAAAAGAGGGAACCCTGTAATATATATAATATAGGAATATTGAAAATTAAAAAGTTAAGTAAAAAATAATTCCAAACACTAGGTTTTTTCTTGACATTTTGCTATGTCTATAAATAAACAACAAAAATGTAAGAATGATTTTACTTACTTTACTTTAACTTTGTTTATACAAAGTGACTAGGTGCACGTTAGAGTGCCCGCAATTTATTTTTTACGGGCACGCTAGTGACGTCATAATAATAATCCGGTTTTGTTCCCCGAACATATAATATTTGTTGGCAAGCTAGATAGCTTAAGTCCATGTCTGACGGTGCAATTTCTCGCGGCGACTTTATTGCGGCGACTAGTTGCAGCGACTTTCTCGCCTCTAGGGTGTTCACACGGTGCAACCAAACTGACGTTATTTTCTACTAGGATTGCCAACATAACCGAAAATTACTTAGTTGAAAAATAAAAATACCTAAACAAATTTAATGTTTATTTAAATCGATTTTGTTTTTCTTTTAAAGTTATAAGTATTTTGTTGTGGAAAAATAAAAACACTCAGATTAAAGCACACGCAAATCACATCTGTCATTCCACAGCTGATAAATATTGAGTACCAACCAAAAAATTTAGTGAAAATTCGTAAAACCCTAAAAAAGTTACTAAGTCGCGGCGATTTTATTGCATGAAAATAGAACATGTTCTATTTTGAGACAGGTTAGATCAGCTGATTAGTTGCATCGTGTGACCACCAAAAAATCGCGGCGACCTAGTCGCCGCAACAAAATCGCCGCGAGAAGTTGCACCGTCAGACATGGACTTTAGATGGTAGGGCGTTTGCTTTGCATGCGAGAGGTCCCGGGTTCGAAACTCAGAAGTTGTCGAAATTTTTTTAATTTTTTATTTCATAAATTTGTTGTTCCTTTGTTAAAAAGTGTTTTATTTTTATCGTAACATAAATTTGCCCATTTAAGTTGGGTTTTTTGCTCAATGGGGCGGGGGGGGCCAATGGGGCGGGGTCGGTTGGGTTGTGTTCTTGAGTTTGGGTTGGTTTGGTTTTATTACGTAACGTATTGCGTAACGTGCCCTTAACATGTATACAGGTACAATTTATTATTATATTATTGTTGTGCCGCCAATTTTAAATTAAGCGGCACGGCAGTGATGACGTTTTTTATCTATTACGTCACTAGCGTGCCCGTAAAAAATAAATTGCGGGCACTCTAACGTGCACCTAGTCACGGCGTTGTTTATAAGTTTTTTGTGATGCTGAAAAATCCGGCTTCATTGAGGTTATGTAACATAACTTACATTATTTATACTTCTTCTTCTGCTTTAAATTAACACACATTAAATTCTTATTCAGTTTCTTGGCCTTGTATCATGGCCCTAACGAAAATCAGCGGTTAAACAATTGACATTTAAATGAAAAAAACAAGGAAAGTTTCCAAGGAATGTTTCCAGTAGCTTAAAAGAAACTTTCAAAATGAAAATAAATTCCCAATTGGAAATTTTCCAAAACGGAAAGTTTCCTTAAAATGGAAACTTTCCGATTCCCATCTCTAGAATTTATTTTTATTTTGAAAGTTTCTTTTAAGCTTCCGAAAACATTCCTTGGAAACATTCCTTGGAAACTTTTCTTGTTTTTTTCATTTAAATGCCAATTGTTTAACCGCTGATTTTCGTTAAGGCCATGATACAAGGCCAAGAAACTTTGAATAAGAATTTAATGTGTGCTAATTTAAGGCAGTAGAAGAAGTATAAATAATGTAAGTTATGTTACATAACCTCAATGTAGCCGGATTATTCAGCATCAGCACAAAAAACCCTGGCACAAAAAAAATATTTTCGCAATAAAAAAAATTTTTTTGAAACTTTCGGAAAATTTCGGGAATTTTCGATGGAAAGTTTCCGGGAATTTTCGTCAAATGGGAATTTTCCCATCTCTAGTTTTTTGTTTGTATTTTTTAGATGGAGGATGTTGCAATTCCAATGATAGTAGGCAATATGGAGGATATTATAGCTGCTGATCCGCAATCACAATCTTCCAGCGATCAAAGTAATTCAACTCACCAATCTGAAAAAGAAGCAAGGTGACAAAAATGTTAGAAAAGTTGGATTTTGGTGCGATAATTATATTTTTCCAGGATCAAGATTGATTACAACATGCTGGGTGAAAACTTTAAGGATTTGGAAGAAAAGGACGAGATCCGCAGGGCGGAAAACAAACTTTTAAAATCCATTCAAAACCTTCAAGACACGCTAACAAAAATCCAGGCTCCCAACATGAAAGCCATAGAGAAGCTCGAACTGGCCCAAGGCAAACTGCAGTCGACCAACGAGGAGTTCGAGGCGCTCAAAAAGCAGAACAAAAAGGCCAAATCCACCTTCGAAAAGATCAAGCAGCAGCGGTACGACCGCTTCGTGAAGTGCTTCGATCACGTCTCCAACGAAATCGACAACATCTACAAGTCGCTGGCGCAGAACCAGTCGGCGCAGGCCTTCCTGGGCGCGGAGAACCCCGAGGAGCCCTACCTGGACGGCATAAACTACAACTGCGTCGCGCCCGGAAAGCGTTTCCAGCCCATGTCGAATTTGTCCGGAGGAGAGAAAACCGTCGCCGCTCTGGCGCTGCTTTTCGCCATCCACAGCTACCAGCCCGCTCCGTTCTTCGTGCTAGACGAGGTCGACGCCGCCTTGGACAACACGAATATCGGCAAGGTTGCCAAGTATATCACGGAGAAGACCGAGTCCCTGCAGACCATCGTTATTTCGCTGAAGGAGGAGTTTTATTCGCATGCTGATGCTTTAATTGGAATTTGTCCCCAGGTAAGATGATTTTTTTTTATAATTTTGTTGATTTATTTATTGTTTTTTTTCAGCCCTCTGATTGCTTGGTCAGCCAAGTCTTGACCTGGGATTTAACAAAATACGAGCACAATGGTTAAATTAATTAATTTAATAGGTATACTTAAGTTATGAAATCTAGTTTAGATTTTTAATAAATTCTATTAGTTATTAGTTTTAAATGTGTTTGACGTTAATAAATATTTTTATAATCTGTATAATTTTTAATTTCTTTAATTCTTGAGAAACCTATTATTTTGATATAGAAAAACAAAAAAAAATCTTAATTCAATAAAAACAAATAGCTCTTTAAAGCAGTTTAGTAAAATTAATAGGATTTTTGTACTTTTAAAATAAAAAGGGTAATTTTGAAAATTAAATAATATACACTACTCAAAAGAGTCTAGGGATATTCTAAATAATTATATATAAGTTAAAAAAAGACGCACAGTATAAATACATTTTATTAAATTATAAATTCATTGTTTGTTACTGTGTACTTTTACAACATTAATAATTTTTTTTATTAACCAAACAAAAAACATGTCGATGTTTTGCAAAACACTACTTTTTGCATAAGGAAATAATTTTACGTTTTTCATTTTAAAGACAGTATTTAAAGTGTGCTTGGTATATTCACTATGCAAAGAGTTCATTTGACCGAAGAACAGCGGTTACGCGCTGTTGGAATGCTCGAAGCCGGCCAAAACCAAGTGCTAGTAGCAGATACTATAGGCACCTCTCAAAGTGTTGTTAGTCGCCTTTGGAGTAGATATTGTGAGACAGGGAGTGTAAGTGAAAGACACCCAGGCCGTGGAAGAATAACTACCCCAGCGCAAGACCGGTTTGTACAACTACAAGCAAGAAGAAACTCAAATTTGACCGCTACACAACTGGTACGAAATTTACAGCAGACCCACAATCTAACCATTTCCGGTCAAACCATAAGAAATCGCCTACATGAGATTAATCTTTGGAGTAGACGACCTTTGAGAGTTCCACCACTAACCAGGGGCAATCGCAGAGCACGGGATATCTGGGCTAGAGAACATCTTGCATGGACAGATGAACAGTGGAGTCATATCTTATTTACAGATGAGTCTAGATTTGGAATTTACCCGGATTCAAGAAGAATACGAGTCTGGAGACAACCAGGAGCCGAAAACCGTCTTCGTAATGTTCAAGAGGTTCATACATTTCAAGGTGGAACAATTATGGTTTGGGGCGGAATAACATTAGGCGGAAGAACAGATCTCGTTCGATTAGAAGGAACATTAAATTCAGTCGCATATATGGATTTGATACTCCGTCCTGTCGTTATTCCATTCGCACAAAATGCAGAGCCCGAATTTTGTTTAATGCATGATAATGCACGCCCACATACCGCAAACGTTGTTAGAAATTTCCTTCGAACTAACCAAATCCCTGTTTTACCGTGGCCTGCTCAGTCGCCAGACCTTAACCCGATTGAGCATGTCTGGGATATGCTACAGAGAGGCGTTCTAAGGGTTAATGATTACTTTGAGAACCAAGAGCAGCTCTTTAATTGCCTTCAAGACGTATGGACCAGATTACCTCAAAATGAGCTAGATAATTTAATCCTAAGTATGCCTCGTAGATGTAGAGCAGTTGCAAACAGTAGAGGAGGTCACACTCGGTACTAAGAACACAAGCTTTTATTTTTTTCGTATTGATTTTGTTAATTCATTTATAATAAATTTTATTAATCAAGTTTGTAATTTTTATTTGCGAAGAATAAAAATTGTTACCACCTAAATTTTGATTTATTTTATATTGTTAGGACTTTTTAATTGAAAACAATTACAAAATAAAATAAAAAAATTAATAAAGAAGTTTTTAATTTCACTTAATCATAATATCCCTAGACTTTTTTGAGTAGTGTATATTATATAACTAATTTAAAACTAAAGATTCATAAAAAATTGCAAAATATTAAAATTAAAAACTCTAAAAGTGTTTAAAAATCATTATAAAAATAAAACTTTAAAAACAATTTTTACATCAAGCAAATCATGGAGGAGTTAACAATATATATAGGGTGTCCTGAAATTAGGGGGGCATAGTTAAACAGTGCAATCAGCATAGAATAAAAAAAAACTTTTTACTTTTGAATTTAACAAAATTATTGAAACTGTCAAAATTGGCGTAACTTTTGGGGGGTGAAGAACTTATTTCTGAAAAAATTTGTGGCTGTTTTTGTACCTTCACCCCCAAAAATTTACGAAAATTTTAGTTTCAATGAATAATTTCTTTAATTTAATTTAAATAATTAATTATTAATAATTGTTATGAATAAAACCCACTCCTAAAAAAGGTACTCATGATTTTCATCACTCAGATCATCTGAGTCAGATGCACCATTTTCAAAAAAGATGCATTTACAAATTACTTTGTTTAGTATAACTATCCCAAATTTTAATGAAATATTTAATAATAGTGTAACTAAGTGTTTTTGTTACCGGTGAGTAGGTCTTTTGACACCTTAGCTTTAGTCTAGTCAGTGGTTAGTTAGTATTTAAATTAAGAGTCGGGGGTTCGATTAATACATACTATTATAAAATACTATATACTTAATATGAGTACATTAGATGCAAAACTCGGTTTTTGCACATTTTTAAAAAATATATATTTTATCTTATTTATGTTCATAACTGCCCACAGCATAACTAAGTAAACCAGATGCATAAGTTAATATTTGTAGAATAAAATACATTTATAAACTTACCGCAGCTGCAAAACTGGGTATTTGTCGGATGCAAAACTCGGTATTTGACCAATCACCAATCACGTCGCTAGTATACGCATTAACTGACGGCATAACAATCACCTGATTAATTGTTATTTTTTTGGTATTTGCACTTTTCACTTGCAAAACTTGGTCTTTGAACGAGGAAGATGCAAAACTATGTTTTTAAATCTTTTGATTTCAATTATTTACTAAACTACTTAATTTTAAAGGACTTTTTTTTTACTTTTTTGAATAAGAAATGATGCAAAAGCACGTCTTTACGATTTTTGTATTTTTTTTTCAAATATGACCTTATGAGCGGTTTTTCGTGTTTTTCTTAAAATCACTTATCCTGCAAATACAGAGTTGTGCATCTAATGTACTCATATATATATATATACTATTATAAAATAAATTACGCCTTATGTACAAAATAACACAGAATGAAAATAAGGAACACACGGTATGATGTACAAAAAATACACATACCTTTTTAAGTGGAAAGCTCTAAATAATAATTTCAGAAAAAAAATAAAACATTAATTCAGAAAAAAGTGGGACAATAATTGCATTTTTTCGGGATAAAGATTGATTACAACATGCTGGCCCAGCATTGCTGGGTGAAAACTTTAAGGATTTGGTAGAAAATGATGAGATCCGCAGGGCGGAAAACAAGCTTTTAAAATCCATTCAAATCCTAGACACGCTAACAAAAATCCAAGCTCCCAACATGAAAGCCATAGAGAAGCTCGAACTGGCCCAAGGCAAACTGCAGTCGACCAACGAGGAGTTCGAGGCGCTCAAAAAGCAGAACAAAAAGGCCAAATCCACCTTCGAAAAGATCAAGCAGCAGCGGTACGACCGCTTCGTGAAGTGCTTCGATCACGTCTCCAACGAAATCGACAACATCTACAAATCGCTGGCGCAGAACCAGTCGGCGCAGGCCTTCCTGGGCGCGGAGAACCCCGAGGAGCCCTACCTGGACGGCATAAACTACAACTGCGTGGCGCCCGGAAAGCGTTTCCAGCCCATGTCGAATTTGTCCGGAGGAGAGAAAACCGTCGCCGCTCTGGCGCTGCTTTTCGCCATCCACAGCTACCAGCCCGCTCCGTTCTTCGTGCTGGACGAGGTCGACGCCGCCTTGGACAACACGAATATCGGCAAGGTTGCCAAGTATATCACGGAGAAGACCGAGTCTCTGCAGACCATCGTTATTTCGCTGAAGGAAGAGTTTTATTCGCATGCTGATGCTTTAATTGGAATTTGTCCCCAGGTGCGATGATTTTTTTTTTCAATTTTGTTGATTTATTTATTGTTTTTTTTTCAGCCCTCTGATTGCTTGGTCAGCCAAGTCTTGACCTGGGATTTAACAAAATACGAGCACAATGGTTAAATTAATTAATTTAATAGGTATACTTATGTTATGAAATCTAGTTTAGATTTTTAATAAATTCTATTAGTTATTAGGTTTAAATGTGTTTGACGTTAATAAATATTTTTATAATCTGTATAATTTTTAATTTCTTTAATTCCTGAGAAACCTATTATTTTGATATAGAAATTTTAAAACAAAAAAAAATCTTAATTCAATAAAAACAAATAGCTCTTTAAAGCAATTTAGTAAAATTAATAGGATTTTTGTAATTTTAAAATAAAAAGGGTAATTTTAAAAATTAAATAATATAACTAATTTAAAATTAAAGATTCATAAAAAATTGCTAAATATTAAAATTAAAAACTCTAAAAGTGTTCAAAAATAATTATACAAATAAAATCATAAAAACAATTTTTGTAGCAAACAAATGATGGAAGAGTTAACAATATATTCAGGGTGTCCTGAAATTAGGGGGCCAAAGTTAAATAGTGCAATCTGCATAGAATTAAATAATTCTTTTTCAAAAGTAGGTATTCCTAAAGGTTTGAATTTAAAGAAATTAATTATTGAAACTGTTACAATTGGCGTAAATTTTGGGAGGTGACGGTACAAGCCCCAAATTTTTTCAGCTCCTTAAAAAAGGTACTCCTGATGCTCATCGCTCAGATGCACCATTTTCAAAAAAAAAATTATTCAAAAAATATTTTTTTTAGCATACCCATCTCATATTTTAATTAAATATTTAATAATAGTGTAAGCATTGAGTAAGTGTTTTTGTTACTTACCTTTTGGAACCTTAGATTTAGGAATTCTTATAATTCTCGAGCGCCAGTCTATTATAGTTATAGCTATTGTTTAGTATACTATAGTTAAATTAAATAGTAACTATAGTTCTATATATAGTACTAACCTTAAATTAATTTCGATTAATACATAAAATAAAATACGCTTTATGTACAAAATAACAGAATGAAAATAAGGGTACAATGTACAAAAAATAAAGATACCCTTTTAAAAGAAATGCTCTAAATAATAATTTAAAAAAAAATTGTAAATCTACCCCCTCAAATTCAATTTTGCAGTTTTTATTTTAGGTCTATCTTCAGCATATTAAAATAACCAAATTTAAAAGTATCAAAAAAATATTTCTTTATGTAAAAGAACTTCCTTTGACTTTCTTTCTGTTCATTTAAATGACCAAAAAAAAAAGTTTGAGCTATTAATAGTATTATTAAGAGATGCATTAACGCGATTTTCTATTTTTGTATTAAAAAGACCACGACATATTTTCGTATGAAATTGATTGGTCTACAAAAAAGGTTTTTTATTTATGAAAAGTATGTAATAATAATTATTACCTACTATCATTTTTAGATTTCGAGATATTGTTAAAAACGAGAATTTGTAATTTTTATATTTTAAAATACAGTGGCCATTTCTAATTAATACATTATCAAGGCACTGTTTCAAGGGCAAGTCAAATCTGACCAAATCTTTTTGATAGCTTTTAAAACTGCCAAGATAAGCGAGATAAACATGCTTAGCATAAAAAAAACGGACACCATGAAGTTTTATACTATGGTTACTTTATAATCTGTGCTATGGTTTATTTTTGTTTGTTTTATATGTCTATGGCTTATTTATTAATATATTCAAAAAATAATTGTTTTTACTTTCAAAACCAAAATTAAAATGAGGTATCCATTTTATTAATTTAAAAAAAATATCACGATTTTGGAAAGCATTTCATAGTTTTATTTGCCCATAGGTTAGTATACTTACTTTGTGGTAACCACATTGCTGTTACATCTTAAGAAATGGCTTTTTAAATAAAACTCAAAAATTTGAGAATACTTGTTTTTAAAAAATAAATACAACAAATACAGGTTAAGAAATCATAACATTAACAACACCAGACTTTCAAAAAATTATATAATATAATCACCAAAACTTGACAATCACTGCTGTTACCTAAATTACTACTTAAACATAGTATGGTAATATGTCTTTATGACTGGCGTCATAAATTTTTTGGTTAACAATAATTTTAGCAAATTAAATACCCTAGACAAATAATGGCTGAACTATAAAATAAAAAATAAAATACTTCAAGTAATTCTATAGTGGGGAATGTTTGAAATTTTGCTTGCCTTTTGTAATTAATTAATTAATTAGTGGCTTGCTGCAAGAGGCACATTATTTTGTTAATTACTATTTATTCTGACACATATGACACAAGAACTCCTAGTAATAGTAATTTATTATAGCAGAGCTCTTGGCCTTAGGCGTCACACATTAAAGTTTGCAGAAAAATATGACTTATTATAAAAAGTTATATTTCTGATATTTAAATGTACAATATCCACAGTGTTCTTTACTCTATTGTCACGGCTGAAGAGCTAACTGGGAAAAAAGTATACGTAAATTAATTTACTAATAAAACTAGATGTGATGTTTGATGACATGGTTAGTTCACTATGTACAAATTTGACAAGAAACTTGAGCATGATCTGGATTATTCTTAAATTTAAAAATTATAAGAAACGCCATTAAAAATTAAAAAAATAATTAAATAAGACGAAAATTTTGGCAATTAATAGATATTTTTATATTCCTGGCGTTATCTAAAAGGATACAAACATAAAAAATGTTTTGTTTAGCTACTTGAAACATACAAATAAAGAGAGAAACCCTCCTCGAATGTTGACCAACAAAAAATTGGTTTTACAAAATCATAATAAACAGTTATTAAATAAAAATGAAAAATTAAAGCTAACAATGATTGCTAAGTTCAGATTTTTTGAAGTCAACATCCCAAAGAAATTACCCTAATTTTATTAACTTACAACTAACAGTCAGTCTCCTCTGGTGCAAAATATACACAAATAGGAACAGAAACTCTCCTATTTAAATTTTTTAGTCTAACATTAAAAGGCTGATACTGTTCCTTCAAAATTAAATAATCTCAAATGTATTTGTACTTTAAACCAATATTGATTCAGTTGTTAATTCCACTAGCCAACAAGATTTTTTTATTTTGCAAATCCGGACATTGGCATCCCTGCTGCAAAAACCGTGTTCACTAGTGTTCTTAAAGCACCAGATTTATTTAGTAGGATTTAGCAGGTTAATTTAACACTACCAAGTTTGCGATTCTCTCCACTTTTTCAGTATTTAAATGCTAATCAATCAATAATCCACTTTATCTCGAACAAAATTACGTATATCACAGTTTTTTTCAAATTAAATTACAAATTTATACACGCATATAAAAAGTAGATGATTGCCTTTTTAAGTTGTTTAATAAGTGAAATCGGTAAAGTTGAAAAAATATTTAGACGTCAATAATAAAATAAACCAAACAATTTATTTCAATACTAATTATTTTTTCAAATTTACCACAGAGTGCCTAAATTATATTCGCCAATGTTACACAACAAGAAACAGGAAAGTAAAAACATATAATTGTATAAAAAATTAGAAAAAAATAGACCGTAGTGAATTATTTCAAGTATTAGGTACTGCGCAAACTTCACTCACACAATCTAAAAGTAGAATTGTTTAAGTCCTTTTAAAATCGCGGGACATTTTAGTTTTCTCGCGACAACAGTCTATTTTAAGATTGAGATAGATTTACTGGCAAGAAATATTTGTACCTAAATATGACTTTAATTTTGTTAAACTTCGTCGCAAGAAAGATACTAAAAATAGCCCCTTAACTAAATGCAGTTTTAGTAAAATTAATAGGAGTCTTTAATGTTTAAAAATTGGGTAAATTTAAGAAGAAAATAATATGGTTTAAAATTACTAAAATAAATTATTTAAATATAAAATGAATGATTTCGAATTTTTCGAAGTTCTAAAAAATGTTTTTTAGCACAAATATTTAGGACAAATTAACAAATGGAAAACATAATGTTTTTAAAATAACATATTATTAAAAATGTTTCAATAAATTCCTAATTTGAGAAGATGTGGGAATAAAAAAAATTAAAAACAAAAATATGGTTCCAAATGACAAAAAAATGCAGTCAAAATTTGAGCTGCTGTTTATATTACAAGTACTATCGCAATTTACTATTTCCCATTTTTCAACTTATTTAGGATCAAAGTTAAATTTACAGTAAATTCCATGGTTTTGTATTTTTTAGTGAAACTATCAGATTAACGTTATATTTCCCTCAAATTATCTTTAACAAAGTTTATGAAATTCCTGAAGAATCTATTTATTTGCATTTACAGGGTGGCCACATTTCCTGAACTAAATTTCCCCGACTTCACCTGGTTTGTTCAGTGATTTTTTAAGATGGGTATAACTCATTTAAATCTGAAAGATTTGTATTTTTACATTCATATATGAAAGGAACAGTTTTTGATCTATGTATGTATCTATTAAAATGGCGTTTAGGAATTGGAAAAAATCAGCGGTTCTCAAATAATTAAAAAAAACTAAAAAAATGTCAAAACCAAAAATTGATATAACTTTGTTATTCCTAAGAATAAAAAAAAAGTAATTTTTATATGTAAACAATTTATCTACATTATCAAAAATCAGCGGTTCTTAAATAATTAAAAAAAACTAAAAAAATGTCAAAACCAAAAATTGATATAACTTTGTTATTCCTAAAAATAAAAAAAAAGTAATTTTTATATGTAAACAATTTATCTACATTTTCAACCAATTTGTGATTTTTTTTCACCAACTAGATTTTGAGTTTTTAAACCGCGTGAAAAATGACGATTTTAAAAGATTTTTGATTTTAGAATGTAATTTTTAATATATCAAAAAAAAACATTAATTAAATATATAGAATGTTTAATTGAAAAAAAATAATACCCTTTAAAATATTTAAAAATATATAGAAGTTTGTTGCATTTGTGTATCTTTAATTTATTATTAATATAGTTTGTGACAAGTTTTACATTGCATTTATAGCTTTTTTTGAACTAATAAACTTATTATTATTATTTTATACTTGATTATTTTCCAAATTATTTGAAAGGATTATTATTATTATTATTATTATTATTATATTTTCTAATTCAGCCAACCTTATAAAAAATACCCATAGAAGAATTTACCCATAGAAGGATACTTGTTGCACCCTGTATATTCCTTAGCTATTTATTCGATATTTCCAAAACTTTGTAAGAAATGATGTTGGGGAAATAAACAGTTTCAGAAAATTAATCCTATAAAGTTACTGCTGTAAATTCAACTTTGACCTTAAATAACTTTTGAAAGAGTAGATTTATCATAAAACAATGAAATAACTTTATTGTAGAGTATTAAATACTCTAAAAAAATATGTCTTGATAATGCAAAAATGCGTTAACGAGTTATACAACTTAAATTAGAAATAGAAAATCGCGATGTACTATGCTCCACACCTTAAAGTCCCACCACGTGACCACGTACGGAACGCAGTCTTTTGAAAATTTGGCATTTAAGGCTTTTCAGGTTATGTATCTGTCAAAGTATAGTCAATGAAAGAAATAATATTTAGAGATGGGAATCGGAAAGTTTCCATTTTAAGGAAACTTTCCGTTTTGGAAAGTTTCCAATTGGGAATTTATTTTCATTTTGAAAGTTTCTTTTAAGCTACCGGAAACATTCCTTGGAAACTTTCCTTGTTTTTTACATTTAAATGTCAATTGTTTAACCGCTGATTTTCGTTAAGGCCATGATACAAGGCCAAGAAATTTTGAATAAGAATTTAATGTGTGTTAATTTAAAGCAGAAGAAGTATAAATAATGTAAGTTATGTTACATAACCTCAATGAAGCCGGATTATTCAGCATCATCACAAAAAACTTTTTTAAAAAAAGGTAAACAAAATAAAAACAATAAATAAAGTTAAAATCATTCTTACATTTTTGTTGTTTATTTATAGGCATAGGCTATGCCGCATAGCACAATGCCAAGAAAAAAATCTAGTGTTTGGAATTATTTTTTACTTTACTTTTTACTTTTCAATATTCCTATATATTAGTTACTTTGTCCCTTTTAATTTTTTTACATAATATCTAGGATTTACTAGCAGTGAATTTATAATAGTAAAACTTAAATTACAAATTAAAAGATACTAAAAATATTATTTCATTTTTTTTTCTTAATAAAATTTGACAAAAAGTTAATGTGCAAATCCCTGGCATAAAAAAAATATTTTCGCAATAAAAAAATTTTTTTTGAAACTTTCGGAAAATTTCGGGAATTTTCGATGGAAAGTTTCCGGGAATTTTCGTCAAATGGGAATTTTCCCATCTCTAATAATATTTATAGTGTTAAAAGTTAATAAATCTTTATAGTATCACAATAACAATGGTTGGTTTAAGAATTTAGGAATATAAAAACTGCATTTAATGAAATTCCAAAGTGTAAAGTGCAATATAAGTGATATTTTTGTGCATTGGGTCTACATTTCTCCATAAAATAGTTTTAACTAAACAGCATTTATTTAAAAAAATCTCTATTAAGAAATAAGAATATCTGTATCAAAGGTAGGTTAATGTATTATAACAAAAATATCATCTAATTTTGTATTTTATGGTTAGAAAAATCTATTTTGACCAAAATAAATAAGTGGATTATTTTGAAGAGTGTGTTAATATGGTCATAAATAAATATAGGTATACTAAATAATAGTTGAATATGGTTCAAATTAAATTGAAGCTTTTATACTTATAATTACAAAACTTGTGCATACCTCTCGGCATACCTACTTTAAGTTAGATTATAAGAAAACAAACAATTTTTAGAGAAACTTGCAATGTGAAAATATTTAATACTCCCATGACATGCGTTTTATTAAAATTTTTAAAGTTATAATGATTTTTCGATGTAGATCAAATTCAGTTGAAGCTTTTTAACTATTTGTATTGACAAAAACCTTATGTATGTAGGTACACTTTAAGCTGGATAAGAAAAACTACCACATTTTTAAATACCATATTATACAGTCTTTTAAATAATCCAAAATACTTATTTATTTTGGTCAAAATAAATTTTTCTAACCTTAAAATTACAAAATTAGATGATATTTTTGTTATAATATATTAACCTACCTTTAAGACAGATATTCTTATTCCATAATAGATGATTTAATCACAGACCACCAAAACAAATGGACGGATTTGTTTACGTTTAAAAAGCGAGTAAAGCATAGTTTCACATTCTAAACACCGTCGAAAGAAACACGGCTTCCAACGTTGTCAGAAGTATATATTACACGCCTTTTTGGACGTTCATCATAACATAATGAACATTAATAATTACCAGTAACTCGTTTGAATAATAAAAAAATTGTAAAAAGGATTTGTTCATCATTTTCTTTAGATATTTTTCTCTATTTAAAGAAAGTAAATCATTTAATAATCATTAAAATTAAATATTAACAACGTTGGTAAATTCGTCATATTTGACAGCATAGAAAAAGGTTGACAGCTTGTTGTTTTGTGTTTTCGTTTGTGTATTTCTATCGTGTTTAAGTTAATTATGGAGTTTAAATACATTATTTTTTACTAAAAATAACAATACATGGAAATATCGTTTGTAAGTACCTACCTACTTATTATTTTTTAATCCCAATACGTCACTGGAAGAAAACATAAAATTCTATCGCCAATTGAACGCTTAGAATGTGACCGTTTGTTGACCGCAAACAAAGCATTGTTATTGAATGGCAATGCGCCGTCCATTTGTTTTGGTGGTCTGTGGATTTAATAAATGCTGTTTAGTTAAAATTATTTTATGGAGAAAACCAGATATTTGGACCAAATGCACAAAAATATTACTTATTTGGCACCATACACTTTAGAATTTCACTAAATGCAGTATTTATATTCTTAAATTCTTAAACCATCCATTGTTATTGTAATGTTATAAAGATTTATACATTTTTAACGCCTAAACATAATATTATTAAGCCTTAAATGCAAAATTTTCAAAAGACTGCGTTCCATACATGGTCACGTGGTGGGACTTTGAGGTGTGGAGGATAGTACCTACTCCTCTCGCCATTTGGAAAAATATTTTCGTTAATACTGCTAATTGGTGAAAAATTGCACTACCAAATAATAAAAGTTCGCGTTAGCGTTTTAAAAACCGTTAAAATTATCAGCAGTGTTTAAATATCGCGATTTCGCTTATCACTCCGATGAACTCTCTTAGACTTGCATTATTAAAAATTACCCATTTTTAACTGTGAGTCAAACCACGTCAAGTGGGACCAGAAAATTTCACGAAATCACTGATTTTAAAAATAATCACATTATTGTGTAGTAGGCATGACGCATATGTCACAGTAAAAAAATTGTTTCGAAATTCCCTTTTTTAGTAATATTATTAAAGTTAATAATTTTGTCAAACTGGACCACTCTGTATAATTGAATTAAATTTTACACACTATTGTAGCAATGTTTAGACTATAGAATTGTCATTTAATTAAGGTAAATTTGTTTAAATACAATAATTTTGCATACATTTATTTTAAACAATTGAAATTTTTTATGTTTTCTTAACGCTGAAAAAAAAATCTTGTGTCATAATATGCGGCAAACATTCCCGTTTAATAAAATGTACTCAAAAATTTGTACATATATCTTATTCCGGAGATATTAAATTTTTTGTCCCGCTGTGCGTTTCATCAGTACGCGGCGCGCTTCGCTGCTAGCTCGTCGGTTCCAACGTTCTAACGGAAAGCTGTGCTAACGGGCTAGCAGCGAAGCGCGCTGCGTACTGCTCAAGCGCACAGCGGGAGAAAAAAATTAATATCTCCGGAATGACCTATGAAGGACAAATTTTTGAGTACATTTTATTAAACGGAAACGTTTTCCGCATATTATGACACAAGATTAATTTTTTTCAGCGTGAAGAACACATAAAAAATTTCAATTGTTTATAATAAATGTATGCAAAATTCTTTTATTTAAACAAATTACCTTAATTAAATGATCATTCAATAGTCTAAACATTGCTACAATAGTGTGTAAAATTTAATTCAATTATACAGAGTGGTCCCAGAGATTCTATTTTTTCAATTTTACCATGCTGTAAAGTTTGACAAAATTATTAACTTTAATAACATTACTAAAAAAGGGGATTTCGAAACAATTTTTTTACTGTAACATATGCGTCATGCCTACTACACAATAATGTGATTATTTTTAAAATCAGTGATTTCGTGAAATTTTCTGGTCCCACTCGACGTGGTTTGACTCCTGTTTGATTAGACTCTCCTTACCTTTCAAACGCAATATTAAACCTAATTAATCGTCGAAAAACTGCACACATAACAACCGTCCGCCGCCGCGTTCGCCTTAAGCGCAGGCGCTATTACCTGGCGGTAGCGGCCAAGGCGCCGCCGCCCCCTTCGATGTCGAAGTCCAGCACTAGCAGCTTCGTCTCCTCGGTGCCGTTGCGGCTGCCCACCGCGCACACCAGCTTCGTGTCGCTCGCGCGGATGCGCCACACGACGCCGCCCGAGCCGCCGCTGTCCAACGCGACCAGGTTGCGAATGAAGTCGCCGGTGCGCACGTCCCACAGCTTCACGGTGCCGTCGTCGGACGACGTGATGACGAAACGGCTGTTGAACTGGAGGCACGTCACGGCCGATTGGTGCTTGTAAGGCCCTGCGTAAAATGGCATTAAATTTAGTACATTTGTGGCATGATAAAATTTCAGAAAGTGATTGCCCGAAAAAACACCATTATGGAAAAATAAATAGCTTGTTTAAAAATTTAAACTATACAAATGTGTTTTAATTGATAGGCATGCTTTAGTATTAAATTTGAGTATATAAAATATTACACAGTATTTGATTTTTTTCCCTCCCATGAAAAATTTCCAATTCTTTCGGCAATTGCAATGAAAATTGCCATAGGCATGCGCGGTTGAGACATTTCGACGAATCTCTTGCAATTGCCGAAAATCGGTCCGGATGGATTTTTATTGCCGTTTCACGGCAATTCTGGGGTGAAATCTGGTAACTTTTATGTTACCAACCCTACTACAAATTCCCTAAAGAAACGCTGTTTGAACAGTTTAATGTTATTTGTTTTATGATTGACATTTTGTTCAAAGTTCTAGTATCCATTTTACTCATTAATTTTTAAATATCTCTTCTAAATAACAAATAAACTTAGTGTTTACCACAATCCACACAACAAGGTCTGTTCTATCTCATGCTAAAAATACTAAAAATCACTGCAACACTGCTCAGAGTTTAACGGCGGCCATTTTTGTTGTTTACAATTCTTGTGCCTTGGGTTTGTGCTGTTTAATAATTGTTTCTTACAGAGGCACTTGTAAGCCTCAAATAAGGCCTTTAAGTGCTAAGGACGACCATTTTACTCCTCTTTTATAATAAATATACCTTATTCTATCAGGGCTGTCAAATGACAATTTGAAGGTTAATTTGTGGGTTATAATTTAACCTTAAAATTGACATTTGACAGTTTTATGACAGCCCTGATAGAATAAAGTTTATTTTTTTTTATAGACGAGTAAAATGGTTGTTCTTAGCACTTTAAGGACTCTTTTAAGGCTTACTATGAGAAACACAACGTTTAAAACGATTATTAATCTGTATAAACAGAGCACAAACCCAAAGCACAAAAATTGTAAACAACAAAAATGGCCGCCGTTAAACTGTGCAGTGTTGCAGTGATTTTTTGTATTTTTAGTACGAGATAGAACAGACCTTGTTGTGTGGATTGTGGTGTTTACAAAATCGTATATTTTTCTTCGGTTGGTAGCACGGTAATAAACAGCAAGTTGTCTTGCCATTGCTGATTGTAAAACAACATGCAATACGGCCTTGAAAACTTGATGGCAAGAAAAATTGCTGCAAGAAGAATTGCCGGCTGTAATACGGCCTTAACAGATTCGATAACAGCTAGACAGTATATTTTTATGAAATATTTAGTCACTGAATAAATGGACAACCATTAAGATTATTTATTTATTTTAAAATTATTTTAATTATATACAGGGTGTTGCACATTTACGAAATACGGGTGTTTCACGTTCGTGGTCCATTGAGAGTTTCTGAGGAACGGCAAAAGATATCGATTTGAAATTTTTAAAGCGTTTATAATCCAATTAAGCCTATTTTTCTAAAATATTTTAAACAAAATACCACTTCCGGCTTGGCCGGAAGTGACATCAACTTTGTTATTTTAAATGGAACACCCCATATATTTTTACATTTTTAAATTCTTCGTAAAATTTTGACTAAAAATACTGTACCATTTCCTATACCTACAGTAAATAGTTTTGGAGTTATTAATTTTTTCCGTCAAAATATGACAAATGCGCGTCAATCAAAAATAGCCTGTAACTTTCTTGCTATTAGGTTTGCAGAAATAGGGGTGGAATTTTTGGAATCTTAAAACATTGTTTAAAAGATTCCAACTGGGTGTTACATTTAAAATAAAAAAGTTTTTAACGTTTCATGTTTAGTTTAGGAATTTTTAGTTTAAATTTCGCGCGCTTCAAAAACGAATTTTGAGATCGACCGCATTGCGCGGAATCCGAGATTTAAAAACCATGAGCAGTTAGCCAATATCGTTCGGGGCAGTTAGCAGCAAAACGGGCCGATTAGATTTAGAACGAGATTTCGTTAGTAAACGGTAAATTTTGGTAACAGCAAATCCTGGTTCTCTCCCTTATACCTATCAAAACAGTGCCAGAAGTCATCGTGGGGCCCCACTCAGCAGGAAAGAAAGTCACACGAAATGTAAGTCCTGAAACCTTTACCACCATACAGTCCACTCGCTCCCAGCTTAACATTTCAAGTTAGCCCAATTTGCCCTGGCCATGGAATTTTTTGAACAATGTTTTAAGATTACAAACATTTTACCCCCATATTCGTAAACCTAATAGCAAACATCTAGAAAACTATTCACTTTAGGTTTAGGACATGGTGTAGTAATTTAAAATTACCAATTTTATTTAGAATTTTATGTAGAATTTAAAAATGTAAAAATATATAGGGTGTTCTATTTTAAATAACAAAGTTGATGTCACTTCCGGTCAAACGGGAAGTTGCATTGTGTTCAAAATATTTTAAAAAAATACACTTAATGGATTATAAACGCTTTTAAATTTTAAATCTATATTTTTTCCGTTCTCCAGAAACTTCCAATGGGTAGGGGCAACTAAATTATGCGTTTGAAAACTACAAATTATGCGCAGGAATTGTGCCATTTTATGCGGCAATTATGCGGGCAAAATTGGGAAAATATGCGCCAATTATGCGGGCAAAAATAAGGAATTATAGGAAATTAATCGGGCAGAAATCAAGAAATAAGCGAAAATTATCTGTAATTTATTGATTTGGAAGGAAATAGTGAGTTAAGAATGCATCATTTTCATTTCTTTTTAAATCTGAATAGGGAACTGCAGGTCACACACGTTAATAAAACAAGTGAGTGATAGTTAAACGAAGTAGTATTTTATTTTCCATAAAGTATTTTGTAAAAGAGCAGACTAGTCAAATCTTTAAAAGTCAACATTAACATAAATTATGTTGCATACATAACATAGATAAGTTATCTAAGATAACAATTACAACATTAGTAATGTTACATTATAGTCACAATTGCACATCATTGCCTCAACTTTATCCTTTGTAAGAGTAGTCCTCCTGGAGGAAAATATGTCTCCATAAGCACTAAAGCCTCTCTTAGTGTCCACATTTGAAACAGATACATGTAACAATTGCACACAGGGTATCACAAAATTTACATATTCCCTAATCATAGAAATTAATGCACAAAGCACCAGATCCTCTTTCTCACCTTTTTTAGATTTATCTTTAGAATTTTCTTTAACGGCATCTGCCAAAATAGAATGTAACACTACAAAATTTGATGATAGGATGAAAAACATTAGACTTATTTTTTCTTTTGCTGCAATATCACTTTCAGCTGAAAGAGGAGCAGTCAACTTATAGGAGTCAAACAAAAAACGAGAGGACTCAAAGAAGTCCTTCGCAGTATCCTCCTGCAACATTTTTTTTAGAGTCACAGCAGGAGGTGCAAACATCTTTCATTCTTTGCAGTAAATTTTTCTGTTTCTTCCCAGGTACCTCATTAAGACTAGTTTTGGTTTTTTCGAAACTCCGGCGTGGCGGAATTAATGTACTGTGCATTAAAAGTGATTTTGGCCAAATGGAAACCAAAAAACGCGTAAATTATGCGACAATATGTGATATTATGCGCATAATATGCGGAAATGCAATATGCGGTGACCGCCATAGAATTATGCGAAATTATGCGGACTGGAAATGATCCATACTGGACTCATAACATACCAAAGTGTTCAAAAATTGATAATATCTGCACTTTTGAAAAAATATGCAATTATGCGCCCGCATAATATGGTTGCCCCTACCAATGGGCCACGTATATCAAGGGGTGTTTTTAGGTTGTGATACCACTAAAGATTCGAATGTATAATCGTCAAACTAAAAGATCAAGATTTGTTTCCAACATATATTTAATATAAGATAAATACAAATCAAAAACAAAAACCAGAAATATTTGAAGAAAAAAAATGATTTATAACAAAATAGAGAATTAAAATTCTGTTTAGGTTAAAATAATAAGAATGGCTGTGTAAAAAAAATAAATGACGTGATTTCGTGAAACGGTGAGACACGGGTACGTTTTTTAACCTTTATTTTTAAAATCTGTTAAAATTTTTCATGGGAGGAAAATCGTGTTGTACTGTGTTATTTACAAATAATTTTAAGGAAGTGTTTAGTCTGCCGAACATTCGGTAGAGTAACAGCCACGTTAGTCTACCGACTATCCGGTAAATTATCCTCAGAAGTTAGTCTGCCGATTATTCGGGCATTTAGCCTAAATGTTATTACAAAATAATGCAAAAAAATACCATTCTCAATGCAAGATCTGTAAAAAATATATGTCGTTAATGCAACCAAAATGGTCAAACATAAAAAAGTGTCTTTGTGCCCTCACATAAAAATATCTTTTATTATAAGATTATCTATGCAAAATTTTAAGTCTACTGAAAGTCAAGTCCACCAGGTAGCAATGCCAGTACTGGAAACATAAAAGAATTTGTTGATATCATGTCCCTTAATGAACAGAATAAATTGGAAGAACTATTTACTCAAGCAAATTACTCTAGTTCTTGCCCCTTAGTTTAGTTGATTTAATATTTTTAAGCAACTATGTTCAAGTTCAATGTACCTGGAAGAAATAAATTAAGTACAACATTGCTTAACTCTGAAATATAATACAACAATTCTTTCAGACGGTTGTAGCAACTTCAGAGCCTGTATTTTTAAAAACGATAGACTCAAGCTCACTCAAAAATGTTGATTTTATTTTGCATGTAGTTTTTTTTTATATTTTATTGGTCAGAACTGCAATAATATTTTTAGTATCTTTTACTTTTCAATATTCCTATATAGGTAGCCAATATTATTTTTTTTGCAAACCTCGCACAAAAAACTCATTTCCGCAATAAAATTTTTTTTTTAAACTTTCGGAAAGTTTTGAAAATTTTTGATGGAAAGGTTCCTGGAATTTTCGTCAAATGGGAATTTTCCCATCTCTATAAAAGCATCACCTCATTAAGTCATTAGATAAAACTTACAAGAACATCCGCATAAAGTGCTGGTCAAACTAAAACTGCTGTAATGCACATGTATGTAAATTAGAATACAAATAAACGATCAAACAAAACTTAATTTTATAGTTGTAGTAAAATTTTCACTACCTTATTTTTTATACAGATTTCAGTGAAAATACTTAAATTTTTCTTTTTAAATGTCTTTTTTAAAAAAATCTGTATAGATTAAAAAAAAACATAAAAAATGGGTTTTCCAACCCTGTTTTGATGCTAGAGTGTGAAGTGCCTTTATATTCAAGTTGCATACATAACGTTTTTTAATACTATAATAAAAATTATTTCATTTAGGAATCTGGTAACCCTGCTCAGGAAGTATTTTAAGTTAGGAATAATTTTAGTTAAATATCATACATCTGTTTTCTAGGTTACGTTCAAATTCATCAGTATTTCAATAGTTTGAAAATCGCGGTAAAGTACATACTAGAGACGCGACTTGTAAATTTAAAACATAATTTTAGGAACTGTATACTAAAATACGCTGTAATGGTTTTATAACAAGTAAAAAGGTTTGAACTTTCAACAAAATTGGTTGTATTTTTATTTTTGCATAAACTCCGTCTTAACACGACTGTTACACCAATAGTATCGCGACGTCATCGAAGCGTTTTGAATCTTGCGTTAAAAAAAATAGTTTGAAAAATGTAGGGAAAAAATAATGTCAAATTTGTATGTGTAGATTACAAATATGCAATAAAAAAATAGTTTGTCACAAACCCATTTTTTGCCTTTGTTAAAATTAATTATGGAAAATGTAAAACTTTTGGTTAAATTTTTGCACTAAATATTTCATTTCTGTGGGTAAAAGGCATTAGGGGATAAGTCAAAAAAAGCAATTTTTCAGTAGAGCCTTAAACGTATTCGCATTAATTCAGGAAACATATTTATGGTTAGCGGGTATACCCTTTGTGTTACCACATGTTATATTCTAAAAAAAGCGTGTATCCGCTAAACATAAATATATTTCCTGAATTAATGCGATCACGTTAAAGGATCTATTGAAAAATTCCTTTTTTTGACTTATCCCCTTATGCCTTTTACCCACAGATTTTTAAGATAATTTTATCAAGATTTTACAACAAAAAACCTTTTAATTTATTGTGTTACCTTGACAGCAAATAAGTAAAACATGACAAAAAATTGATATTCTATATTCTTACCTGATAATGTTTGTAAACATTGTCCAGTGACGATATCCCACACTTTGACGGTCGAATCCGCGTTACCCGACACGAGAATATTATTCCTGAGCTCCATTCCCGAGGTGAGAGACTGATGACCTATCAACATATGTTTACATTGACCCGTCTCCACTTCCCACACTCTGATGCTGGTGTCCAATGAACCGCTCACCACATGAACTCCATCAAACTAAATTAAATAGGAAGAAAAAATTAAAAAATGTATAGTAGAAAATATGATTTTCGTTTTGTTGATGCATTGATCATTTAAAAGTTGATGTCATTTAACAATCGGAATTCGAGCAGTTTTATTGAAAATGCGAACTCAACAAAAGTCTCAGACCTTTTACTAAGTAATCATGTGTAAACTTTTAAAAACATAAACAAGTTTTATACAACTGTTGTTTTTTTCTAAAATGTTATGAGTTATGAATATTTCTGAGATGTATTTGTAACCATTTTTAAAAATGTTTTTACATTTTAAACATTCTTAAACAGTTCCGGAAATTCTTGAGTAACTTTTTAACTTTTTGAAATGTAGTTGTAACCATTTTTAAATTTTAAGTTCTTGCATTTTAACATTCTTAAATAGTAATAGTAATTCTTGAGTAATGTACAGTACAACATGTATTTGTAACTTTTTGAAATGCGTTTGTAACTATTAAAATGTGTTTTAAACTTTCCTAAATGGATGCTGAAATTCTTGAGTAATTTACAGTCTAAAATGCATTTGTAACTTCCTGAAATATATTTGTAACAATTTTAAAATGTATTTGTAACTTTATAAAATTTATTTGTAACCATTTTTAAATTTGTTTTACCATTTTTAATCGTTCCTGAAATTGTAATTGTAACATTGTAATTTAGTCTAAAATGCATTTGTAACTCCCTGAAATGTATTTGTAACTTTATGAAATGTATTTGTAACCATTTTTACATTTTCTTAAATAATTTCTGGAACTCTTGAGTAATTTACATTTTTAAATGTAGTATTTGTAACTTTCTGACGTGATTTGTATCCATTTTTAAAGGTTTTACTATTCTTAAATAATTCCTTAAATTCTTAAGTGATTTACAGTAAAAAATGCAATTGTAACCTTCTGGAATGTATTCTTAAATAATGCCTTAAATTCTTAAGTGATTTACAGTATAAAATGCAATTGTAACCTTCTGGAATGTATTTGTAACCATTTTAAAATTCTTAAACAGTTTCTGAAATTCTTGTGTTGTATTTGTAACTTTCTGAAATATATTTGTAACCAATTCTTAATGTGTGTTTACATTTTAAACATTCTTAAATAGTTACTGGAATTCTTAGATTTGCAGTCTAAAATGTATTTGTAACTTTTTGAAATGTATTTGTAACCATTTTTAAATGTGGTTTTACGTTTTAAACATTTTTAAAAAGTTCTTGGAATTCTTGAGTAATGTATTTGTAACTTTCTGAAATGTATTTGTAACCATTTTTAAGGGGTTTTACATTTTAAACATTCTGAAATAATTCCTGAAATGTATTTGTAACCATTTTTAAATGTTGTTTTACATTTTAAACATTTTTAAAAAGTTCTTGGAATTCTTGAGTAATCTATTTGTAACTTTCTGGAATGTATTTGTAACCATTTTAAAATGTGTTTTAACATTTTAAAAATCATTAAAAAGTTTCTGAATTTCTTGAGTATTGTATTTGTAACTTGCTGAAATATATTTGTAACCATTTTAAACATTTTTAAATAAGTTCCCGAAATTCTTAGGTAATTTACAGTCTAAAATGTATCTATAACTTTCTGAAATGTATTTGTAACCATTTTTAAACATGGTTTTACATTTTAAACATTCTTAAAAAGTTTCTAGAACTCTTGAGTAATTTACATTCTAAAATGTTTTTGTAACTTTCTGACATGTATTTGTAACCATTTTTAAATGTGTTTTACTATTCTTAATTAGTTTCTGAAATACTTGAGTATTGTATTAGTAACTTTCTGAAGTGCATTTGTAACTATTTTTTTAGTGTGTTTTTGCATTTTAAACATTTTTAAATGTTTTTACATTTTAAAGATTCTTAAATAGTTCCTAGAACTCTTGAGTAATTTTCATTCTAAAATGTTTTTGTAACTTTCTGACAGGTATTTGTAACCATTTTAAAATGTGTTTTACTATTCTTAATTAGTTTCTGAAATTCTTGAGTATTGTACTAGTAACTTTCTTAAGTGTATTTGTATCCATTTTTAATGTGTTTTTACATTTTAAACAAATGTATTTGTAACCATTTTCAAATGTGTTAAATTTTAAACATTCTTAAAAAGTTTCTGGAATTTTTAGGTAATTAATAGAGATGGGAATCGGAAAGTTTCCATTTTAAGGAAACTTTCGGTTTTGGAAAGTTTCCAATTGGGAATTTATTTTCATTTTGAAAGTTTCTTCTACTGGAAACATTCCTTGGAAACTTTCCTTGTTTTTTTCATTTAAATGTCAATTGTTTAACCGCTGATTTTCGTTAAGGCCATGATACAAGGCCAAGAAACTTTGAATAAGGATTTAATTTGTGTTAATTTAAAGCAGAAGCAGAAATATAAATAATGTAAGTTATGTTACATAACCTCAATGAAGTCGGATTATTCAGCATCAACACAAAAAACTTTTTTAAAAAAAGGTAAACAAAATAAATACAATAAACAAAGTAAAAATAATTCTTACATTTTTGTTGTTTATTTATAGGCATAGCACAATGCCAAGAGAAAAATCTAGTGTTTGGAATTATTACAAAATAGTGCAAAAAAACAAAAAAGACCATGCTCAAAGCAAGTTCTGTAAGAAAATCTATGTCGTTAATGCAACCAAAAATTTGACAAAAAGTTAATGTGTTATATATTTTTGCAAATCCCTGGCATAAAAAAAAATATTTTCGCAATAAAAAATTTTTTTTTAAACTTTCGGAAAATTTCGGGAATTTTCGATGGAAAGTTTCCGGGAATTTTCGTCAAATGGGAATTTTCCCATCTCTAGTAATTAACAGTCTAAAATGTATCTGTAACTTTTCGAAATGTATTTTCAACCATTTTTAAATGTGGTTTTACATTTTTAACATTTATAAAAAGTTCCTGGAATTCTTGAGTAATGTATTTGTAACTTTCTGAAATGTATTTGAAACCATTTTTACATTTACATTTGTACATATTTAAAAAAATCTTAAATTGTTCCTAGAACTCTTGAGTAATTTACATTCTAAAATGTTTTTGTAACTTTCTGACATGTATTCGTAAACATATATTTAAATGTGTTTTACTATTCTCAATTAGTTTCTGAAATTCGTGGTTTTACATTTTTAACACTTATAAAAAGTTCCTGGAATTCTTGAGTAATGCATTTGTAACTTTCTGAAATGTATTTGAAACCATTTTTTACATAATAGGTTCTTACATTTTAAGAACTCTTGAGTAATTTACATTCTAAAATGTTTTTGTAACTTTCTGACATGTATTTGTAAACATATAGGCATTTAATAGTTATTTACGTGTCAAGCTTTGTAAATGAATCTTTACGGGCGAGCTGGAAGTTTGTGGGGTGAGCGACGCAGGAGCAAACCCCATAATCCAGTGAGCCTAGTAAAGATTAATTGCAAAGCGTGACACTTACAAACTTTTATTTTCACCTTTAGATAACGATTTTCAAATTTAAAGTTTTAATAAATATGTCAAATGTGACATTTCATTTCATAAATTTCTACAAGCCTGTAAAACTTTACAGGTCTTTTAAACAAGCCCGTAAAATATTACAGGTCTGTTCCCATAATGTATCGTTTACTTGGATACAAAAACCACAAAATTAACCTATAAAATGTCATTTACTAAGAAGGTGGAAATAAATGTGTTTTACTATTCTGTAGTTGAATGTGGTTTTACATTTTAAACATTCTTAAAAAGTTCCTGGAGTTCTTGAGTATTGTACTTGTACCTTTCTGAAATGTATATGTAGCCATTTTTAATGTGTTTTCACAGATAAACATTCTTAAACAGTTCTTGGAACTCTTGAGTAATTTACATTCTAAAATGTATTTAACTATTCTTAAATAGTTTCTGAAATTCTTTAGTGATTTACAGTCTAAAGTGCATTTGAAACTTTCTGAAATGTATTTGCAACCATTTTTAAATGTTTTTTTAACATTCTTAAATAGTTCCTGGAATTCTTAAGTAATTTACAGTCTTTCTAAAATGGATTTTAACATTTTAAGTATTTTGACAATATTAAATCAATTTTTAAAATTATCTAGAATATTCCATAAACAAACTGAAGTCTCTTACCTGGAGCGAGTATACCCTGTTAGTGTGGCCTTGAAGAGTGTGCAGGCACTCTTCGGTTTCCGGATTCCACACCTTGACCATGTAGTCGTATGCGCCGGAAACGACCAATCTTCCGTCGTACTGAACGCACCTGACCGCCGCCAGGTGGCCCACCAGGACGTGCAAGAAACTTCCGGTCTCTATGTCCCACACGCGAAGCGTCGCGTCTCTCGAACCACTGACGACCCTGAAGAAAGGAAACAATAATAATAATTATTATTATCATTTTAATTAAGTATGTGGGCTACTTACTTTTTCCCATGCAAATGCATACATCTAACTGTCGAAGTATGCCCATACAAGGTGTGTATACACACGCCGGTATCGGCATCCCAAACCTTCAAAGTTCTATCGGTACTTCCGCTTATGATGGTACTTCCGGACATCTGCGAGGACCATACACCGCCAGTGTGACCAACCAAAGTCCTCAAACACTAAAACCCCCAACATCAAACCTTATTGCGCAATTTTAAATCGTTTTTAGTAACGTTACCTTTCCGGTCGTGGCAGACCAAACTTTCAACGTGTTGTCATCCGATCCGCTCACGATCCTGTTGCCGCAAAACTGCAGGCAAGTGATCACGTGATCGTCGTGACCTTTTAGCATTTTTGGAGGCCTTATGGGTCTGCTGCGCCAATTCAGTTCTATGAGGTTTTGCCTCATATAGGCAGCCTAAGAAAAAAAAAGCTATTCATTCGCATCTCCACGAAAGAAGTTACTGGAAGTAAAATCAAATGTTGCGCAATATTGCGAAATTTACTGAAATCTAACAAGTTTACAGTGTGTTTTTTGAAAATTATCATGGTGGTTACAGAAAGTGGGAATAATGCGCGTTTATTGCATGTCTCGGAAAAGGTTAAATCAATCCCTTAAGAAGAAAGCACCCACCATGTTGTAGAAGCAGCAAGCATACACAAATTAAATGTTTAACGTTTAATCTGTGAACTTGTCCTAATTTCATCAGAGTAAACAGAAAGAAAAAAAACGACCAAAAATGAATTTTGTTTCAGGTGTTTAATGTTAAGTGGTCATGGAGTTTTTAAAATAGGTACTAAATTTTCAAAGCATTGCATTAGCTAATAGCTGGATAAATAAATAAATACAGAACGGTGAGCCTTTCCATTGTGAGAGAGATCCTTTCATGTATTTATTAGCACAAGGTAAGCCATCACCATTCGTTTGAATAAGGGATTTCTGAAAGGTATTAGAGCTTTAAGGGCACACAACTTTTGTATTTATTGAGTTTTTATTTAATTTTTTCAAGTATAATTTTTAGTAACAATTTGGCAACGCGCAGCTACTTTGTTGTTATATATGTACTTAGTTTCACACACATCGTCACCTGAGAATTATAGTGTTCTATCTGCATTTTCTTTTTTTTATTCAGGTTAGTCTTGTTTTAAGTATTAAAGATGCATATTGTTCTATCTATATATAATTGGGGTAGAAATTGTACAGTTTAAGCCTTAAACTTTACAATTTCTACCCCAATTATATATAGATAGATCAATATCATCTTTAAGACTTAAAACAAGACTAACCTGAATAAAAAAAAGAAAATGCAGATAGAACACTATAATTCTCAGGTGACGACATGTTAAAATTATAATATAATGTGAAATTTTCGATACATTACTTATTTAAATATAAAACGTTTTTAAACTAATTTCCAGTCATTAAAAGTATCAAAACATTAATAAATATTTCCTTTAAATTTAGTGCGCACCCCAACTTTAATTCTAAATCATTGCCCGACCGCATAATAGGGAAATAGTAATCCCAGAAATTTGTGCTAGGTCACGTCACACATTGTCGATACAACATCATGCTCCCTACCACCACATAAGTCAGAAATAATTAATAAATGATTCCATTGTTCTATGTTATATTATTATATAATTAACACCCTACGGCCATTTCAAGCGGATGGACGGGACAAATCACAAAACTGTTTTTATAAAAAAAAATGTAGGTATTTATTATATATTATTTTTGCATCAAAATTGTCAAATATATTCTTCTATTATTAGGCTATACATTAAATAAAAAAATCGCAAGAAATATTTTCAGGGTTCCCAGCATTGTTTTGTACTTTTTTTTATGATTTTATGACAAATTTTTCAAATTTTATGACATTTTTTATGACAAGAATTTATTATTTCTAAAGTTATTTAATAAAATAAATGTAATTTTTTAACGGTTTATTATATAAAAATAAATATTTTTTCTCGCATCAAAATAAATATTTCTGCTATAATATTTTTAATATATGTTACTTTAGTATTTTATTATAATAGGTATTATAATCTCAAAATAAATAAAACCACAAAGGTATACAAATCTGAAATATTGGAGGCTCAAACAATGATAAACATGGGTTTCAAAAAAGCAAAAAAAAATAGTATATATACCTATAGGTACTATTTTTTTGCTTTTTTAGACCCATGTTAATCATTGTTTGAGCCTCCAATATTAAAGATTTTTTAAGAGTAGTTATGTAGTTATTGTTAAGGTACTTCGATAATTTCTTATTTCCTTCAGAAATAATATTTCTTGTTATTTTTAACTCTGCTTCCTTACTTGCCAAAATAGTATCAATTTCTTCAAGTCCTTCTTTGTGCCTTCCTTAGTAAAGTAATATAATATAAAAATAAATTTACCTTTCTCATTAATTATTTCAAATTTAAAATTCATTTCCTAACCTAACTTCTTTTTCCTTCATAGTATGAAGTTCATACGTCAACAACTAAGGCCATATTTAAAACATTTTACGCTGTGTCTAGTCTCACGCTTGCGTGAACGCAATTTAATTTTTATTCTCACGCTAAAGTCAAAATAATTTTAATTTTATTCTCACGCATTATTTTATTTAATTTTACTTTTTAGGTGTCGTGTCATTTGATTTGATTATGCAAATGTAATAAAATTTACTAATAATAAAATCAAGACTCTTTTACTGCAGCCAAACCAACCCAAACTCAACAAGACAACCCAACCGACCCCGCCCCATTGGGCCCCCCCGCCCTATTGAGCAAAAAACCCAACTAAAATGGGCAAATTTATGTTACGATAAAAATAAAACACTTTAACAAAGGAACAACAAATTTATGAAATAAAAAAAGTTCGACAACTTCTGTAGATTTTATGTTACGATAAAACTAAAACAATGGTTTTTGAATTGGGAAATTTTTGGAATCGCCCAAGTATTAATAATTTAAGATATATAGTAAAACGTCTTACCTTCCATGGTGAGATATTGGTACTGGGCGACCTAGGGGAACACCTTTTCCTGGGCATGTCATCTATGCCGGCCTGCTTGCATTTTTCCTTCCACAAAAGATTGTCATCGGCCAAAAATCGCCAACTGCGACATGTCTGCGCGGCTCGCAGCAGATCTCTCGGATCCAAAAAGGAGAGAACGTTCAGGGCGAGTTCTTTCGGCAAAAGCGATATAAAGTCCCGCTGGAATTGGGGCTCTATCACTTGCATCATATGACGAACCTAGACAAAATAAATATCATTTTATTAAATTTAGAAAACACAAATAAAACAATACCAATATATTTAAAAAATAAATTCCCAGTCAGTTTAACTATTATAAGCATTCTAAAATGTGTTCTTATAAGTTATGGTGATGTTTTAAGAAATTTTGCATTTTTGTCGTTTTCGCAATGTTTTCGTAACCTTTTTAAATGGGTTTTTGACATTTTAAAAGGTGGTCTTGACTTTTATAAATTTGTTTTGAAGATTTTTATCGTTTTGACATTCTTAAATAAGTTTTAAAATTTTTAATTATGTTTGACATATTTTCTCAAAATGTGGATTTAAGATTCTTAAATGTGTTTGATATTTTTATTGTTTTTATATGCTAAAATTTTTTCTTGATAATTATTTTGGCAATATATTAAAAATTGTAAAATTATAAGACATTTCTTAAATGGGTTTCAGGTATAAATATGTTTTTAAGATTTTTAAATAAGTTTTGACAGTTCTTCAACACCTTGAAATGTGGATTTTATATTCAAAATTGTGTTTAAAATTCTTAAATAAGTCTAAAGTTGTTTTGACATTCTTATGACATTTTTATATCCTAAAATTTGTTGGTATTTTTTTTTGCAAAATCTTTAAAAATTTAAAATTTAAAATTATTTTTTTCTTTTCTAAATTGGGTTTGGTTTGAAAATGTTTTTGACATTTTTATTATGTTTAACTTCCTAAATTGTGCCTTGTGTCGTAAAACCCTTAGTTGTTTTGACATTCTTTCTTTTTATATCCTAAAATTTGTAAGTAATTTTTTTGCAAAATCTTAAAAAATTCAAAATTATATGGGCCCTTATAATAATAAACAGTTTAATAAAGTTTAATAAACAGTTTATTCACAATTGTGTGGATTGTGGTTTCGAGCATACTAAAAATTACGAAGTTAGGCAACCCACTGCACAGACTCTAAAAGCGGCCATTTTTATGTTGTTTACAATTCTTGTTTTGGGTTTGTGCTGTTTATACAGATTAAAATAGTTTAAAACATTGTGTTTCTTACAGAAGCCTAAATTGTGGTTTTTGACATTTTTTCTAAATTGTTTTGAAATTTTTAAATGGATCCTAAATTTCTTAGTTGTTTTGACATAAGTACTTATTATTTTTATATCCTAAAATTTGTTAATAATTTTTTTTTTGCAAAATCTTAAAAAAATAAAACTAGACAGTTATTATTCTTTTTTTCTTAAGAAATTTCTTAAATGGGTTTTTGGGGTACAAAAACGTTTTTTAAATTTTTAAATAGGTTTGGCCGTTTTTTATTATGTTTGACATTCTTAATTGTGTTTTGACATGTTTTCAACATACTATCGATAACAAAAAAAACTCATACAGCTATATTGTGGCTGTGTGAATAAAACTTTTCCGTCAATGTCAAGCTGACATAGAGCTTTGTCACATCCATTATGACTTTTTTAACATTTTCAACCAAACAATGCAGACGAACTCTGGCAATCCATTGAAGCCATTTGGAACGAGATAAAGCAAGACGGCGACTTCCATGCTTTGCCGTTTGCGGGCAGTAATTGACAAAAACAGAGGGATTACGAAATATTATTTTTTTTTCAAACTTTAACCTAACTTTGTATTTAATTTTAGACCTTTCAAATGTGACGTATCATGTTAAAAGCCATAATTACTCCAACGAAATGATAGAAAATCAGGAACACTAGATTTTTAAGCTGTATGAGTTTTTTTTGTTAGCGATAGTACTTAAATATGTGTTAAAAATTCTTAAATAAGTCTTAAAATTCTTAGTTGATTTGACATTTTTATATCCTAAAATTTGCTGTTCATTTTGATAATATCTTAAAAATTGTGAAATTATTAGACGTTGTTTTGACATTTTTAAATATATTTGACATTCTAAATTGTGTTTTGACACCTTAAAATATGTGTTTAAAATTCAGGTTTTTTGTTTGTTTGACACCTTAATGGTTTTTTGCTTTTGAAAATGTTTTTGTCATTCATGAAATTTTTATTAGGTTTTGACTTGTTTTCAACTTCAACCTTGGTTAAAGATTCTCAATAGATTAAGTTAGACTCTAACGGCGGCCATTTTTATGTTGTTTACAATTCTTGTGCTTTGAGTTTGTGCTGTTTATACAGATTAATAAACACTAGTTTACAGCCATTTTGCCCACCATGTCTCACTAGGATTTTCTTGTGTAGTTTGTCCCACTAAACGCGAAAATCACAATTAAATTTTTTTTCATGGAAGCGTTTTCGAGATATGAATTTTCAATTGTTTTTTTTATTTTCTGAGGTGTTTTGACGTTTTAGAGTATACTTCGAGTTCTAATTGATCGATTTCACCAAACAAGCACTTAAATCAAAGGTAATTGAGCCCTCTATAACTTTCCATTGTATAGTTTTGCTATCGGCTCGATACTGGCGAAGTTGAAAAAGTCCTTTTTTTACCAAAATCAAAGTCGAAAATTTACATATCTTTCTGGGAAAGATAGAAATCAAAAAGACAGTTTGATTTATTTTACGTATAGATATTACTTAAAGGAAAAAAATAAGCTGCTGTTGATAAAAATCCATGGATAAATGGCGAGTATGAAGTATGAATTTTTCAGTGGAAGACCAAAATTCATTAATTTTTATTTTATTTCAATCATACACTTTACTTTTGTTTTTATTAAAGAATAAAAATATTACAAAATAAGAGAAAAAAAATAAAATAAAAATCGTCAAAAAGCTGAATTTTGTCTTCCACTAAAAAACTCATAACTTCGCGATTTTTCCATTTATTTTTATCAACATTGGCTTGTTTTTTTTTGTAAAAATATCAAGTTCACGAAAAAAAATTCAAACGATATGTAAATTTTCGAACTCAATTTTTGCCATAAAATTTTTTAAGTTATTAAAATCGCGTCAAAATTCTTATCCGATATCAAAAGTATGTAAAAAAAAGTTTTAGAGGGCTCAAATACCTTCAAATTAAGGGCTTGTTTGACCAAATCGATCAATTAGATTTCAAGCTATACTCAAAAACGTTAAAACACCTCCGAAAATTGAAAAAAAAACAATTGAAAATTCATATTTCAAAAAAACGCAATCATAAAAAAAAATTGAGTGTGATTTTCGTGTTTAGTGGGACAATATACATGGAAAAATTATAATGGGATATGGTGGGCAGAATTTTTTTTCGATTTTGTAAACTAGTGTAAAAAAACGTTGTTTCTTACAGAGGCACATGTGAGCCTTAAAAGAGGCCTTAAAGTGCCAAGGGCAACCATTTTACTCCTCTTTGGTAAAAAATAAACCTTATTCTATCAGGGCTGTCAAATTTCAATTTTAAGTTTAATTTGTGGAATATGGTAAATTGACCTTACAATTGACATTTGACAGTTTGATAACAGTCCTGATAGAATAAGGTTTAATTTTTACAAAAGACTAGCAAAATGTTTGTTCTTAGCACTTTAAGGCTTACAAGTGCAGTGTTGCCAACCCTACCGAATTTTCGGTAGTTAATAATAATAATAATAATAAATATCTTTATATATATATATAAATAACATTACATTACCTACCGATTTCTGAAAAATCAACCTTCACCGAAAATCTAAATTGCAATAATCCAAAAAAATAACTTTTTTTAGATTAAATTGCATAAAAATATTATACTTAGATAATAAGTATGTGATTAAAAATGTTTTTACCGACATCATTTGTATTGCAGATTTCCATTATACAATATTGGGCATTGATTAATACGATATTAGTATAATAGTTTGGAATACGGCATATTACGCTCGAGTTTGTCACACAAGCCGAGTTTGACGGTTTCACGAGAGCGGAATATGCAATTCCAAATGTGTTTCAGACTATACTTTTTCTACGATTACAAAAAATACCATAAAAAACTAATTTAATTGGGAGAAAGTGATGTTGGATCGGTTTTTAGATAATAAACAAAGAGATGGCGCTACCAGTGTTTATTTCGTCATCCTATGATTGGTAAAGTACAGAAAATTCAACTTTCTTTAAAATTTAACGGCGTTTGTTCTCTTAATTTATGTATATTATTAATTTTTTTGTGTTTGTACTTTTTACTAGATTTTTTTATTTTTAATAAATATATTTCTATAACCTGTGTTTTTTTTTACTAAAAATTACAAATATATTTAAATCTACCGAAATTTTATCATCATCTACCGAAAATTTCCAAGGAATCTACTGATAAAATGTTGGAAGAGGTTGGCAACACTGTACAAGTGCCTCTGTAAGAAACACAACGTTTAAAACGAGCCCAAACCCAAAGCACAAAAATTGTAAACAATAAAAAAAATATATAGTATGTTTAGTATGCGCGAAACGAGATAGAACAGACCTTGTTGAGTGGATTGTGGCATACACTATCTTGCCTTGCTAAAAATGTTAGTAAAAGGCACGAAAAAATACATTATAGTTTTATTTTACCGCATTTTATAATAAAAAACCTCTTACTTGCGTGGGCTCGCATCTGGCGATCAACTCGTTGATGGCCATAATCCTCTCGGCGTTCGACCAAAACTGGAACTGCGTCAGCCACTCGGACATCTCGGGCGGCGGGTTGTCCTTCGTCGGTATGACCGCTCGCGTTTTGGGGGTGGAGCCGGCCGACCAGAGGAGCCGAGGAGTGCCGGGCGCGCACGACGTGCAGCTCGGCAGCGGGCAGCTGTCCGATTTGCCCTCGGGCAGCAGCTTCTTGTTGGGGAAGGCATGGTGAAGGTCCAACTTGCGTTTTCTCTGCGAGGTTTATTGCGTTAGTTGTGTTGCCATGAATGAGGGGTGTTTTATGGCGTTTTTCGTGTTCAGAGAGAAGATTAGATAAACTATCATCGATTAGTCAACACCTTTAGTGATACCAACTCAAAGATTACAGTTATTCATCATGTTAAATAATAAAGTCAGAATAGGTAAGGTATAATAGTTATCAATTGGATATTAAAATGAAATTAAAAAAAAAATGTAGCATTAGGGTAGTAGGAGTTTGATAAATAAATATGAGTAGATCTTGACAGCAACAGGGTTCCCAGCATTGTTTTGTACTTTTTTTTTATGATTTTATGACAAATTTTTCAAATTTTATGACATTTTTTATGACAAGAATTTATTATTTCTAAAGTTATTTAATAAAATAAATGTAATTTTTTAACGGTTTATTATATAAAAATAAATATTTCTGCCATAATATTTTTAATATATGTTACTTTAGTATTTTATTATAATAGGTATTATAATCTCAAAATAAATAAAACCACAAAGGTATACAAATCTGAAATATTGGAGGCTCAAACAATGATTAACATGGGTCTCAAAAAAGCAAAAAAAAATAGTATATATACTATTTTTTTTGCTTTTTTAGACCCATGTTAATCATTGTTTGAGCCTCCAATATTACAGATTTTTTAAGAGTAGTTATGTAGTTATTGTTAAGGTACTTCGATAATTTCTTATTTCCTTCAGAAATAATATTTCTTGTTATTTTTAACTCTGCTTCCTTACTTGCCAAAATAGTATCAATTTCTTCAAGTCCTTCTTTGTGCATTCCTTAGTAAAGTAATATAGTATAAAAATAAATTTACCTTTCTCATTATTTATTTCAAATTTAAAATTCATTTCCTAACCTAACTTCTTTTTCCTTCATAGTATGAAGTTCATACGTCAACAACCAAGGCCATATTTAAAACATTTTATTGCGTTTTATTCTACAGGACCGGCTTTAAATTTTATTTTACAAAATTTCCATTTTATAAAAAAGATCAAAGGTGAGAAAATTGTTAAAAAATAATGAAATTTTATGATTTTTATGACAAAATGTGATTTTATGATATTTAAAAATTTTATGACAAACGGGAACCCTGCAGCAAATTCAGCAATGCCAATGTAGTAAAAATAAAACGTTGTATTTAAATTAACAAATTAAAAAAACAATTTAAAAAAAAATAATATAAAAAGTAAATAAGTAACAATATAAATTGTTAATTTGTTGTTATAATGGCAAAATTAAGGTTTACAACTGTCATATTTTTGTGTTTCTTAAGTTGCCAGCACGAAATTTAAAACGACAATTTTAAAAAGTGCTAAAAATTGTTTTTTGAGATTGTAATAATTAATTTTTAAGCCATCAACATGATCTTCTTTGGTGGATTAAGAATCTCTGAAAAATAAAACGATTTTTCATAGATTACTTCAAAAATTCGTTTCCTAACTCGAGAAACAAAATAGGATCATGTTGATAACTTAAAAATTGATTAATTGGTTTATTTTTTACAGAAATCTTTAAGTGAGTCGTACAAAATAAAAAAATTGCTTATGAAAACAAATGTAACTTTTATGAAATTATTTGTGAATTTCTCAAATTTTGAAGACATTCCATATATAGGGGGAGTTCTACGTGAATTCGACAAGAAGAAAACCCTTGCCATTTCGAAATTCCTCAGCACTTTTTACATGGGTTTCCTGACTTAAAATAAAAATTCAATTTTAATTTTAGCACGGTTTATCAATTGTTTTTGGATATGATTTTTTAATTTTTTATTATTATAACGATTTTACCAATATATCCCGGATCATAATTTTGGTTTCAATTGAGCGATTCCGACGAACTTGAAATAAATATTTTTAATGCTGTGGCATATATCGGCACACTATGATTTTTTTCTTCGAAAACTAAAAATCGATTTTCCACACTTTGTATTTTTTTTTTAGTTTTCAATTTTTTTTTGTTTTTAATCTTTAAGCGAATACAAGTTTTTTTATCTATATTATATCATGGCTATCGATATATAATAATATTTTTTTCGGAATTTTAAACTTTAATAATTTCGATTTTTTCCACTTTTGGACATTTTGTAATATCAAAAATGATTTTTTTTATTTAATCTTTTTATATTTAGCCCTTTTAACTATTAAAATTGTTTTAATTATTATTATAATTGATTTCTAATCTTAAAATAATTATTATTAATAATACTTTTTTTAACAATTTAATAGTTTAAAGGGCTAAATATAAAAAGCTTAAATAAAAAAAATCAATTTTGATATTACAAAATGTCCGAAAGTGGATAAAATCGAAATTATTAAAATTTAAAATTCCGAAAAAATTATTAATTTTTTGATAGCCACGATCTAATACAGATAAAAAACTTGTATTCGTTTAAAGATTAAAAACAAAAAATATATATAAATTAAAAAACAATACAAGCAGTGTAGAAAATGGAATTTTAGTTTTTGAAGAAAAAAATCATAGTGTGCCGATATGCCACAGCATCAAAAATATTTATTTCAAATAGCTTGTTTAAAGACAAGAAAAATGATTGGTTGTTCGTCGGAATCGCTCAATTGGAACCAAAGTTAAGATCGATGATATATTTGCAAAATTGTTATAATAATGGAAATTTAAAAAATCATACCTCCAAAAACAATTGATAAACCGTGCTAAAATTAAAATTGAATTTTTTTTTGAGTCAGGGAACCCTCGGAAAAATTTCGGAGGAATTTCGGAATGACAAGGGTTTTTTTCGTGTCGAATTCACGTGGAATTCCCCATAGGTACCATAAAATAATAAAAAAATCAAAAATCATGAAAATTTATTTATTTAAACTTAATACTTTAAAGAAGTTAAATCATTGAAAAAAAAACGCAACCCACCAAATTTAACGTTATACGTGCAGTGAAAATTTTTTGAGAAATAGTTTTAAAGGTACCCTAAAACAACAGTTACTGTGGAGCCATTGAACTATTCATAGGCTGCACATTGTACAGCCTATGAACAGTGTACAACTTTAATACAGTGGCCACTATATTTTAAAAAGCATTTGAAGGATTTGGATGACATTTATGCAGCATATTCCAGGCATTAAAGTCTGATCAAAGGATGTTTTATTAACCATTTTAAAATTTAACAATTTTCTCAATTCCTCAAAATGTATAACAAAATTTCCGGAGGCCGCATTTTGCGTTTTTATTGATTTTTGATGAACTACTTAAAAGTACTAATAAGAAAAAAAAACTTTTACAAGAGTATAACAATTGAGTAACTTACTTAAAATATTAAAATTCCAAACCAAGTTACCAACTCAATTGTTATACTCTTGTAAAAGTGCTTTTTGCCCAACTGTACTTTGAAGTGGTTCATTAAAAATTAATAAAAATAATTTTTAGTTTAATAGTTTATCCAAGGATTATTTTTCAAAATTTCGCAAAAAGCGGCCTCTGGAAATTTTACTTAAAATACTTGGTATTATTGACTGCATTTTAAGAAAATAAACAGCTAAAAGCAAATTTTGACCAGAAAATAGTAAATTTGGGATGAAGATAATAATTTATTAAAAAAATTAATTGAATTAAAATTTTAATAAGAAATATAATTTAAAAGAAAATTTTATAAAATTTTTCAATAGAATTGTTATAATTTAAATATTATTAAAGTTAATTAAAAATATAATATTTAATTAACTTTTTATCAACAAACAAGTGTAATAATTATTTATATCTAAATAAAAATGAAAAATCAATGTATTTAAAAGAGTGATAACAAGACTTTATTATTAAATTCAAGAATATTTTATTGCATAGAGACTATATTTATTATTTTATACAGGGTCCCCCGAAAATGGTGCACTAACCATATGCTGTATAGGAGGATCATTAAAGTTATTAAGCAAGTTTAAAAAACTTCTCAATGTTATGTTTTCCTAAGCCGTTATATACATACATCTAAAAATAGTTCTTATGGAAAAAAAATAAACAATGCATCTGCTGTGCTCTGGATTTACCATGGTTGACAGATGTATCTTCTGACAGTCTCTGTCAAAAACTATAAATCATCCCAACTTTGTAATTATTAAAAATTTAAACTTTTTAATTTTGCAGGATCTTTAGAAATTTTTTTTCTATCCATTTATATTAATGAATAGTCCCCAAGCATTTAAATAACAAACAAAAATTTAATTTTGAACCATTATAACTTAAAACTAATAACTATTTTAGGGACACCCATTATAAAGTTTTAAAATATTAAAAAAAAAATTGAATAAATAATTAAATTATATTAAAACATTGTTAAATGTACTATTTGGGAAACAACAAAAAGAAATTAAAACAATATTTTAGAAATCTATGTAAACAAACATTTTTGCCATATAAACTTAAAATTACCATAAATGCGCAAAAAAAGTTTATTTTATCAAATAACTTACCCTGTCTGATGTATCTGAGGTACTTCTTCTTAACTGTGCACTTTTTGGTGTCGTCTGATGGCTTGCACATGGCAAAATAACTTCCGTTATTTCCTCACAACTGCTAATTTCATCCTACAAAAAGTCAAACAACAATAAAGAATGTAATCAATTAAATTGTATTTGCTTACCTCTTCTGCAATATCATTGGGAATAATTTCAGATAAATCCCTATCGATATGGTCCCATTCATAATTATCATCCTCACATTGCTCCAAACCCAGTTCGTTTAGAAAATTTGTCTTTTGCGACTTTCCCTCATCCTCATCATCTTCAGTCTCTTGTTTTAAATTAAATATTTCTAGAGGTTCCCCTGAATTACTTTGTGACATACCTATGTTCAACAATATACCTAGTTAGTTTTAAATTTTGTTAAAAAAAAATAAGGAAAAATGCATAAATCAACCTTGTATTGAATATTTTTCATAATTTTTTAAATAAAAGTATATGTAAAGCAAAAATAGTAGAAGATAACAAGTTATAAACATAAGCATAAACATTTTAATTAATATTCATTAGATATTTTTTTTGGTTACCTTAGTTTAGCATAGATAGCTTTCCAGTTATTTAAATTATCATAATCTGATGATAAATCACACAATGCAAAAGTACAAAAATACAAAAATATGTGCACCACAGATATAATCAAATTTGTGTGAATTTAAAGTAGGAATTTATAAAAATGTTAGAATATTAACAATAGAATTTGGAAATGTAATGTCCATTGTATAGATAAAGTTAATTCTTTTGTATAAAATTTACCTGGTTCATTGTTAGGGCATATAGAGTCCAAGCACAGGGTTTCAGTGGGGCTAGGGCTAGAACAGTCTTGTTTAGGAAGTCCTGGTGCTTCATTAATACTACAAATTTGACTTAGTTCATTTCCATTCGGACATGATTTTTCCATTCTTAATTAAATACTTAAGTTTTTACAGTCTGCAACAAATGATGGATATTTAATGGCAATATTATGCGGTTTAAATATCAAATTAAATAAAACGAATAAAAAACTTGTACAGTGCATACAATTTGCATTTAACTACAAGCAATGGGTAATTAACTATACACAAACTAATTAGCCAATTAATTTATAAACTGAGCAAAATGTGGCACAAATTTTAGTTTAATAAGCAAACAAACCGAAAAGAAAACTGATTCCATGTGCAAAATAAAAAAAATTGGCCTAGCCTCCAACAAAACAAACATTGCCAAATTTTCGTGCCCCAATAAATCGTAAACTGGCGAATCAAAAACCCATCTGATATTCTAACCATATAAAATAGTACTTACCTTTTCAAAGAAACTTATTTACGGCCATTCTTATAATATTGCAAGTGCTTTATTGGCACCATTACAAATTTCTGGACGAGCTCATAAATAGGAAAAGAAATATCAGTTAAATTACGTGACTAAAAACACACCGTTTTCAGACATTACAAACCTATTAAATACCCTCCAAAAAAACTAAATTACCCATCCTTAACACAAGAAAATAATTACTTTTAATATTTACCTTATTATTTATTATTATTTATGTTTTTTCCAATAAACTTTAAAACATATTTGATGTAGTTCGTTACTTTACACACATCCATAGAAAATCTAGTAACTTTCTAGCACGCGTTCAGTAGGTTGGTATTCTGATTGTCAAGTTGGGGATTTTCTTTTTGCCACCAAATTCTAACCTCCTGAACTGCCACAACTTAAAAGTCAAATTTAAATTTTATTCAAAATGATTGCAGAAGCCGGCACCCAAAATGATCTTAGCCTGTGCATTTTTCCTCCCAACAAACCCTTGGAGGCCGTGCTAGACTTTTCTAAGAAGCCTGTTTTGTACGATAACTTGTTATTTGTTGATTTTAATGACAAAGGTTCAAACACATTTTTACTTTGTTGAATGTTGCTGATACTTCTCTTGTATGTTTTAGGGGAGTGTATTCTTGGTTCTTCTAATATAGATTCGACGTTTTGGGAAGGGACTTTATTGTTCTATAAAAACCCAGAGAAATTACTAACGAATGATCATGATGCTCATTATATTTTTGCCACTGCTTCCGATGGAAAGTTTATAAACAACACAACAGTAAGTAGTGGTTGACATTTCACTTTTTTGAGCCAGATATATTCTACTTAAATTGACATTCTTTACAATAATAATTATTATTAGGGACTACCTAAGTCAATTTCTTTACATTTTAAGTTACATACCTAAAATTGACTTGGTCACTTTTAATAATAAGCCATTAAATTATGTTTAGCTTGTGGTTAAATTCTTAAAACATGCTTATTTATAACTTTATATCTGATACCATGTGAATTGCGTAAAAAAATATTTTTTTATATTTAGATTGCCCTTGCTGAAGAGACTGGGGTGTTAACGATATTAAGCTTAGTAGATGGCCTTTTGCAACCAATTAAGTTCTTCAGACACTGCCAGAATATACCAGAAATTGCCACATGGAAAAATGCACCCAAAATATTAACATGTTGTGATAAAAGTGTTTTTGTTTGGGATATTGATACTCTTGAAAGAAAGCCGTATTATAAATTTGAGTAATTTTAGTTTCTTTGTTTTTGTATCCATTTTGACTGTTTTGTTTTTTACAGTAATTTTCATTTAAGTCTAATAAATTCAGTTGATGTGCTACAAAATGATGTTAATCAATTTTTGACTGCCTCTAATGATAGAAAGGCTGTTATTTGGGATACAAGATCTGATAAACCAGCCCAAGGTAAGAAATTGTATATATTATTAGGGTCTAGAAAATAGTTTTTTCTTGTAGAATCATATTAAACTCCTTTATGGATGTGTAATGAATTATTTTGACATTGAAAGTGTGTTGATTCCCTAAAATATTGTCAGGATTTCCCAACTTAAATTCATGACAAAAATGGTGGAAATTTTAAATAAAAAATATTTTTTATATTTTAGTGCTTTATAGTAACGAATTTAGCGCCATTAAAAACATAAAATGGAATCAAACCAACACAAACTACATCATAGCTGGTACTCAAGCTGGAGATGTATATTTACTAGACAAGAGGGAACCAAAAGATTTTGTGGCTGTGAAACATTGCTATGAAAGTAGTATACATAGAATTGCTATTGAAAACAATAAAGTAGCTGTTTGTGGTAATTCCACTGAAATTATTACTTACGATTGTAACAATGCTACATTTAATAGTGAACATAGAATATCAACTCATAATAAATTTGTTAGGAGTGTGAAATGGGTTGACAATGTTTTATATTCCTGCGGGTTTGATAAGAAAGTAATAAAACATGATGTATAGTTTTTGTACTAGGAATTATAGTTTTTGTATTTTATTTTTTTTATTAATTTGATAGGTTTTTTTGTATAAAAAAGCAAGTTTGTATACTTAATTTTATTGTTTATACATTAAAAACAGTTACAAAAACAAAATTAACTTTTTCTTTTATTGTTACCCTTTTCAGACGTTGATTTTCTTTTTTTGTCGGTTTTTGCCTCGTTTGTGTCAACTTCCATTTCAGTTTGTCCCAAAGGTTGAACGCTAAAACCTTCTATAAAAGGCTCAACCAATTGCAAAGTAAACTTTTCGTGTTGAATATTTTTTGAGTCTAAGCTCATTCTGACCACTACTCTATCAAAGCTGTGGATTATTAGGTTACCAGCTTTTTGGGTTTGATTCTAAAAAAATTATAAATTTGGAGAACATAAAAAATATTACTTAAATCAACTAATCTTTGTCTAAGCAACATGTACAGCGTTTTGCTGTGATATTTTAAGAGTTGACAATTTACCTAGTGTTATTTTTAAAATAAACTATTTTTTTCTCGATTTTATTAAATATTTTTTATTAATACGGTTAATTTTCTTGTATTTTTAGAGTGCAAAAAATAGATCTCCACTGTTTTAGTGTATCAAATATGAGAATACCATACCACATCTACTTTTTGCACTCCAAAACAAGAAAATTTAGTAGGTGCACAAAAAGTATCACATGACTTTTATAAATATAAAAGCAACATTTTATCAACCTTTCAACATTTTTAAAATAAATATTCAATAAACATTTTTTAAATATTTACAGATATTTTTATAATGTTCAGGAAACATTAAGGTAATGTAACTTAAACATGTACAAAAATATTTTAAAAATGTTGTAAAAAAATATTGTATAAATATAAATGTTGTAAAAACATTTTAGAGGTATTTAAATGATTTATTCAATATTTTATAGTATATTATGTATCAAGTTTTATAAACGCCATTTTATACACGTATTTAATTTAGGCACGAGCAAGCTTGCGAGCGAGTGTTTAAATTAATGAGTGTATAGAAAAGCTTATAAACGAGATGCATACTATACATTTTCTACGACAAATACTTATATTTGTATAGAGCGCCATCTATAAAACAATAGGGGATTCTGTGTCACCGTCAAATGTCAAATTTTTATGTGTTATAACACAGATTATAAATCAAAATGTATTCCTTGAAAATGGATTAACACCGTTTTTCACAGTGAATGTAAAGAAAATGTTTTATGAGCACTTTACAGAGGAGTCAGAGCCCGAATTTAAGTTATAGTTTCTGCCGGCGAAATTAAAAGGTCAGTACAATGTTCATATAAACTTTTCAAATATTGGCGTTGAGAAACTATTTAATACTTTTGTATTGAGATAATTAAATAATTTTCACATTTAGTATTATTTTACCAGAAAGGCACTTTATTTTAACGATTTTATGACATTTGACAACTGTCAACTAAATTAATACTAACTTCAGTCCGTGACTAATAATCTGTTGCTAACTTCTGCCCGTGACTAAAACGCCATAAAGCCACAACTTTTCAATGGGTATTTAAAAGGTCACTTAGTGTCATGAAAACATGTACGATATTGGGCGTTTTAAAGGTGGGAGTAGAAAAAATATATTGTTATGTTATAACATAAATGTGGGATGTACAGAGCCAGTAAAATAAAAATACTCACATCTTCATCATATTCAAAAATATTTGATGTTTCTCCTTTAGTAGCTAGGAATAGGTTGCATTCCAGGCCATATTTGGGTATTAATATTTGTAGAGCATTTTTTCTCACATACAAAACATACCCTTCTTCATCTTGTACTTTTCCTTTAAAGAATAGCTAAAAATTGAATATTGGATATATTTTTGACAAATAAAATCACGGTGCTGTTCTGAGAAGTGATTTTCAGACTTTCTGAGAAACTTTTTTTTTTGTAAAATTCTAATTATTTACGATGTAACTAAGAATTTAAGAGCAAAATTTAAAAAATCCCTTGGTTAGTTTTTTTTTTAATTTGATTTTTATTACCTAGGAATATCCACTTTCGATTTTATTTAAATATTGACAAAACGTTTAATTTTCATAAAAATAAATTATAATTTTTTATATTATTGACCATTTTCTTACAATATGTTATTAATTATTAATTCTTAAACTTTTATTATACTTTTTTTATAACTATAAAATATTTTTAAACCTTCAAAAAATATTTACAAAAGGCTCTGGATGGTCTTTTAATGGCAATGAATCTTAGAAGCATTTCTTCCCTGGAATGTTTGAAATTTGTAAAATGTTTTTCAAGTTTGGAAAAAGTTATTAATATGTGTTTTGGTAATAAAATAAATAAGAACTATTTAGACCAAATAAATAATTTTGTGATAGATTTAGTTGATTTACAAATTGGGATAACTCCAAAAATTCATGCCATTATTTATTATGTTCCCAAATTTTTACAAAAGCACGAAAATGGATTATGGAAATTTTTGGTACCGGTACAAGTAAAATAAAGGACACCTAGAATATCCAAAACATTTAGTTGCTGCTATCATGGAATATAATGCATTGCATTTATAATTTTTTTTTTTGTTGAATAAAAAGTTTTCTTTAATTGTTTTAATTGAAATAAGTTAAGATACTAATTAGTTATTAGGTTTTTTCGTGAATTTATACATAACGGCTATGATTATTGTTTATTTTGGTTTAAAAAACTTAAAAAAACCTATAAATAAAAACTTAAATGTTAAATAAATTTTTAATAAAGGAAACAAACGCATACTTAAGTTAAATAACTTATAATTGCATATTGTAAGAAAACAGTCAATGATATAAAAAAATTGTGAAAACATTTTTTAAAGAAAATTTAATAATCTTTAATCTAATTTAAACGTTTTGCCAATGTATATAAGAAATCGAAAGTTTTAAGTGCATAATTAAAATAGTGCACAATATTCTTAATAAAAATCAAATTAAAAAAAAGTAACTGAGATTTTTTTCATTTTGCTCTTAAATTCTTAGTTACATTAGAAATAAATAGAATTTCACAAAAAAAAGTTTCTCAGATAGTCTGAAAATCACTTCTTAGAACAGCCCCGTGAAATTGGTTGCAAATGTCAAATTTTGACGCTAGATGATCACTTACGTGTGTATTAAAGGCGACACTGGCCCTGCCAGCGTACTGCGCCATCCTGTTCCTGTAATTCAAATTCTGACACAGCTCCACGGTTTTCTGCTTGTTCAACAAATTCGGATAGGTCGAGTCGGCGCCGCATGTCACGGCCAATAGCCTGTGCACGATGATGTCGGCGTATCTTCTGATTGGCGACGTAAAGTGGGTGTATAAGGGCACGGCCAATCCGTAATGGAAGTACTCGTCCTTCTGCATGGCGCCGCTGGGGAAGTAGACGGCTTGCAACATGCACCTGGTGGCCAAAATACGAAGCATCGTGTTCAGGTAGGGGTTCGTTTCGCAGGTCGCGTCGTCCAGGGACTGGGCCAGGTTTTTCCCCGAGTCTATTTTCATGTCGAAGCCCTAAGAATCAAGTTGGACAATTGTAGGGGTCATTGCAAGAAGTGCCTAAGTCACATTTTCAATAAAATTGACATTGTGGCCCTATCTAAAAGTGTTTCACTTCAGCTTTCAGGTGGTATTTGCAGAGTGGCAGAAATACACTCACAGGCAAAATAATCGATCTACACAAATTTTCGATGAATTTCAATCGCAAATAACTTTTTTATTTGATTTCGGATTTAAACAAATTTTAAAGAATATTTTAGATACATTAATGGAGAATCTCTAGCATTTTAAAAATTACTAAAAAATACACGTACGTATAATATACAGGTTTAAACAAAAATATGTTTTTTACCATAATTTTAAGACACTCTGTAGAGTGGCTGAACCGTATATTGTTCTAAATTAAGTTTTAATTATCAAGTCACATCTATTCTTAGCAGTTTTGTTTTTGGTTCACCTCGATATATTTATTTTTGTGGAAAATATGAATTATTAAAAAAAACATTGCAATTTCCAATATTTTTTCTGTATGAAGAACTAAGCAGGGCCATATTACCCATTAGGCAGGAAAGGCAATTGCCTTAGGCGCCACGTTGAAATAGGCGCCTTGTCCCCAAGCAACTTAAAAAAAAATAAAAATTGTTACCAAAATGTTTATTTTTTCCAAAAATAAAACAAATAAACAATATACAATTGTAATAACAGAATATTTTTTACTGTTTTTATTATTTTATAAAAATTTACCTTCCTTTGTAATAACGAGGTGTAAAGCCGACAAAAATCGTGCCGCAAATTCACTTCTGTATATATAAACATATCTTTAGCACTCTTTAAACTATTTCAAAACCCCCGTATGCTCCAAGCACACGGATTTCTCTTGCATCGGGTACCCGCTGTGATGTGCTGCTCACCCTAGCGGGTACGAGCTACTAGAGGAAACTGCTGCCGGAAGGACTTGGGTGTTTTCGCGTTTATTCAAGAGTGGCACTTCTATGTGTTGTGTGTTTGGTGATAGCAGTCTGTGTTCGATAGTTAAGGTTGATTTAGCCTTGCTTTTAATTTAAATTACGTTACGTTAGATTACGTTACAAAAATGCTGGCTAAATCCACATTTAGATAGTGTTAATTTTTCTGTTTGTTTTAAGGTATTTCTGAAATTTTAATATTAAACTAATTACAATAAACCAGCAGTACCTAAATCTAACATACAATACAGAAAATTAAAGTTGATTTTATTTTTTTTAAATACTTACTAATGACATCTTGCAGAAAAACGCAGTTATAAGTCCTAACACTTTTTATTTACATTATATTTGTTATTTTTGTATGTTATTTATGTTTTTTATGTATTTTTTTAATGATAAAAAGTATTCTAATTCATAGGGAATAATTAGGTTATAATGCTCGGGCGCCCTTAAGCTAACAGTTTGGGGTGGCTCTAATAAGCTTTTTTAAAATTTGCTCCGAGCCCCGTAAGTATAGTATCTAGTTATAGGAGCCAAATTTTTAAGTGCCTAAGGCGCTCAATTGCCTTAAGCCGGCTCTGAAACTAAGGTTGCTATGGTCCATCCATAGCCTATGGAGGATGACAGTGACTGTTTTGTTGAAGCTATCAAATTGTTTTTTGTAAATTAATGTGTTAATTTTGAGTGTCTTCTTACTTTTAAAAATGTCTCCGACTGATGTTGCCCTTTGTACTTTACTTCTTGTGATGTTTAAAACACTTGCCACGTAATACTGTGACCGTCCATCCTGAATTAAATAAATGGCTCTGGCAACATCAGTCGGAGACATATCCATTTTTAGAATTAAGAAGACACCTCAAATTTTAAACATTAATTTGTAAAAAACAATTTGGTAGTTTTTGAAAGCCTTGTATGACATGTTCAAGTATGGGATGATTCAAGAAAACTGTCACTGTCATCCTCCATAGTCTATGGGTGGACCATAGCAACCTTAGTTCTTCATACAAAAAAAATATTGGAAATTGCAATGTTTTTTTAAAAAATCCATATTTTCCACAAAAATAAATATATCGAGGTGAACCAAAAACAAAACTGTTAAGAATAGATGTGACTTGATAATTAAAACTTAATTTAGAACAATATACGGTTCAGCCACTCTACAAAGTGTCTTAAACATCTTTTTGTTTAAACCTGTATATTATAAACGTACGTCTATTTTTTAGTAATTTTTTAAAATGTAAGCGATTCTCCATTAATTTATCTACAATATTCTTTAATAGTCGTTAAAATCCGACATCAAATAAAAAAGTTATTTGCGATTGAAATTCATCGAAAATTTGTGTGGATCGATTATTTTGCCTGTGAGTGTATACAAACATACATGTGTCTAAGTGCCTTAGGGATGGGAGTTTACCTGGTTTTCAATGCAAGAAGTACCTAAGTCATCATTTTGACAGATGCAATGCAACATGTGCCTTAGTCCACGATATTTAAATTAGGTTATATTTGAGCAAATTACCTATTAAACTGTGTAAATCCTAATAATTTGTGTCTGTGATTAAAAACATAACTATGGCAGGTACCTAAGTAAAGTAAAATAAAATAGATTGTGGAACCTTAAAACATACCAGGTACCGTTTTTTTTGCTCGAACCTTGTCTGAAAATGGAAGTATAACCCAGCAAAATGATGTCATTTATAAAGAAATTGATTAGTTACAAGAAGCCGACGCTGTTTATGAATAGCTAGCCTTCTTATTATATACTTAGTTTTGCTTTAAGTTATGTCTTAGTCTTAAGTTTTGTTCACAATTTCTATATTTTTTAACGGCGTTATAATATAATAAACCTTTTTTTAAGTATAAACAAATTTTTCCTCAAAATATCCCTTAATATTTGACAAAATAAAAACATTTCAACACAAAAAGTGCCCAAGTCTCAAATTATTTTATATATTTTTTTTGATATAACAAAACGTTTTTTCCTTTTTAATCATGGAAGTCCAATCCACTTTTTACAAAGAATACAATACAACACACATTTTCATCATAATATTTTGTGTAATATTTCATAATCAAAAATAAACCTTCAAACCGCAATATCTCAGAATCGCCTATTTGTGACTAAGGCACTTGCATTGACCCCTTCAATTATATTATTCGATACAGTGAAATTTAAGAATTTTGACTTACCAAGTGTTTTCCAGCTTTCACAAGAGGATCAAAGTTGGTGCTAGGGGGCGTAGGATGCCTCCTAAGCATGGCGCAGTCGGGAAAATCTTCCAGAATTTTCTGAGCAACGCTAATGTTAGCCAACAACATGAATTCTTCAACCATCGAGTTGGTTTCAAACATTTTTTTGATTTCCACATCAAGAGGTTCCATTGTTTCCGAATCCATTCGGATTTTAACTTCCGGGGAAGCCAAAACCAAAGCGCTATAATAATATATGCATTTATAAAGATTTCAAAAAAAAATGTATATTTTAATACCCTTTTTGCAATCTTCCCTTTTTTAATATCTTTGCAAGCATGTTAAGGTTTCTTAAAGACTGTGCTATAGAATCGTTTTTAGATTTATCATCAATGGTGATCTGAGCTTCTTCATAAGTCATTGCTTTTTTAGATTTTATAATACTTTTGTGAAACCTTGTATTAATAATATTTGCTTCTTTATCCATTTCCCATATGCAGGAGAAAGCGAATCTTTCCTCCCCACCTCTAAGAGAACACAGATTTGAACTTAAAAGTTCAGGAACCTTAAAAATCAATTGTACATTGTGTAGTAGAATTGGTCGAACATCCGCTTTTTTAAATTAATGTGTTACAATAGCAAAGAAATTATTCTTTGAGGTGAACTTTTTTTCTGGTCGACATCTATGGCACGCCGTTTTAGCATCTATAGATAATAGTTTGAAGATTAAATTTTAGCACTTTAATAATGTTTTAACATTTAAATTTTTTTAAACTCAAAACAATTGATAGTCAAAAAATATTTTAAATATAAAATACAACTGTAAAAACTTAAAGCTTAAAAATGTTGTTTTTCAAAAATTTTAGTTTTAATATTTTATTCTACAAAATTATTGGTTTAAATTTGTAAAGAGTCGTTTAAATGATGGTCGATAAATTTTTAATACAAAACTTCTCACATTACATTTAAATGTTAGTTTTAAATTTTAAAGTGGTAATTTTTAGATTAAAAATGTATTGACCATCATTTAATGACTTTTTACAAATTTAAACCAATAACTTTTATTTTTAATAAATTTAAATTGCATTTAAATTTTTTATTTAAAATATTTTTTGATTATAATCAAAAAATATTTTAAATAAAAAATTTAAATGCAATTTAAATTTATTAAAAATAAAAGTTATTGGTTTAAATTTGTAAGAATTTATAATTATCAATTGTTTTAACCCGTAACCGGTACTGTGGTGTCTGGGAGACACTCATCAACGAACAAAGCGCTGTCACACCCTCACCTTTTGTTTTAAAAATCTGTAGCTTCCAATACTTTTAAGTTGGGCAGTTATCAATATGCTCTTAGACTGAAGAGGTTGGATTGTCAAACGGACAAATTATTAGGAGTCAAAATGTTGAGGTGTCTATTAGACCACTGCGTACCGTTTACGTTATTTTTATAAAACAATTAATTCGTTATGGATTCGCAACAAGGGCCTTCTAAACGTATCCAAAGTGATAAGAAGGGCTTCAAGGAAACTGTACTGTAGTGGTTTTATGAAATCGACAGCGATATAAGTGCATAAGCATCTATAGATGACTGTAGTACAGTCCGTTCAGGCTAAGTTGAGCACTTTGGTGGGGATCATATGGCCGTTGATTAAATTAAATATCGAATCGTCGCGAGATTTTGGTAATAAGAAGATGATTTATCAGTGCCGCGGCTTGTCGTTTGTTCGTACAGAGCGACTACCGAAATACATGTATTTAATTGTGCCTGAACATAGAGATAATGAACTGGGTGACATTCCTTAGACCGCTCAACTTAGCCTGAACGGACAGTATACTACAAAACCATTATGTAGTGATTATGTCGTTGAAGATAATCACAGCAGCGATTCAGGACTTGTCTGTGAAGATTCTATAGAAAATAATTTTAAAGGGTCATATAGTAAAGAATTTGAAATTTTTTAAGAATTTGAAAAAAAAACAAAAAAGTTACTATGCAAAAAATAATTGTAAAAATCAGCTATAGTTTGAAGCAGTTATTTTTGCTGTTAAAAAAAGATATATTAGAATTTTTTTTGTTTATGTTATTTTTTAAGGTATATTCTTTGAAATAAAGATCGTTTTATTTTGTTTGGTTTAATATTTTTTATAGTTTAATCACAAAGTTTGCACTACTGCACTTTTTGTACATGTTTTGATTAAAACCTATTTGTTTAAATTTTTCTTTTATTTAGGTATTATTTTTGGTGATATTCTAACTTTATATATAGTTCCTAGTATCCCCAAAACCTCAGATAAAAAAAATAATATAAATAATAATTTTAAAAGGTAGGTGTCTCTCAGACCCCTTAGTACCGTTTATGACCTGAAAGTCGTACCGTACCGGTTACGGGTTAATTTAAAAAAAATGTAACTTTTTAAACTACATATTTCAGTAAAAAATGTTTTATATGTGTTTTTATTTTAAACACTGGTTTTAAATACTAATACCAATTTAATTTAAAAATTTTTATTAAATATTTATTTAAAATTTTCAAAATTTTAATTAGAAATTATTTTTATTAAAAAATGTTTAGAAATTTTTGCAAAAATTGATTTGAAATAATATTGTTTAACACAGATAATTGAAAATATTTTAAATTTATAAATGTTAACATAAAATTTTTAGTTAGGAAAATTTTAAAGCAATAAAATTTTAAATTAAAAAATTAGTTAATAAATGTTAAAACGGATAGACATCGAAGGCTTAATGAACTTAAAATTAAAAGTAACAAAACATTTTCTTTCACGCTATTTGTTAAAAAATATTATTGTTTACAAAAAAGGGCCCTACCAATTGCAGTTTCAAAAATAATTGCGATTTTATCTTAAAATTTTTTTTAACAAAACTTAATTTGTTAGAACATTTTTATAACAACAAAAGTCGTTAGAAATTGTAATTTTTTGGACAAAATTTATTTACATATTTTATTAGTAAAAATATTTTTCTTTGTTTTTGTTAATAAATGAAATTTCTAGAGATGGGAAAATTCCCATTTGACGAAAATTCCCGGAAACTTTCCATCGAAAATTCCCGAAATTTTCCGAAAGTTTCAAAAAAAAATTTTTTATTGCGAAAATATTTTTTTTATGCCAGGGTTTTTTGTGATGAAGCTGAATAATCCGGCTTCATTGAGGTTATGTAACATAACTTACATTATTTATACTTCTTCTTCTGCCTTAAATTAACACACATTAAATTCTTATTCAAAGTTTCTTGGCCTTGTATCATGGCCTTAACGAAAATCAGCGGTTAAACAATTGACATTTAAATGAAAAAAACAAGGAAAGTTTCCAAAGAATGTTTCCAAGGAATGTTTCCGGTAGCTTAAAAGAAACTTTCAAAATGAAAATAAATTCCCAATTGGAAACTTTCCAAAACGGAAAGTTTCCTTAAAATGGAAACTTTCCGATTCCCATCTCTAGAAATTTCCCACAAAAAGGTCCCTACCGTATAAATATTGTAGTTGCAGAATTGTCATTTATAAAGATTACAGCCGCTTGATAACTTTTTTTAATTTAAATCTACTATTTGACAATTTCATTGAGTAGAATTTAACTAATTATTAGTGAGTACTTGTTCGCGACGACAATTAGTCACGAATGATTAGTAATTTTTGACCAATTCATTTGTAGAGAGCAGGTTCTTTTTTACTTATTAATTAAGTAAATTTTGTCAAAAAAAATACAATTTATAACGACTTTTGTTGTAGCCATAAACATTTTATTATCTCTGGAACTAAATTTATTGACAAAATATTTAAAAAAAAATTAAAAAAAATTAAATAAATTGGCGATTATCCCTGTTTCAAAGATTTTCACATAATAATTGATAAGTCCTTTTTTTGTAGAAAATTAGTATTCTAATTATTTAAAAAAATATTACTTTTAAAATAAGTTTTGCTTAAAAAATGACAATGATAATAACATTGCAATTATCTCTGAAACTATGTGATAATTAATAAGGACTTTTTGTAGACAAATAAATTCTAATTATTTAAGAAAATATTACTTTTAAAATAAGTTTTGCTTAAAAATGACAATGATAATAACATTGCTATTATCTTTAAAACTATGTGATAATTAATAGACAAATAAATTTTTAAATTGTATAAAAAAACCTGGTTTTACTTAAAATAGGTTTGGTTAAAACAATTAAAATTTTAAGAAAAAATCGCAATTATCTCCAAATCTGCAATATTTTAAAAGGACCTTTATGTAGACAATTAAATTTACTAATAAAATTTACCAAAAATGTTATGAATTTAAAATAAGTAAATTTTGTTAAAAAATTACAATTTTGGGATAAAATCGCGATTATCTGCGAAATTACAATATTTTCGTTAAAATTGATAAGGATTTTTTGTAGAAAATTAATAGAGTGAAAAAAATATTTTGTTACTTTTAAATTTAAGCGCATTTTGTGAGTGTAACATTTGACCAAAAAAAACATTTTTTGTACTTTTTTTTCCTCAAAGAATAATATTTTTGCTAAATATCCCAAGAAATATAAAAATCAAAAACAAATTTTCAAAAAAATGTACAATACAGAAATTATAAAAAAATGAGGAAACACTTATACTAAATGGGATAGTTAATGTTTTTATGGTTAAAGTAATTGTATATAAAAATATGAAATTGTTTATAAGTTTTTTAATTGCAATAAACACACTTTGTTAAAATTTTTAACTTAAAAACATCTTACCATGTCAATACGTTTGTTGATTAAATAAACAGTGGTGGCTCTAGAGGCCGCTTCTAGATCCAGTGCTGTTCCTGGTCTGATAAAGTGGGAAACATCGGCGATATGCACGCCCACTTCGAGCCTGTCGCCCTCTATCGGTCGACAATGTAAAGCATCATCAATATCCGTACATCCTGGGGGATCCACCGAACAAATGTCGATTCCGCGGAGATCTACGCGTTTTTTAACGTCCTAAAATGTGAAATTAGTAAAAAACTGTTTTTGGTGTAAGAGCGTTTATTACATCATCTGTTATAAGCCACGGCAGTTTGGGTAGGCAACTTAACACTTCTTCAGAGAATTGACTGTGTGGGACATCGTGTTCCAGGAGTACTACTTCGTTTTCTGTTGATTGTTGGCCTATTTTGCCCAGGGCTCTGACAAAATGTCCCTAAGAAAAAAATCTTTAAATAAAATCAGGTTTAAGTTGAATTATCTTACATGAGGATATCTTGAATGTTGGGGCCATGAATCAATAGTAACAATAAATTTTTGACTCCTAAGAAACTCAGCTTGCCTAGTTTCAATTCTTATCTTAGGTATACTTGAATCTGCTGGTACAAATATTTGATAAAGACCATCACTATTACCTTGCAAAATACCTAAAAAATAATAATAAAATGATGTTTTTTTAATAATTATAAAATATATTTTATTTTTACCGCAATATTGTCTCCATTTTCTCCTGATAATACCAACAACACAACCAGTGGGTCTAATTTCATCCTTTTTGCTATTCTTTGCATTCTTCTTTAACTCATTTTCGTTTTTCTGTATATCTTTTATGTTTTCCTCAGATACACCTTCATCCTCCAGGACAATTTCACTAGGTGAAACCCATTCAGTTTTATCAAACATTTGTACAGCAACCACATCTCCATCTACAGCCCTGTTAAGACCTTTCCTACCCTGAACCAAAACCTAAAATTCAAATTTTACTAAAAATGTTTAAATTAAAAATAATAATTTACATTGTCCTCAAAGCCTTCAACATTAACAAAACCCTCCAAAAAGTTGTCTCTGGAAGCCCTGAATGTTCCTTGATACAATTTTCCTTCTTTAATACCAATAAGCATAGCACTTGTTGATAGATGTGGTGGAAATATGGACTTTGCATCTTTTTGAACTTCTGAATCTTTTTTCTTTAATTTGTCACCCAGAGCCACTTGCTCATCCAAATGTTTAACATATTCAGTTGCTATATGAAAAGTATAAATTAAAATAGTTGAGAAGTACATTTTTTGTTACTAGGGCATCTTCAGGAGCGGATTTAATAAAAATGCTGCCCTAAGCCTGCTGCCATTTTGTCAATCAAACTCTAAAACGCCTTTACCAATCTTAATGAAATTTTGTATAAAAATACTTTGACTTATATCTCGTGTTCGAGGGTTTTTTGAGAAAATATTTTTAAAGCCCTTTTATTTAATAATAAAAAAACGTTCAAAAAATAAGTTTTAGTTTTAAAAAAATATGCTGTTAAAGACCGTATTTTTGTTAGTATACCCTGAAAATTTTGTACAAATCAAACGAACTGTAACAAAGATACAGCGCTTCAAAGTCGGTAAAAATGACCCCTTTTTGATTATTTTGCTGAGAAGTGGTCATTTTTGATGACTTTGAGGCGCTGTATTTTCGTTACTCTTCATTTGATTTGTACAACATTTTCAGGGTATACTTACAAAAATACGGTCTTTCACAGCTTATTTTTTCGAGCGTTTTTTATTATTAAATAAAAGGGCTTTAAGGATATTTTTTCGAAAAACCCTTGATCACCTAAGCTAAGATATAAGTTAAAGTATTTTTATCCAAAATTTTATAAAGATTGGTAAAGACGTTTTAGAGTTGGATTTTTTTACTTGTTATGCGTTAATTTTGACGCGCAGTGTATATATATATATATATATAGAAAGAGTATAATATATTATTATTTAATATATAATTCAATATAATGTAAAAATAGAAAAAAAACTTAATTTACAAAATTTAACAAATTTAAAAAATTGTGGTTGCCTTGCAAATTTTTCCGCCCTAGGATTTGAAAAAAGGCACTTTTTGAATGTTGATGAAAAAAATTAAAATATATAAGTATTTTTTACTTGTTACAGCTGGAATTTCATCCTCCTTAGCCAAATTTTTATTTGCCCTATCATCAGTTAATAACACAAACTTTTTATTAGGCAAATGGTCCATGTACCAACTACAGGCTTTTCTTATTAGACGATCATTGTAATCATTTATTAATTCACCATCTTTTTGGGGCATAAAAGTATCTCTAAAAAATACATTTAAGCAAAACATATACTATTATGTATATGTACTTACTTATGATGATCATTGGTAAATATATAAAAATGTCTGCTTGGATTATCTACAATACTCATCAAACGCTTATAAATAGGCAAACTACGATGCTTGACTTCTTTCAGAACTGTATGCAATATAATACAATTGCCAATTATGGGTTCTTCTAATACATCCATCTTAAAACACATGTAAAATAAAAGAAACACTATAAAATATGTTTTAAATACCTGCTCTAAAATTATATTTGTATCCAATATCAAGTAGTGATTAAATTTAAATAGAGAACATTTATTCACATATTCCTCAGTTAGACTGGATTCAACCAGCGAACAAGTCTCACAACAGCTAAACCCACAGAAAATATCATCTCGGATGTAATGTTCTCTGACATGCTAAAATTTAAAAATATAAGTAATAAACTTACATTATTAACCATGTTTTACCTTTAAATAATTTCCTATTTTATTCTTTTTAATAAACGACTTCGTGGTAAACATTTTGCTTGTTTATCATTTACAAATAACCACAAAAACACGTTTAAAAATTAAGTGAGGTTATGAACGACAAACATATTCCACTGCAGTGCTGCCAGAGCAGATGGTCGGATAATCCGTATATATTCGTGGAAAGGGTGGGGGGAAGCCTCGAAAAATCCGTAAAAATCCGTTTTTGTCTAAATTTCGAAAAATTTCTTCTATAAGGGGGATTTTCGTGACAAAACATACCTTTCGTCAAAGAAAATCCGAAACATCTCAGAATTTTTCGGGGGAGTTTCAGAAGTTTGAACCTCTTCGTCAGTGATATAATTCTCGTCACTTTCCATTTTTCACAAAATAAAGTATTTTATAACAACGTGTTATAAAACCTTAACAAATAATATGAAACTATCGTTCTCTTTGTCACACTCAATGAAAAAGCATATGTTTCGCATATATTCGGCGTTTAAGAACCCTATATTAAGAACACATCCTTTTTCAATCCGCTTTCTTTTTCTGTCTAACGTAGTAAAAAGGAAGAGGAATAGAAGCGTGACAAAGATGATCAAAAAAACGGGGCAAAAATGATGTTTTTTTAGTATTAGTATGAAGCTATCTTAAAAATCCGTAAAAATCCGTATTTGATGAAAATCCGTTCAAAATCCGTTTCCAATTTCTCTAGACCTGGAAAATCCGTAAAAAACGGATAAATCCGTTCATCTGGCAGCACTGTTCCACTGGAAAAATTTTCATAGGAGAAATTCTGACGGCAACATTGCACATCGACGATGTGACATCGTTCAATTTGCAGATTCCTTTAAGTTTTCTGTCAGCCTGGCAAAACAACGTGTTTTGAAACAAAATAATTTAATTTACAATATAAAAGGTTATTATTTATTGCGGAGGTTTAAATCATTGATATAATTTAAACATTTTATAATTTTAACTGTAAATGTTATGGAAATATCGTTTTTTAGTTGTTTTGCGTGTTATTTTTATTCTAACCTAAAATTTATTATTTTCAGATGGCAAAAAGTATGAGAAGTAAATGGAGGCGTAAATGCAGGGCTGTGAAACGCGAACGTTACGGCAAAAAAGAACTGGAAAGGCTGAAGAAAACGTTGGGCATTGACGATACCAAGGAAGAAAAAGATGTGCAAATGAAGGAGGTATCGGAGATTGTGACATTCACAACGGCAGACAAAATCAAAGAAAAGAAGAAAGACGAGAAAGACGACATGGTGACCGATGTTGATTTGATGGACATTAAAAAGAAATTTAATACCAGGACATTAAGGAACGAAAATGGTGCTTACCCTGTTTGGGTGCACCCTAGAAAAAGGAAAGTGACCAAAAATAAGAAAGGAAACAAGAAGGGCAAAGGCAAGAAAAATTAGTTGGTAAGACTGGTATTGTAATTTATAAGTTCATGTTAAATAAATCTTTCTTTTTTATTTTTGTGGGTTTTTTTTTAAATAAAACACCTTTAATATATAAATAGTTATATTACATTCAATATTGGCAGTGAAAATCAGTTTTTAATCTTATATAATCCCTATTTTAATTAATTACATATACACATGGCTTTAACTGAAAAAATATATTTTATAGATTGATATCCTGTGTTTCATATTTACTAAATATTATTATATTGAGATTTTTATTGTGCATACCAAGTATACTTTTATGTATGGGTATCTTTTTTATTCAAAGAGCTACAATGTTGGAGAAAAGCTGTTACAAGTCTATTAATATGGCATTCAAAAAATCAGTGGGTCTCAAATAATTTGAAAAAAACTGGGCACCCATTTTCTTTTTCATACAATTCGTGATTTTTTCGCACACATTTTTGATTTACCACCACCATCTTTTGTTTTTCACCAATGCCACCATATTGGAAAATGGTTAGATAAAAAAATCAAGGAATCTAAGGCCAATATAAAAACAAAAGATGGTGATGGTAACTCAAAATATAGTAGCAATGAAATTGTATAAAAATGAAGGTTTATGTTTAAAACTTACTTTTTTTCAAAATTCCCAGGAATAAGAAATTTTTGGCTTTAACAGCTTTTTAGTTTTTTTTTCAAATATTTTGAGAAAAGCAGGTTGTTTTACCCAAAGTATACAAATAAAAGAATACCTAAATGGTAAAGTAATGATTTTTTTATTTTATGGAAAAGGACAAACAAAATTTATAAAAAAATCTCAAATTTCGTTGTTTTGAAACAGGGATGTCACTAGTATGGCTTCAGACCTTGAACTTTTTAAGCCACCCTCATATATCAGGAATTAAAAATGGTAAACATTTCGATACTCTCAGATTTATAACACAGTGTAATACCTGTAATTTACTTTTTTTCAGTCATATTTTAGTCTAGTGAGACCAATGAGGAATAAAATCAAAATTTGAGATTATATTGTTAACTTTATCGGCTTTTCTTTCAATTTCACTTAATTTATTTTTGAATATGTGCATGTCATTTCTGTAGTTATCCTGGAAAAATATGAATTATAAAAACATAATATTCTTAAGTAACTAGGTAGTAAAAAGTACCATATCATCAAATTTGTTTTTTAAAGTGTAGACATCTTTAGTCATGGCATTAATATCTTTGTAAATGTTTTGGATATCAGACTTTGAAACTTCGTTTTTATGACTTTCATCCATCATCTAAAATAACTCATTTTCATGAATTTTTTATTAAATTGATGTGATTTATAAAAACTAACCGTTTCTAATTTTATTATTCTCTTATCCAACTGCTCAAACTCCAAATTATTCGCCTCCAAAGGCGTATCGATTACTAAAAAAAGAAACATTTCAATAAAATAAATATTTAAAAATTTCAAAAACTTTTAATTTATGTACATAAATCATAGGTGGCGTTAATGCGATTAATCACTGTCATTTTGAAACTTTAAATAAGTCGTTAAAATCATAGGTGGCTTTAATTTAAAATTGCAGCAAATGAGGTGGGAAATGTGAAATGACAGTCAGGGTTGCCAGTTCTACTGATTTTTCAGTAGATCTACTGATTTGCTGATTAATCTACTGATCTACTGAAAAATGTTGTAATCTACTGAAAAAAAATATGAGGTTTATTTATTATGGTTATCAATAATATATCACTTACATTTATCTTGCATTAAATTCCGAACGCTCTATTTAAATACATTTACAAGCGCTATTTAAAATTCTAACGCGTCTTAGCGCTTGATATATTGGTAATACTGACCACGGGCCTCGGGGAATCCCCGTCGGGGATTACGGGGGAATTATGTCAAAGAGTAGAGGTTATGTGAAAGACCACGGGGACGGGGACTTCGTTTCCGTTTATAATAAATTCGGTTTACCTATTGAATTATAATAATTAATATTTTATTTTTAATAACATATTTATTTTTTTTATTGTGCAGTTGCAAAACCCAGGTAGCACAACGTGACGAAACCGTGACGATTTGTGTCCAATTGGACACAATGGACACAAATCGTCACGGTTTCGTCACGTTGTGCTACCTGGGAAATATGAGGTAAGTGCACTTATGTAATTTTAAATAGGTATACCGTATTATCTTTTAGTTCAAGTGAGGACTATAACTGAAAATGAAGGTTCCGGTCCGTCAAAGAAAAAAATAAAAATGTTTAACATAGGAGCATCGGAATTCGAAGGAATGTTTATTTTATTTTTTTTAAATGAAAATGTTTGGTTATAATCGAGGTAATAACACATTTTTTGTTGCTATTTTGTTACCCTTGGTGACTTTTTTTCATTTATAAATAAATACATATTTTTTCGACGTTATAGTTTTATTTTAGTACCCTTTTCTGAAATTTGTACAGCAAAAAAATAAGTCTACTGAAATCTACTGAATTTTTGGCTACATATTTACTGAAGGAATAAAAACCGAACTGGCAACCCTGATGACAGTTTGCATTTTGTATGCACTTTTTGTGTACCGCGTAAAAGTTTATTTAGGTATGTGTTTATAAGTTTTTGTGTGGAAATCTGCAAGACATGAAAAATAAGATTCCTGCAGGAATGTCTATGCATCTGATCTGGTAAGTTTTTGCTTGTTTTGTAGCACCAAAGAAAACAAACACTGGTACTCTCCCTACTTGATTTTAAACAGTTAACAACAGAACATAAACATGATTTATTTACACAAATTTCCACTTTATTTTACCCTCTTTTCGGCAAGATTGTCCATCGGCAAGCAAAATAAAATCCTCTCTGCACTGGCAATTATAACTGCCGAACGTGTTGTAGCAAATTTGATCGCAGGGCTTCATTTCCTTGCATTCGTCTACGTCTACTTCGCAATGACGTCCACCGAATCCTTTGGGGCAACGGCAAAGTTCGTGTCTGACGCACGTACCGCCGTTGTGGCAGCCTTTGGAACAATTAGCTGAAAATTGTTGTTCATTTTAAAGGGTTGTTTGTAGTTTGTTACTTTTGTTTTTTTACGTTTATTGAGATCTATTTCGCATTGATTTCCGCCGAAACCACGCGGACAGCTGCAGTAGTTCTCTTTAAGGCATCTTCCGCCGTTTTGGCAAGGTATAGGGCATTCAGCTAAAAGAAAAATGTTGCTAATTAGAGTGTTTGATTATTTTTGTTTACTTTTTACGTTTGTTGTGGTTAATTTCGCATTGTACGCCGCTGAACCCTTTCAGGCAACCGCATAGTTCGGGTTTTACGCATTTTCCACCGTTTTGGCAGGGTTTAGAACATTTTGCTGAAAACAAAACAAAATGCGACCAAATTATAGCATTGATACATGATTGATTTTTGGGCAAGGGGTAAATTTAAATTTTAAAAAATCAGTGGTTATAACCACTGATTTTTTAAAATTAAAAATCGCTTACGAATTAACGGCCGGCTAAGGATAACAATAACAAGGGTAGTCATGTACAACGCGTCGCTAAGCACTGATTGATAACGACTGATAAGGAAAAAAATCTCAACACAACGTCCACTAACATTGAACGGTTGTCTCTAAGATTTTAAAGTGGTTTACCCCTCGTTTTTGGGTTATAAAAGTTATTTATGTCATTCGGTCATAGGCGGATTTAGGTATGGGCTTTATGGGCTGCAGCCGGGCCCCGCCCGATCCAGGGCCCCCTACGCAGTAAAAATTTAAAAAAAATTATCTAGTAAAAATTTCAGTTCCTAATATTATTTGAGGTTTTTTCTATTTCCTATTTAAATAACATGAAAACAAATTTAACTTTAAAATTATATAAGGGGACATCCGTGAGATAAAAATAGGGGGGGAGGTGTCTAACAAAATCTCACCAAATCTCATGTTAAGGGAGGGGGGATCATTAAAAATCTCACGTCAACTTTTGGGTTTAAAGAATATGTTATAATTCAAATTTGTCAAAAAAAAGTAATCAATTTTTATTTTTTGGGTTTATCATGTTGTCCGTAAAGAAAGGCTAGAATCTCACGTGAGGGATAGAGGTTGTCTACCTTATCTCACCAAGGGGGAGGGAGGGGTGCAAATTATCAAAAAAATGCCTCACGTAATTAATGTATGTCCCCTAACTTGATAACAGATCAATTTACTAAAATGATCGTTTATAAACGCTCTACAAAAATGGTCTTTTATAATTGTATGGTAAATCTACTCGTTTAAAATTTATTTAAACTTAAATAAAATTTATAGGAATTATTATTACTTTTTATGTAAAACTATCCTATATATCGGATTTATTACAACTTTTAAATTTTTTATTTTGACAAATCATTTTCTAAAATCAATTTAAAAGTTTAAAATGCTATTTAGTGAGAATATAGATATAAATTATTTTACGAAATATGACTACTTTATATTTTATAAAATAGTTGAAATATTCTCACAATGCATTTTGGACTATAAAACTAATTTTATATACTTAATAATTTGTCAACATTTTAACTTTTGTAATGTTCTTAATTTCACCTACCTACCTATTCAATTAATTTAAAAAAATGAATTTGTATAACGGGTAATTTAAAAAAATTTTGAATGACGAATTTTTGTACAAAATAAAATAATGTACAAAAAAGTTCCTATGACATTTTGTTATAGGTCCTATGATTTTACCGAAAAATTTACTATAAATTTAACTTTAAGCTTGAATAACTTTTAAACGAGTATAATTATTATTAAATAATAAGAGACCTTATTTGTAGAGCGTTTGATTTTCTATGAATATATGTTTTGTTCATTTTTGTCAATTTAACCTTTACAAGTTATATAATTTCGAAATGAAAATCACGACTAGCGACCTCTTAATAATAATATATAGGCTCCTGAGACTTTTGAATTAAAAAATTGTGTTTTACGAACTTTGAAGGCCTCTATAGGTAAGTTGGGTTGAATCGACTTATTTTGAACCAAAGATTTTGTGGCCTTACATTGCTTTTTTGGGACACCCTGTATAAATCCTAGAATATTTTTTTTATATTATTAATTTATTTAAGGAAAATGTGTTTTTATTTTAACTTGAGAATGCTGTTTTATTTTTATTTGTTAATCAAATAGTGCCTTAAAATTATATTTAATTTTATATATGTTTGTTATAATACTTTATTTACGATGTAGGATATTTCCACGAAAAAATGTAATTCCATTTTAATATAACTGTATGTAAGTGCATTAATTTAAAAAATTGTTTAATATCTATAAATATAAGAAATCTTTTTGACAAAACTAAAACTTCCCAAGTAGCACACTGACGTCTGCTGACGTTCATATGACGTTCAAATGACGTTGCTAACGTCATTTAAACGTTAGAAGACGTCATATAAACGTCAGCAAACGTCAGTGTGCTACCTGGGTTGTATATGCCCCCAAATCGCTTTAGCCCAGGACCCCAAAGGTAACAGTCCGCCCCTGCATTGGGCTCACACAGACTAAGAACATGGGCGCCGGGAGAAAATAAACCAGGGGGGGCGATATCATGTTTAAATATTTAAATTAGCTTTAATTGCGCTTTTGTATAGTATTTTTATTTTAAAAGTAGAAAGTGAGGTTAGAGAGATCTGACAGTAGGTATATTTTTATATTGGTCCAAACGGGTTTTTTATAGTAGGAGAGAGAAAAATATCCGATTGGTCTAAATTATTTGTACAGCCTAGGCGATAATCAATCACTTTAGTAGTGAGTGAGTGGCAATAAAAAGGTTTAAATTATAGAACGCTCGAAGATAAAATTATTTAATGGCTTGAAGCTACAGACATGTAGACTAGTTTTCGCGTAAAAATTAGTGTCAAAGTGCGTATGACCTTCCTGCCGAGAAGCTACGAAGGCCGCGGGCAGTAGCAGGAGTATGCAATAAAGTTGTATAAATTAACGTCAGAGTTGCGCATGCAATGCATTGCAATGTTATAAATGTTTATGGGCCCGACTACGTATTTATTTGAATGGGAAAATTGTCGATTTAATTTTAAATTAAAAAAATTACGTCGGTTGCATCCGTGACTTTTGGGGCTGACTTGTGTCCATCCTGGGCAGCAGGAATAAGTTACTTCGTTGTTCGTTTGTGCTGTCGTTATTTCTTTGTAGTGTGTTTCATATATTACCCTAAAAAAAAGTTTTATTTCGACTAATAATTATAGTGTAATAATTATTAGTCACAGTTACTAGTGTAATAATTATAATTATTACACTAGTAACTGTGACTAATAATTATTACACTAGTAACTGTGGGCAAAATAAAATGGCTGTAAACTAGTGACTAGTTTACAGCCATTTTATTTTGCCCACCATGTTTCACTATGATTTTCTTGTGTGGTTTGGCTCACTAAACGCGAAAATCATTTTTTTTCATGGAAGCGTTTTAGAGATATGAATTTTCAATTGTTTTTTTTCAATTTTCTGAGGTGTTTTGACGTTTTAGAGTATACTTCGAGTTCTCATTGATCAATTTGACCAAACAAGCACTTAAATCAAAGGTATTTGAGCCCTCTACAACTGTCTCTTGTATAGTTTTGGTATCGGCTGAATAGTTCGATGCTGGCGATTTTAAGAAGTTGAGAAAGTCCTTTTTTTTACATAAATCGAGTATGAAAATTTACATATCTTTCTGGGAAAGATATAAATCGAAAAGATAATTGAGGAGCATCCGTGCAAAACCGGCTAAATCCATTTTATTCAGTTTTTGTTTTTTTTTTGATTTCACATCTTTGGGTTCATTTCTATCGACAACCAAGATAATTCTGTTCAAATCCAACTATATCCATGTTAAAATCACATTTAAAAGGTAGCTTTAGGAGCAAAACCGGCCAAATCCACGTTTTTATAGCAAACCCGGCTATATCCAATAAATAATAATGATGATGAGCATGTGGTTTGGATATGTCGATACTATCACTAAAATTTGTTCATGTTTGCACTAAATTTATTTTGTTAATATTTTTGAATAATGTCTTTTTTCACATTTTATTCGTTTTATATACAAAACATTTTTTGAAATTTTGGTTTTTGAAAACGAAACTATGTCTTATAAATCAAGTACTACAAAGTCCACAAAACTCAAGTTTGCTTTTTCTTTTATCTGTAAAGGCCAGGAAACCGAGAGTTTTTGCCATTTTCCCAACATTTTATTAAAGTGGATATAGCCGGTTTTGCACGGATGCTCCTTAATTCCAGTTTGATTTATTTTCCGATGGTAATGGGCTCTTAGGCCGTTTAATAAACAAAGATGCATGCTTTATGAAACGTACGAATAAGTGAGATAAACGTATAAATAAGAGGGACAAACAACCATTGTTGAACGAATAGGATAACAAAATACTTACTTCCCCTCTGCCATAAGCGTGCAGTAGAAGATTTTAAAACGATTAAATCAAAACAATTAAACGTCCGCCAATGTTTTACTTCCCCTCCTCTAACTGCTTTACAATCCCACCAAGATACATACACCTTAAGATAGGATTGTGCGCATGTTGGGCGGGGCTTAATTACGTCACTTGATGAGTGTTTTTAAATCTTTAACGTGCTTTTTAATTATCTGCTGCTAAAATTCTTGTTTTTGCGATGCTGTTGGATGTTAACTTGCTTTATTTTTTGTTTAACTTGTTGTTTTTGCTTTCGGTAAGGTTCGAATTACTTTTCAGTGTTCAAATTATTGTTATTGCGTTGTGTTAGCCTGTTCTGTTTGTTTATTATTGTTTTTGTGTTGCGTTAACTTGTTTTGTTTGTGTTTTAGTTTGTGTCGTACCATTTGCATTTATTAAAATGCGGTGTGGCATATTTGGATGCAATTCAGACAACCAGTCCAAGAAAAACCCTTTAAATAAAAACATTAAATTTAATCGATTCCCGAAAAACTTTGATTTGTGGAAACAGTGGTTAAATGCCACAAAAAGAATAGGCAATATTAACGTTAAGACCGCTCCTGTTTCCTATAAACATTTTCTGGACAGTGGCTATAAGTTTAATTTAAAACACCAAGGCTTAAACTACAGCCCTAAATGTTATCAAGGACTAAAAGCATCTAATATCCATTTTATAACACTTTCTTCAATATTAAGTTTAATAAAAACGCACTATGTCCAGTTATTTCTCTATTTTCTTTGATAATATTACTATTATTCGTGTATTCGCACGGCAACTACTCATCAAGTGACGTCATGCGCGGCATGAACCAAAACTCGTACACGGGAGCATCCAGCCCTGGCGTGGCGCGGTCTGGCCTGCCCCACCACTATTACGTCACTTCACCACTCCCACGTCTCATAATGCATTTGTCTTTATTTATTAAACGGCCTAAAGGAAAAAAATAAGCTGCGGTTTATAAAAATTCATAGATAAATGGCGAAGTTATGATTTTTTCAGTGGAAGACCAAAAGTTTTACGTTTTTTCTATTATATAAAATTTAATATTGAACATTGATTTTTATTTTAAACATTGAATATTAAAATTAAATTATATATTGAAATATTGAACCTTGAAGAAATTGAAAGTTTTATTTTGTTCTAATAAGCAAAGGTTTAACAAAATCTGGCTCCTTCTTAGTTTTTTTATTGCTTTCGTATTCCGTTTCTTGTAGGAGGGACCAAATTTAATCACCCATCATAGCTGCATCCCAGAAGCCGTGATACCGCCGCTCCAAACCCTTATTTGCTGATGAAAACGTTCTCCGTGCTCATCACTTACGTCACCCAGATTGTGCGGGTTATTTACGCCCTCGAACTCTACTTCTTTTATTCAATTTACACTTTTTATTAACTAAATAAAACCATGATAAAAATACCAAAAAATATCAGTAATATTTTAACACGAGAAACAAAAGAATTCACGTTTGCGGAGTCTGTCAAATTTAAATTTTGAATAATGTTTTCGGTGAAAAAAGTAGTATAAAAAATTCCAATCATGCACTTTATTTAGGTTTTCATTAAAGAATAAACATATTACAAAATAAAATAAAAAAATCTGAATTTTGGTCTTCCACTAAAAAATTCATAACTTTGCCATTTTTCCATGTATTTTTATCAACATTAGCTTGTTTTTTTTTGTAACAATGTCAGCTTAACGAAAAAAAAATCAAACTGGAGTTATCTGTTTGATTTAAACCTTTCCCAGGACGATAATATCGTCATATATTATGTAAATTTTCAAACTTAATTTTTGCCATAAAAACGTTATTAAAATCGCTAGCGTCAAAATACTTATCCGATATCAAAAGGATGTAAAAGAAAGTTTTAGAGGGCTCAAATAGCTTTAATTTAAGGGCTTGTTTGACCAAATTGATTAATTAGATTTCAAGCTATACTCAAAATTGTCAAAATACCTCCGAAAATTGAAAAAAAAGCAATTGAAAATTCATATTTCAAAAACGCTTCCATAAAAAAAAATTGAGTGTGATTTTCGTGTTTAGTGGGTCAAAATACATGAGAAAATTATAAGGGGATATGGTGGGCAGAATTTTTTTTCGATTTTGTAAACTAGTGTTATTCACTCAGAAAAATGTACATGCACTGATAATAAAACTAATTTTGTAAGCGATTAATAAAATAATATTATTTAACTTAAATTTAAAATTGTAATGGCTATAAAAAAATGTACCACCTAAGGTAACTTTTTTATTAAATTTTCAGTGTCTTATTGGGATAAAAACCTACGATTTGTCAAAGTAATGAGATTATTTTTATTTACAGAATAAACTTTTTTTACTGTTAATAAAATTCTCGTTTACTATAATGAAGCAGCAATGTTGAGCTTTTATAAAAAAAATGTTCATCCAACAAAGAAATAGTTGTTATCATATTGTCATGGCAATAAGAAATACTTTATGTTTATATTAAATCTTTGTCGAACTTAAAATGTTTTTGTTAAATCTATAGTTGTATTTGAATTGCGCTTACAAAAAGTAATGCGCATTTATTATAGTAAAATTTGTTCATTTTACTATGGCATATTTGTCTTTTTTAAATTATTATCGTTGTAATTCAAATTAATTTTATTTCAGTTAGAAAATCTTTGTTAATAGCTTACGTTAAGAACAATAACAAAAATATTTTATTGTTATAAAAAGACTTTTTTAATATTTACTATTGTTTTGCAATGGTAACAAAATTTTTGTTATTTCCCTTTAAAAGAGAGGGAAAGGGCCAGCGCTTTATGGCGAACATAACTTTATAATCTAGTCTGTGTTATAATCTTATTGATTGCACTTGTTTAAATGAAGTGTGGTAAAATTTAGTATGATACAAATATCAAAAAGACCAAGAAAATTAAAATTTCGACGTTTTCTTAAAGAAATTTTTAAGGTATATTCTATATACGAAGCAGACTTGTTGTTTAAAAAGTGTATTGGTAAGTAAATTTGGTGGTATTAAAATTCTAAGATTGAAAATATTTTTTAATTTATTTATATATTTTATAGGAATACTACTTTGCACCTCAAGGTGGTAAAGCTCCAAAGGAAAGCTGTTGGCTAAATTTTATTATCAAATTAGAACGCTAAAAACTTGTGGACTAGTGGAAGCAAAACTACTAAAAAGAAAGCATTCCAAGTCGCCCGGCGAACGTAAGTAATTTTACTTAAGAAGAAAATCATGGTAATGGTAATCTGTTTGCTTTAGCTTTACCTGAACCAGAAGAAGACTCTGAAAATATATAAAAGAGATTAAAATATGCACAAGAAGGGGAAAGATGGGAAGAAATAAAAACGTTGTGGAGGTCTTCCCAAAATTATAGAAAAAGAATGTTACTCGAGAGCAATGCCGAAAATGTAGTGGATTTTTTAAAGGAATGGCCCGCTTATAAAAATCCAATGGGATATACCTTGGTGGGTAGTGATTTTTTTTTCTGAATGTATTTATTTATTATTTTTTTGTTTTAGATTGAAATTGACTTTAAACTTACCTTTCCTGACGCTGAAAATAATATTTTTACTAAATGGATGCCATTTTCTGACAATGTCTTGGATATTTTTAAATCTAAAATAAAGGACAAGAAAACATTTCAGAAGGTTTGTTTTCCACCGTTTTTTTTTTTTTTAATATTAAACATAATCTTTTAGAAGGAAAAAATGCTGTAATACTCCATACAATCCATGCTGCCTTAGTTCCTACGTCAAAAAGAGTTATAAAAAGTGGAAAGAAAAAAACCTTGGAAAGATGTACCATAACAGATTCTCAAGACTCATTTATGTTAACAGAGATAGAAGAAAAACTTCTCAGACAGAAGAGTCGTCAACTGCCAGTACAGCCACTTTTAGTTGTTCTGTTAGAGGATACACCAAAACAATACCTTGTATATTTTGATAATGTAAAGTACAAATTTTTTTCAGTTATATCGGCGCTAAATTGCTGTTTTCAAATATTACATGTTTTTAATTTAAAGTACCCAATAGAATGTCAAGCTGTATAGCTTTTCATACAAAAATTTTAGTACAACATCAAAACAGAGTACGACGTTGTACTGCCAAATGTAACAATTTTTATTAATGAATTAAACAAGCGCATTGACGCTGATTAAATAAGTTTTTAATCAACTGCGTTACTCCCCCCACCAAAGTGTTTTTTATTAGACTTTTAAGTTTGTATAGGATCTTTTAGCCTAGTTAGTTATCTTAATCCTATTAGGTTTAAGTTTATATTAGAATTTTGATGTTAAATGTTAATATCATATCGTCCTCATTATCACATAAGGGCCTATCTCATATGTTAAAAATTTAGAGAGCATGTTAAAAATTTAAAGTTTGTAACTAATATAAATGATTTTTTGAAAAAAAAGTTTTACTAGGTAGTTCAAAAAATAAAAACAAAAAACTTCAAATCTTTAAAATGCTCTGTAAAATTGTAAAATATGAGATACGCCCCTATGGATATAACATTAAATGTACTACCTAGTAAATTTTTTTTTTATTATTCAAATTAGCTCAAAATTTAAATTTTTAACATGCTCTATAAAATTTTAAACTATAAGATAGGCCCTTATATGATAATGAGAACGATATGAGACAACTTGTATTAAAAATGTACATTTTTATAATAATAATAATATAATATTTCTATTACACGGTATTAATTTCATTTACATATAAACAAAATTAATACCGCTTGTAACAGAAATATTTTTATTAAATTATATTTTATAATATTTGTATACATATATATTTTTTAATACTTTTACTAATATTAAAAAATATATATTGGTATAAAAATATACCTATGTTGTATATATTTTTTTATTTTGTACATCATATAATAGGAGTTTTTTTTTGTTATAATAAATAATTTGTTTTAATGCCTTGCATTATTTAAAGAAAACTACCCAACACCCAACTATAGGTTGAAAATGTGACCATTGTTACAATGAAAATAGTTTATTGAATTAACAATTAATTTGTTGTTAAATTTACATAAATTTTATTAATATTATAAAAAAAGTTTTATTTTAAACGAAAAGGGATTTGTAAAATTTACAAAATTTCTATGAATAATACCATTAGGGTTTCATTCACAGACCATCTGTGGTTTCATTAATACTACAAAACGTTTTTGTAAACGGTATGAAACTGTTTTTTAGGACAAATAATAATAACTATATTTATCAATGCGTTTCTGCATCTGGTAGAGTGTTATTTTTATAAACATAACGTAAATTTACTTTATAATTAATACAAATGCTATTACTGAAAGCAGCGTTTATAGATAAATAATTTTTATAAAAATGATATTTTTGCCGTAACAAAAGCAATTGTTGGACGAATAGGGATCTTTACTTTATTAAGACAAACTACTTTTTTTGTTATATTTATTAAAAAATTTTCTGAGTGTTTCTATAATATTTAGTTTGTGTTGTTTAGTTAAAATGTTTTTAGTGTGCTTTTTTAAATAATTTACCTTAAAGCAGTACAAAGTTGGCTGGACCCTGGGCTACAAGGAACCATGTATTTTTTGTAAACCGGTTTGCAATAGGGTTGTTTTCTTTTTAAAGGTTGGCTGACCTGCTTTTGGCTGGCACAAACGTGCCTCCTGCAATAAAAAAATAATAAATTATGCATTCCTGCTAAGGCCAGTGTACTTTAAAGTCTAGACTAGTCTAGTTTTTTATTTTTATAAATATCCAGGATGTTAGATCGTAATCTGTATTAACATATCAATATAATTAAATAGTTAAAATCATTAAAACATCGTCCATTCTAAATTGCTTTATGTCTTTATTTAAGTTTTGTACCTGCTGGGCCGTCGCCGCAGGATGTATAATTTTAAACAACAAACTGACGTTTAAACCCTTTCGATAATTTGCGAGCAGCATGCATTTTTAATATTCCTGCATGTAAGTTTTTTGCAGGTCGATTTTTGGCATTTGATTTATGGCGATTTTATTAATGTTTATAAACACAACTATAGTACGAGGTCGTAAATATTATGTTTTTTTGTAAAGAATTTATACGAAATAAACATGCATAGGTATATAAAAATATATTCCCCTATTTTATATTTATTACCCAATTGTCTATCAATAATTTGGAAAAAGTCTTTTTACATGAATAATCTACATATTTAATTTTAATAATAATTATTTATTAATATTCAAATGTTAGTGACAAGAGCAATTGTATATATTTGTATATATTAATAACTTTTAATTAAAATACATAGCATAGGCATATATACGAGGTGTGTTCAGAAAATATCGGGAATTTTCGTTTTTTGAAACAATTATTTATTTATTCATCTACATTAATGTAGTCGCCTTCAAAATAGTCCCCATTGAATATTATGCACATGTGCCAGCTGTTCTTCCAATATTCGAAACACTTCTAAAACTCGATCTTTGGGATAGCCTTTAGTTCTTTCAGCGATGCGCTTTTAATGTCATCTATGCTTGCAAAACGACGGCCCTTTAAGGTTCTGTTTATTTTTGGGAACAGACAGAGGCATGTCTAGCGAATATGGAGGCTGGGGCATCAGTACAGTATTGTTTTTGGCCAAAAATGTTGTTCAAAATTTAACAATTTTAGAACAAACTTTGCTGCCCAAAGCATTCGAAAAAATTTCATGGGATGAGCCAATCGATATACCAACATCATCAGCGGTTTATAACCATTTCTTCCACTTTTTCCATGTTTTTATCGGTTGTTAATGTGCTTGTGCGTTCGGGGCGTTCGTCATCTTCAACGTCTTCACGGCCATCTTGGAAACTCTTATACCACTTGTAAACTCTTGTTTTACTTATAGCAGACTCAATATAGGCCTTTGTTAACATTTCACAGAATTTATTTAATTTTTTAAGCAAAATTGGATACAAATTCTTTGATCCATTTCTTTTAACGAACGAAAAATCGCCGAGCTCATAAAACACGTCTAACCTTAGCGGTTGTCAAAGACAAAGTAAACAATGAAAACAGCTAAAGTTTTTATCATACTTCGGGGGCATGTATACCAACATAATAAAGAAAATTTTATGACAACCGGACCCTCCGAACCCGCGAAATTTAACAATTCCCGTTATTTTCTGAACACACCTCGTATATGGGGTATTCCATGCCAAATCTACCACTTTTGAACCCGACCCCTTTCGATCTGGCCAAAAGTTTTCCATTATTTTCTACCCTTTGAAAAACATTTTTGGAAATGTTTTCAAATTTTTTTATCCAACCCAACAAAGTTTAAAATTTATTTATTTATTTTATTTTAAACTTTATTTATATAATAAAATAAATGCAATTCAACGATTTTAAGGAATTATATTCTCAATTTATAGGCTTAAGCTACGACTGTAATGATGCTTGTTATCCTCTATTAGTTTACCAAAATTTTACAAAAAAATTGTTACTAATTTTCAAAATTTCCCCTTGTAAAGCCCGCTGCACAATAGCCCGGTAACGGGAACGGGAATCCTAACAATAAAGGTGGGAGAGACTAAAAAACCACTGTTGATAGATAGGGTTCGCTGAGTCTCTCCCACCTTTACCGTTTATTTTTCCGTTCCCATTACCGGGCTGTTGTACAGCGGGCTTAACAGTTTAAAAAACTCACCCGGTATAAAATGATGAGGATATAGAATGTTCATTTATATCCATGATCCGCAAAAATAATTATAAGAAGCTTAACACTTCTTATGTTAATTTTCCTTCATAGCCAGGAAACACTTAATATAACATTTTAAAAGGCAAAATCGTTCTGCTGATTTGTCTATTAGCAAGATCGGGATAGTAATAAATGTATTGAGTCGTGCGACTCGTCAATTAGATCATTATCGGTAATTTATAGGTAAGAGCTATCAATTATTCTCGCAATAATAGCTGGAAAATAAAATAATGGAACACAGAAGAAATGTCAGTAAAGTGGCGCAATAAATATCTGTTTGAACGGCTAGGAAAACGGCTCTATTGCGTGCACGATTAATGGACGAACGATACAATCTTACAGCGACCAGGACCTTATCTGTTTCCTAATATTGTTTCCCTCTTAGAGAATATGTGATGCGGGACAAGACAGTTTCGGGTTTTGGTAAAGGCAAATATGCCCGATCGATTGAAAGTATAACAACATCTCTATCTTGAAAACTAAGTCCTTGACAATAAAGATTTTTAAATAAAAATACCTGTACTACAATATTTTGTTTTCCCTGTATGGTATGCTCTAAGGTATCTCTATCCTAAAGACTATAGTCTTTAGGATATATACAAGCTGCTTAGTTGCTTGCTTGATTATTTCCCATTTATTGTTTGTTGCTCTTTTATGTTCGTTGGTGGTGTGGTGTGGCCAGTTTATTCCTTATCTTTGTTTATCGGTAATTTTGCCAATGTACCAGTATCCTTGGTTAACTGATAGGGTGCAAAGGGAAGTTAAGATTATGTGTAATATTAACAAATTGTCGAGACACATACATACATAAGTGTCGTATTCTAAGACTCTTATACTATGGTCCACAACCAAAAGTCCCACCACGTGGTTTTGGTGTATAAAGCGAGGGGTCAACCACCCAAAGGGAAAACGTCCAGTGATTCCCATGTATTTCCATTATATTTTATTGTATTCCTATGTATTTCCATTGTATTCCTATGGTATTCCCCCTCTAAAATGTCCAGGGATTCCCAGGTGTGGGTGACCCCTCGGTATACCTTTATATATAAAGGTCTTATTTAATAAAACAAAAAATACCCATTTGTTTGCGACTCAGTGAGTCGGACTCACCCCTGTAAAATTCGTGTTTATTGTGCGATTTTAATCAGATTTGTTTTAAAGTGTAGATCTTGATAAACTGTATTTTTGGAGCGATAAACGCCATATTTTTACAAAATACGGCCCACTATGTCAGTTTTTGAAAGTAAATTTTTAAAAATTTATATAAGCGATTTTAAAAATAAAAATCTATGCACGGCACTGGATTCACCACCCCTCAAAACGACCCTATACTAAATTTTATTGAATTTTTTTAAGTAGAAAAGATTTTGTAGCCAAATTAAAAATGAACAATAATAACTATTTACAAAAATTTATTCTTATTCAAGTTTTTCATGAAAAAACATGCTTAGATTTGACAAATAAAAAACGCAATAAAAACTTAAAACAACAATGAAATAAATAATAGAAAATTCCAAAAAATTTCTACAGTTATGCCGGTTTTCCACCAAACGGACAAAACACAAACTCGTGTCGAATAAAACAAAACTGCAACTTTTTGCAAACTTTTTGAAGACTGGCGTGTTTTGCGACAGTTTGAGTTTTGTTTTTCGAGTCCCGCTCGAAAGCGGTAACATCAAAAGGTTTCGACGTGTTTTGAAACTCGAGTCTGTTTAGTGGAAACGGTCGTGTTGTGTTTTTTGTTTTCGACTTTTATTTTATTTTGTTAGTCTGGATACGAATTTTATACTAAATTGGTAGGTAAGTAAGAAACATATTTTTTCCAAGTGTATAATAATATTCATATTATATTCCTCATAAGTCTATATAGAAATACTACAATTTAGTTACGAATAGATACGAATTTCATACTAAATTGGTAGGTAAGTAAGAGACATATTTTTTCCAAGTGTATAATAATATTTATATTCTATTCCTCATAAGTCTATATAGAAATACTACAATGTAGTTTTTTAAAATTTTGTAACCTCATTTTTAGGTTAGGTTTAACTGTCAGACGACAAAATGTCACCATTATTGTTCGGCGGTCAATAATAATTTAACTTTTGAACTAGTAGTCACTACATTATTGTACTAGTTCAAAAGTCAAATTATTATTGACCGCCGAACAATAATGGTGACATTTTTTCGTCTGACAGTTAAACCTAACCTAAAAATGAGGTTACAAAATTTCAAAAAAATATCGAAATTTAGAGCTTGAAAAAAAATAGTATATAAAACACGGCAGCGAAAGCTTATTAATTACCTCGCACACAACCTACTGCCTCGGCAGTAAAATGTCATGGATAAGTTTAATCTCATATACAGTATGTCTCAGTATCTTGGAATCATATGGAAAACTTTTTTATTATTAATTTTAGGAAAAAAAGATATTCTTTATAAAAAGTTCTGCATGGTGTACAACTTAAAATGCAACCCACAAATATTAAATTTTTTTAGTCGTATAAGTACAGGGTATGTCATAAAATATGAATTTGACTCAAGAGTAAAGTACCTTTATATTTGACAATATCGAAAATTTTTATAAAGAAAAGTTAATCAGAACTAAAAACTACGTTCAAATATGCAATTTCATCCATTTACATTAAAAAATTAGGATTTGTTAATTTTTACTAATCTTTCTATTTTAAATGAACATTTATGTGTTATGATTACAAAAAACATGAAAACCTTTTCGTTTCTAAATGTTTTCTAAAATTTTTGCAATTTTAACAGATAAATGTTCATTTAAAATAGAAATATTAAAAAAATTAACAAAACCTAATTTTTTAATGTAAATGGATGAAATTGCATATTTGAACGTAGTTTTTAGTTCTGATTAACTTTTCTTTATAACAATTTTCGATATTGTCAAATATAAAGGTACTTTACTCTTGAGC